ACTACTGCTCATATTTCTGTATTTAAAGCCTATGGGAGTCCCGACACCCCGTAGTGTTTCTCAGATTTTCTTTCACGTGCAGATGTTTGTTCTGGGACCACGCCTCATCCTTAGCGTTCGACAATATCATGCTGAACTGGTGGCCAACTTCGACGATGAAATTAGTATGAATTCGATTATCCTCCAGGAACGTGTACATATACAAACTAGCAGTACTATGTAGGGAAATGCTTACCGGGTGTTCTGCAGGAGGAGAAATCTGGCCGAGGATCCGTTGTGGTATTTGCTTAAGCTATGGTGTTTCAAAGTACATTTGAGATAGGTTTGTGTAGACGAACCCATTTCTTGTCGGTACTGGAAGTCAGTGAACCGCTCGCCCACACTTGCACCAAGTAGTAGTCATATCACCCCGAGTACTTGAGTGGGTGACATGTCTGATTGTGAAATCAGTTACTTTTGAAATCCAGTAAATCATTTATCGTGGTATAGCCACGAGTGGCAGCTCTGATAGCTTCAAGGACATCAAGGAGATGCAGTACTAGGTGCTTATGCAGCTGCAGGATGGAAGTGATGGACGCAGTGGCCACCGACTGGGAGCTGGGCCACAGTTATTCGTGCTTACATTGCAAAGATACGGTAAACATATATTATACTTTGTTTCATGTAGGAATGATATACCAGCATTGATATGGAACGGTATCATTTTTTGAGATACTTGCGAGAGCACTGCTTTTTGTGTACATCTTTCCAGTGTACCTTGATAGCACATTCGTCAGCAACAAGACCTGCAAAATGTCTCAATCATACCTTCTGGTGCTCAGCAGAACAATATCTAGACGACATCCTGTTTAGCATCATATCACCCCAGTTTGTTCAGAAATGCTCACAAAATGGCCCTGCAACCACTGCACGTCTTAAGATCCTGGCCACCAGGCTTTCCACAAGCAGCACAAGCCGACTGACTTCTTTTATCCTTCGTGCTGGACGTTGTCTCCTGCCAATATCCATGGCTCTCGTGGTCCCATTCGCGCTGAATGCTCTGACCTTTCTTGAGTTTGCCCGTCCTGGAATCATGTGCGCTGGGGTTGATAGGCATGGTGAATGCCTTCATGCCCGCCCTGACTGAGTTGGGCGAACTCAGTGCTGCGGAGAGTCGCTCGTTAGCCTGGTCGACGTCAAAGGCGTCAACGTCGAACAGAGAGAGGAGGTTTGCTGAAGCCTTTGTAATTTGGGCAATCAAGAATTTCTCGTCTTTTCTTAACCCTGGAGAGATGTTCAGCACTGAAATTGAATCAAAGGGAAACCCTAGTACTGCTCGGTGTACGAATCAGTGTCGTAGGCCTTGAGAAAGTTTTGGTATTGGTACGACCCTCTCATATTTTCTGGATGATAGTTTGACAAGTGGAATATTGTGTACATTAGAAAAGTAGCTCACCACCTGGGCACATGCCCTTGCCATCGAGTATCTGAACACGTCCATACGACTCCTCGACGGGAAAAACTTTCTCGATCTGATCGACGTAAAATCAGTCCAATATCAGGCAAGGTATTCGACCGTACCTCGATTTCGTGGTGCCACTTGTCCCCATAGTCATACAAGTACGCAAACGTATCGCCCACTTTTGAAAACAAGTGGGCGAGCATATACCTAAGTGTCTTCAGAATCAATGTGACACGGGAGATTATGCTCTTACTTGTCATCCGGAAGGTAAACATATCCAACCTAGGGTCGAGATGTCAGACGCTCCAAACATATTCCCTAGGTTTACGTGCCTGGTTGATATGCATTATGTCTGTTGCGTTGGCGTCCTATGTATGTAATTAGAGATGGACTATGACGTAAAAGTGGCTCAGTTTACCTCAGGACCAAATACAGCGCCGTCTCTGAGATCCGTGAACGTGTAGCAGTGGAGGTTTCGTACCCTACACACAAAACAATGGCCTCAGTGTGTAAATAGAATCGGGACATCAAATGAGTACCAGTTCAGAATGGGCGAAAGGACCTTATCCTGGAATACGCCTATCTTCATACCAGCTGAGAGGCGCACCCGGCGCCATATGCGAGGGTCGCCATTGGCATCTTGCAAGAACCTTTGAAGAACATGTCAAGAGGGTGCGGCATCATTTATACAAGTAACATACTTCAAGTGTATCTTGATCACAATATCTTTCTTGTCAAGGTCTGCGAGATCAAGTTTGCTGAGCTGGTCGCGCTGCGAAGACAATAACAAGTCAGGAAAAGAACGGAATTACCTCAAAGCGCACCCACCTTACGATCCTTTAGAACATCCATGAATTGATTTTCAGGCCAGGGTGTTCCACCGCGGTTGTCGTAGGAGAATTGGTGGGCCATCTAAAGCCAAATAAACGAGACGATCAAACCATCTCTATGAACTTACTGTTCTATACATCATTTGGATTCCATCGACTAGTTTGAAGAGTCAGGATATACAATCTACTAGACTCAGATATTTGCTTACAGTCCCAGATATTATCTTCGTTGTACTGTACACGTCAATTAACTGATTCGGAAGGATTGGTAGGCGACATACCGGAAATATACCCCAAGTCTGAATCTGTCCATGGGGACCCGGTTTTGGCTTGAATGTACGAGGATCTTGAAAGAGTAGGACATCTAGGACTCGTCCTCAAAAGAGTCGAACCACTTACCCTCAAAAAAAGTCTCTGGCATGCCTTCGCCATTATCTCCAGAGAGAAACTTCACAAATTTGGGTTTTCGTGTGGGGCGCGTCGTAGAGCGAGGAGGAATATCCTCACCGGTCAACGAAAGTGTTGAAAAGAGTTTTGTAAAATCCATGGTTGCTGCTCAACAGACATAGTAGCATGTGCAAGGTTGATAGCGGAATACATAACGCCCCAAAAAGGCATATCACTTACGCCGCATCGGAGACGCACAAACTTTAAACTACCTTCTTGAATCTTGACCCAAGGTGACCGCCCTCTGGGCCAGTCTTCCATGACACATATAATGCACAACCTGTGCATAAATTTGATCTCAACTCACGATATTCTAGGGTTAAACATCATCGATTCATCTGTCGAGTGACGTGGTCACGAATTCTTGATAAATGTATTATGATTCACACTAATTTAATGCGGGGAAACATGAATTGTGCAAACAAACAAACAAAGGACAAAGTTCAACAAATAGCACTACCAGATAAAAGGACTGCAGCTAGCCCGTCTTTCATCAGTGCACCACCCTTGCATCTCCCATTATCAGTACTACTTCTACACGTTCAAGATGTCTAGCAACGGAAAAGATTACACGTACACTGGTCATGGTACCAACGACCAAGTAAGCGCCCGTTTTGCGAGTTAGGGGTGGTGATTAACAAACACTTTTCGTAGGGCAATCACTACTGCTCACGCGACTACGGTAGCAGCGGTACTGGATACCACTATTCTAACAAGTAAGTTCTCATCATGAATAATTCTTGATTGGTGGTACTGATTATATTGACAGCGACGGGAGTTATTACTACAACAACCCGAATGGGTCCACTTACTACAACAGTGGCACAGGGTACTCGCAGTACACTACTCCCAGCGGACAGACTCATAAATCCAACGGTTCCTCGAAGTGATTCTAGGTAATTTGCCTATTTTAATAGTATAACATTAGCTTCTGACGTGGTTTATCAGGTGTCGCAAATTTCCGAAATCGATTGTAATCAGGAACCGTTGGTATCACGTTACAATTGGATTACAATGATGCTATCAACCTTCATGTAATCATTATAGCGGAGTTTCAATCGATTACAATGCGGTTACAACGTTATGGATATCCTACAGCTCGCCTTCGACCACATTCTCAACAGTTTCCCTCCCTTGCCCATACTTATATATTACCCGTCTATCCAGGACATGGCCCCCGAACGCCAAAATTCTGCGATCTGTGCAAACAAGACCTCAAACCACGTGGGTGGTCCACTCATTGCAAGGCCTGTGAGAAGAAGGCTGAGAAACAGCGTCAGAATCAGCTTGTTGCGGAATCCATTCGAAGGGAAGATTTAGAGGCAGAAGCAGGTATGTCCAAGTTCAATTCATTTGTCTATCAGTCTAAGTTTTTGTATTTAAACTGACTCATAGGCCCTTCAAATTTAACGAGACATCAATCATCACGCGCAAGTGTCAACGATTCAGAGTGCCAATGAATTTATGGGAAACGAGATGGATGATGGCATGGGGTATATTGACGGTAAGTCAGAATCTTAATTACATTCGTTATGTATTATAATTCATGACTCACTGTTCACAGATCACTTTGCTGATGCCGATGTCTCTGAACGTGCAAGCACTCCCAGATTCCGGGTTGACGACATTAGGTGTGAGTATCATCCAAGCAGTGGGATCCCACCTGAGGTCCACGCTTTTGAGGACTTCAAACGGTCCAACCCCACTGGCATCTATCCCGCCTAACCAGCACCCCTGGGCGCCATTCAAGTCGCGACTAGAGTTTGAACTTGCTGAACTTGCCCTGGAGGCTTGTTTGAACAACGAGCAGACTGATCAGCTCATACGACTTTGCAACCGGTGCACTTCCCGACAGGAGAAGTTCACATTCCGGACCCACAAGGACATTCACGACAGGTGGGAGACTGCTTCCCATCGCCTTACGGGGGTTATTTCTTTATTTCTCTGATCTTTAGCTTCTGACGACTCTCAAGTTTAGTTTACTCAAGACATGATTTCAGTACCGTATGACGGTACCATACGAGAGTTTGATCTACACTATCGCAATCTCTGGGAGTGGGCTACTGATCTCCTTCGTGATCCTCAGCTCTTTCCGCACATGGTATTTGATGCGCAGCGCTTCTCAAAGTTTGATGGCGAGACATTTGTAAACTTTGTAGATGAACCTTACACGGCTGAAGCTTTTTGGAATGTTCAAGTATGTAATACTGCTGTAGTGATTTCTTGTATTCATGAATTGATCTATTCTTTTGCCTCATAGTCTCAGCTACCAGAGGGCGCCAAACCTCTGGCGTTTATTCTGTATGCGGACAAGACGAAGTTGTCCTCATTTGGTACCGCAAGAGGTTACCCCGTTGTTGCACGCCTTGCGAACCTTCCCACCGACATTCGCAATGGTCAAGGTATGGGTGGCGGCTACGTTGTTGGGTGGCTTCCTATTGTATGGAGTATTTTATTAGTTAGCGGTTAGCACTGATCGTAGTTCTAGGTGAAGGAGGAGAAGGATCACGCTGGCAAGCCAAGCTGGGTCAATTTCAAGAACGCTGTTTGGCACGAGGCGTTCTTGAAGATTCTCTCTCCGCTAGCATCAAAATCTAGTACAGGTCAATGGTTTGAATGTCTCGACAGCATCCAACCTGGTTCTTTCCTTCGATATTAATCTTGTCGGCCGATTACGAGGAACAGTCAGTGCGTTCGTTTATCTGTACATATGAATAATTGACTACTTGTCAATGTATTAGATGTGTTATGTCGCTCACTCGAGGGATCAAGTCCCTGTGGCCATGCCCAGTTTGTCTCGTTCCCCATGACGACCTTTTGGATACTTTGAAGGCCTATCCTCGTCGAACATCCGATCAGTCACAGAACGTCTTGCAGGTTGCGCGGGGCAAGCAGACCGCTGAAGAGAGAGATGATATGCTCAAACAATATGGACTTCGTGATGTCCAGGTAAGATTCTGTTATCTATAGTACCAGCGGTGTTGTATTACTAACCCAACCATGTTAGAACGCTTTTTGGATCGTTGCGCTTACTTGTGTACATTACGCACTCTCGTGGGATAGGCTCCATTTCAATGGTGGCCTGTACCGCGATCATTTGTGGGCCGAACTGCAGAGAATAATCATTAGTCTTGGGAGAGCAAGTGTAGCGCAGATGGACCACAAGTAAGTCTATAGCTTGCAATTTAGGACTTTTTTGATTTCGTGTTACTAGCTACGAGGCGTTTCCACGGTGGCGCAATCTCAAACATCTATCGCAAGTCATGAGCATTTCCTTTGCGGATAGTAGCGTGTATGAAGACATTTCGAAGGTATGTTTTCGTAGGTTCTTATTGATGAGTCGAGTCTGATGGTTGTTCTCTTAGATGGTGATCTATGCTGCACATACCATTGTGACTGAGGACGAGTGTCCAATCGGCTACCTCTTACTTCGTTGTATTCGACTCTTTCTTGAAGTCGATTTATATGCAGCACTCGAGGTTCACACAGCTGATACTATCCGTGCAGGCCGACACGCAGTTCAAGCGTTCTCAACCTATCTCCAGGTGTGTTTTCTCGACTTCCCTCGAAATTGTTCGTCAATGAATCTTATTATAATAGCAATATATAAAACACAGCCGACACGAGCGACAAAACTGGAACTTCCCCAAATTGCACATGAGTGTGCATATCTTTGACAACATCGAAGCTAAAGGAGCTACACGTACAACACGAAGCCAAACGAGAAGATGCACGGGTCGCTGAAAGATTCGTATCAAATGCGCACCAACTTCAGGAATGTGGCGCCGCAGGTAACAGATTTTATTCTCAATATCATTGACTTGTTGATCTTAGACTACTGCTACAATATTTACAGATTCTTCGCATCAATCATTGGCAAGTGGTCGCCGAGAGCATTTGCCGGAACATATCCGACTTCGATGAGTATCAGTCACGATGTCGACAATGTGCTGGACGAAGACAATTCCGTGGTGGATGATTTGGTCGTCTCGAACGACTCGCCTCATGTAAAGCTTGGATCCAGACAAGCTCCACAGACTTTTGAATCTGTCGAGAACACTCACAGACATGACAGCGCATTTACTAACTTTCGTATCAGGCTCAATGATTTCTTAACTAACTTTTTACCAGCCATTCAAGTCCCTCTACCAGGCGGAAAGCGGGTCCAGCTCAAAGCAAATGGCAAGGTACGATGATCATTGTCCAGTTTGGCTGCGTTCTGTTATACTGACGTGAAGGGATAGATTACCGGGTGCCGTTTCTTAAAGGTTAACTATGAGTCATTGGTAGATTGGCGCCAACATACCGATTTCCTTCGTTGTAATCCCAAGTTCTTTGGTACTCCGCGCTTCGACTGTGTGTTCGTCCAGACAACCGACAAGATCATCTTTGGTCGCCTGCTCTTTGTTTTTGAATGTACACTGGAAGATACAGCCCTCTCCCTTGCCCTTATTCACCCATTTGATGCTCCCACTGGTGTTCGCATCCGAAAAGACAAGCATCTCTCCATCTTTCGTGTGCGAGCAAGACCCCGGCGCAGGCTGAATTTTTTTCAGTAAGGTCGATCATCCGCGGAGCTTTCCTAGTGCCGGATGGTAGCAATGATTACATTGTTGTCGATACTGTTGACACCGACATGTTCCTTCGTGTGAAGGCGCTGCATCTTGAGGCAGGGCACCTTGTACGTGTTTGATGCCACACATAGTCTTCCTCCCCTTACAGATGGTATGCCTGCTTACTAGTATCTTCACTCGTTGGTCTCACTGACTGTCTGCTTTTGCCTCTCGTGAATACCAGGCAATGTCATCACCGCCTCTAGACATACATTCCGCATACTCTGCCTCATGATATACCTCATTTTCCTCGGCACCGACTTCACTCTGTTCAATGCATCAACGCCTTCAAGACTTTCTCGCCATTCATGATCAAGCTCTCTTCCAAGAACCCCCAAGATCACCTAGCACTCATCAGCGCTGGAATCAACAACTCGATCATGGCCCAACCCCATCTTAATCACCAGCTATCTCCATCACCATACGCGTCCTCCCAACTCCATCTCTGTCACTGACCATCTCCTAGACGCATCCTCCCAACCCCATCTCAGTCGCCACTAGACACGTCCTCCCAATTCCATGTCACCGGCCATCACCATCACTAGATGCATCCTCCCAACCCCATCTAGTTGCCACCAGATCGTCCCTGGGGATCCTGAACTACCTTGAGGGTCAAGGTCGTAAAGTGTCCATCCTGGGGGATCCTGAACTACCTCGAGGGTCGAAGGTCGTGAAGCGTCCATCCTGGGGGATCCTAACTACCTCAAGGGTCTGAATCAGCAATCAGACTATCAGCCGGTTTGTGACGAGCCCTTTTGATGCACGTGTATTAAGGTTCACTCTTTAAAGTTTCATCTTGCGAGGGCACCCTCTAGTCGTGCGCTCGTTTACGTGCCTCACATCAGTTTGCCGCTATCAATCACAATGCCGAGCCACCATAGTCATTCCCAAAGACGTAAGAAGATGTGGGTAGGCAACGTGTCGAATTGTATATAAGGTGCATCACACCATTTCTTCCTTCGCTGTCTTGCCACTGAACATCTTGTAGGACAATGTCTCATCTCTCAGTGCACATATCGGACAGCAACTCCGATGACGACTTCGATGAGGGCAACATCGAGCAAATCTCCATCCCAGGGCCCAACGCCTCCAAGGGAGATTTCATGGATGTACGTACTAGCTACAACTTATTATCTTAACTATATTCAACTTGATATCGTGCTCCAGGCAGTCAAAGCATTGCAGCTCGAAGTTCAGCGTCTGTGCGAAGAAAATCGTGCTCTCAAGGAGAAGAACAAAGTTCTACTTGCCGAGAAGCCCAAACGGAAGCGGCGCGTTGAAGCACCTGATGAACTCGTTGCTCACGAACAGACCATCTCACTGTATGCTCGTAAATACGGCATGACAGTGGAGATGTTTCCGGACAATGAACTTCTCACCAAGAAGCTGCCGGATTTGCCTACACCATTCGATAGCCATGACCGTTACAAGACTGCTGCAACTCAGGAAACGGCCTTCTTAGACGAACTTTACAAGCATTCCCAGAACGCATCCATCGAGCCATACAGAGTGTGTACTTCAAAGACCTCGTACGTCACATATTTTGTTTTGTTCTAACTATCATCTGATGTATTCTTTAACTATGGTAGGTACATAAGTGCATCAGCGATGCTCGTTCAAACGAGATCAAAAAATTACATGGCGTTGCTGGAGATATTTTGACCTTCCTGCGAAGTACTTTGCCAATCCTAGTTTCGACAGAGCCGGCGTTGTCGAAATTCAAAAGATGCTTGGAGTGTCTGGCAAGATGCAGGCTTATAAAATCTTTCCGCCTCTTTTGTTCCCAGGTCTGCAAGAAGACACCACCCTCAAGACTGTTTTCGGCAACTGGATACTTTTCGCCAAGGTGCGCTATCATTCACTGCTCGTATATTGTATCATGTATGCTACTTACTATGACAATGGTCTATCTACTAGATTCTGAGAGCATCACTGCATGGCGTCACCTCGCTTCATCAAGAGCCTTGTGGCGGATCAAAGGACTAATGCTCGGAAGTGGAACTTTCAACAAGTCACTCCAGGATCTATCGCATGGGCGGCAGTTATCGTACATCGTGTATATTGCATCAAATATATCTACTGATGTTTGAACGCAGGCAATATTTCTGCTCTCACCCGACTCCGAATTTCCCGGTTCGGGAGTGGGGAAATCATCGACCATCAGTTACAAAGACCTGTTCTTTCAATATAAGAAGATGCTCATTACAAAGTGGGACACCAGGCGCATCAAGAATATTATGGTCAGTATCAACAACCACATTTTTGGCACCGCAAAGTTGTCCACCCTCAATCCCGCTGGTGGCGAAGACTTTTCGGATGAAATCAATCGCGCTATGCTCGCACTCGACATGTCATCAGACAGTGAAGCAGATGAGGTTCCACCAGCATCAGTAGCGCTACATGAAGGTCCAGGCCCAGGTCTCAATGCAGGTCTCGTCAACCGACCTGCAGAAGAAGCATCTGAATCAGCATCTCGAGCTGCTGCTCATACTAATGTTGAAGCAGACGAAGCTGATGTAGATGAAGCTGATGGTCAGATAATAGGCAGGGGCCGAGGGAAGGGAAAGACTAGGGGGAAAAGGGCAGTAGCAACTCATAGCAATATTCGTCGTGGTCGTTCTCAAAAAGTCTCATAGAAATCGTTACAGTTAGTGATCCACCGTCTAGTGTAGTGCATTGCATTTGAATTTGAACGCGAAAATGTCGTTACAATCGAGTTCAATCGACAATGCTTACATAACAACGAGATTACAAAATTTTTCAGAGACTTTAATTCTACAGCAACCACATTACAACTGTTCTGATACTCAACACCGCTACAGCAGCTCTCACCACCATCCGCTATTAGTAGATGATAACTTTTCCTTGGACCCTCTGCCTTTAATGAAACCAAGACCCCCGGGATGATCTCATGATTGAAGGTTGCGTCATTCTCCAAGGACGAGGACACGAAGTTAGCGACGAAGACCTCCTGGACCAGCAGCAAAAATTGACTCAACGGTAAGCAGCATATCCATCCTAGAAACAAAGATATTAAACGAAGACCCTGATGATCTCGTAGATGAAGGTCGCGTCGTTCTCCAAGGACGAGGACACGAAGTTAGCGACGAAGACCTCCAGCAGCAAAAATCATCAACTATTATAATAAACCACGGTAAGCAGCATACCCACCCTAGAAACAAAGATATTAAATGAAGACCTTGATGATCTCGTAGATCAAGGTCGTGTCGTTCTCCAAGGACGAGGACACGAAGTTAGCGATGAAGACCTCTGGCAGCAAAAATCGACTAGACGACAGTAAGTCATTCTTACCGCAGCATATCCACCCTAGAAACAAAGATATTAATTGAAGACCCCAATGATCTCATAGATGAAGGTCGCGTCGTTCTCCAAGGACACGAAGATGGCCACTCACTCATACTCAAACAGTTCCGTCTTACCAGAGAGGCATTTGACCGCCGGGTGATCAGTAAGTGGTCCGTTCAATTTCGAGCCAGCTCATCGCTCACATTCCACATGCACATCCATGCCACCATGGCCGCTCGCTCATACTCAAACAGTTCCATCTTACCAGACATCGGCCATCGGGTCATTGCCTGAGTGGAGTTGAAGCCAACGGGAGAGATGTGCGGCTGACTCGCACTCAGTCTAATACTGGTGAATGATTTCATTGATGTGGAATGGGAACCCTACCGCTAACTACAAACTATATCCTCCAGAACCCTACCTTCATCCAACCGCACCCTCCAGCGCTACTCGAACTCAAACCATGTCCTCCCAGCAATCAAAATCCATCGAGTCGGAGTTCCTTTCCCCCCATGTTTCCGCCAAATGAGTTCCAACTATGACAACCACCACCACCGCATCGTCATCCACACCAATGAGATTATCTGTGGAGATGGATATATGGAGGAGCATAGGGATGTATTATGACGGAATGCGCACCCCGCAGATGAGCCACCAGTACCATACCAATATTAAAATATAAATAATGTATTAAAATTGACAAATAAACATTACAATCTGACTTGCAAGCCGCTGTTTGACATTGCAATTGCCTGTTACAACTCCCAGCCAAATAGCTCATTACAATGACTAAGACGGATTGCCACGCATTGTGACAGCGGTTGCCATCTCAATTGCAACCGTCATTCCAATTTGATTACAATTGTGACTCTGCTATTGTAAGCGCTTTCAATTTATGTTTGGTCTTTGAACGTTGAAATGCCATAAAAGGCACTGAAGTTTAAATTAAGAATTTGCGACAAAAGTGGAAGGTGCGGGAAAGACATGGCTGCAAAGCGGCCAATGCAGGAGGGGTTTGGATGATAATAGAGATCAAGAACAATAGAAATAGGCGTAGAGTGAAGCGATAACAGATATGATGCAGGCGGCAAACAGATACTGATTGCCAGTAGCTACCAACTGTAGGCTAATGGGAGTTGCTACTGGAAGGTCCAGAAAACAAGCTACTGAACGATATGTACTACTAGTCAGTCTTCCTCTAGAAGTTTTCTTTGGCCAATAGTCAACTGGCATGCACCCACACTTGGGCCCGTCCTCCATCCATGTCCTTTCCATGTCCACCTATCTCTGTTGGTGCGTGTTCATTTTCTCTCGGTTTGACTGAATGATATCAAGGCTTATCACATGTAACTGCGTATTCTGTTCCGCGCGCATTCTCATTACATATTACTTATCTGCCTCATTTCATCGCTATGGTTCTCACCTACGGGTTCTGGATACTCGTGCAGTAGGATAAAGCCTCGCGTGCTACATACAGTACGATACTTCCCTTCCCTCGGACGCTACCTTTGTTTTGCAGAGTCACCTTAGACGTTCTTAGTACTTTTGATCAATTGACAAGCCTTGTTCATCCTCACTCTGAACCCGCGTGTTCTTGACCACTCTGAGAACACACCTCTAAGGAACTTGGCGGCTGCATCTACATCTGCAAAGGGGTAAGGGTCATGCAGGTGATGGTCAGAAAATTTGATCATCAGGCATGTGCATAGGAGTGCTTGGATATTGCTATGAAAACCTGCTACCCACATGTGGTTCCTTTTGGTCTTCCTTATGTGATCTTGTTCAATTAGGGAATTAGCGACCTCTAGTGGAAGGGTTTGATATCTGGGTGATAGTTAGTAGATATGAAAACAAAAATCAACCTTGGCACATCACACACCTCCATTCTGATGTGTCTTGCGGAAAGGAAGGTGTAGTGTCACTCCCTTCTCGAACACTCCAAAGTCGTGCACCTGGATCTTGAGGACTTCATCGAAGCGCAGCATGCACACAAATGCTATGGTGTATGCGGCCTGCAGCAGCCTCCGAGCACAGCCGCCGCCCCAGTGGTGTGAGTTGAGGCACTCGCCAGGCTGGTAAGGCTGAATAGCCCAGTTTTCATCGAGGTGGTTGTGGTGGTAAAGTTTGAACAGAATGTCCTGTGAGGGGTTGACTATCATTATCCATGACTCGGGAGGCCAGACATTGCTCACCGTTGTTATGGCACGGGCACTAGTTGCCACTTCGCCAGCCTTGACCTACCCAGATGTTCAGTAACTGAGGCTCATCAGGATCAGTGTGAAAAAAAAGGTCACCTTGCGACATTGGAGCGAGCACATGAAGGAGGACACCTCCGTTGATATGGAGGGATTGCCAACCATGACACCACCTCCAACATCCGACTCGTGCCACCACATATTTCCAAGCCCCTGGAGCCTACCAAACACATATGTCATAGAGGCACGCATCTTTTGGGCATGCCCATATGTCCCTCGCTCTTCGTTCAATGGCTTCTGCGTGCCATCAAGGTTGATTGAGTCGCACCTTCGAATCATCATCAGCCTGTCCGAGCCAGAGAGTGTGTCACTCACGAGTTCATGATCCAGGCCACTATCAGCCATGGTGTGTCAGCGTGTGGTCTCTTGCAAAAAAAACCTCATTTTTGCGCAGCAAGTGCAAGCCAGTGAGGAAAGCAACTGCCTGATTCATTAGCCTGCCATAAGTAGTAGTCCACCTTCAGTAATCGTGAGGGTCAAAGAAAATACGAACACAAACCTCCTGTATTCCGAGTCTGTGCCTTCAGTAACACCTTTGGACGCATCCATGAGCATGGACTGGAGCTTTGCGAAGTCGATGGTGCTGTCTGTTGGCCTCAAGAGCACTGATTGAAGGGGCGCATCAATGAGAGTCTCCTGCTCAGCAGTGACATCCTCTGCAATGTCATCCATTTCGAGGCTGCTGGCTGATGTGGATGGAAGGAGACCGCATAGACCTGGAAAGTGTTGAATGGACTCGGGTAGTACGGTAGACATGATGGTTTGAAGGTACGAGGGAGCGCTCACCACGAAACCCCTCTCGAAGATGAATTTGAAATCAAGCCACTTGCCTGGCAGTGCTGGCACGCGGTTGGGTTCGAGAACCTGGGGTTGCGAAGGGGGAAGGGACAAAAAAATAAGTGAGAGCCAAGCCAAGTCTGGACGGTCTGGTGACACACCTGGGACCGTCTTAGCGCTCGCTCGGACAGTCATTTTTGTTGGTGGGCATGCCCTGCTATACCTAGCCTCCCTTGGCTTTGCAGGGAGGCGCACTTGTCCACCAGAGGTTTCTCTGCTGAAAAATGACGGTCTCAGTTGCGTGACATCATGAAACAAAGCATTCACGAGAAAAGTGACTCACCCAGAAGAGTCTGAACACGCTCGATCGTCGCTGTCATGCAAAGCTGTCCATCAGAGAGTCCCTGGAAGTTCTTACTTAGTGCTGGCGAGATACTTGTATTCAGCAGTGAGCGGAGGAGCCTAAAATCGAAGCACACACCTTTTGTTTTGAAATCGGTTGCTAAAACAGCATGATCCACCACAGATCTGATTCTCGAGATCCTTGCAGGGGCAGAAGAAGAGGGAAGGCAGGAGATGATGGCACGAGCCACGAGCATACTCGTGCCACCATATAAAAATAGTGGTACTGGTAGCAGTCACCCTCTTCAAAGTGCCGTTCTCTTCCCAACCAACATCCCTTCCCGTCCCTTCTCCAAGAAAACCAGGCTGGCCAGAAAGCACAATGCCTTCGGTGAGTTGCTCGATTTGTTGTGCCTTCGCCTCCGTGATGTCCAGATACCCCCGTGTCATCCGAGTTTCTAGTACGAGAGGTTAGCATTAGCATCAGCGCTGAATGCTCTTAGCATTCGCAACCAGGCTCACCTTCGTTCTTGATTCTCCCCTTTGTTCCTCCTCCCCGTTGCATGCCGGTGGTCGTGAAGATTCGATTCGAGGGGCAGAGATCCGGTGCTGGAACCAGGGGGGGTGGGTCCTCCGCATTGATCGAGCTGACGGCTCATGTTGGTATCGGTTCAATCAATAGCTTGATGAGGGCATCAGTCACGAACGGTCACAACGTGACCGTTCGTGACTCGACCGTCGTTTTTCGCGTTTGAAACGATACTTCCTGTGCAGCCTCGTGCCTTCCTGGCAGCTGGGACCTGCAGCTGCAGCCAGACATCCGCGTGCTTGTACTTTTAACACAACCACCATCCATCAAGCTTTGAATAGAACTGCAACCAATCGTCCATCCTATCTCAGAGACTCCAAACATAAACATTGACATCTCCATTGCTCGATCATTTTGCTACTTAAACCCTTTTGATTTCAAACGCAGTTCCAGCATTCCAACTTCCCGTCTTGTATCACATTCTATCATCAATATCCGTTGACAAGTGACCGGCATTGATGTGAATATATCCTTACCTCCTTACCGCTCTATCTCTCTGACACGATTGACAGTTCTTGGCAAGCTTCTAGAAATGGCCGAAGGAACTTGGGAGAAGCTGTCCCAGGTAGCTGTCCTGGGCGCTGAATATGACTCCCCTGAACGCCAGCCCCATCTGAAATGTTTGGAAGGGACCCGAGTGGACCTTCTCAAATTCATCAACAGACTGTTGAACAAGCGAGAGAAGAGTCAAATCATTTGGCTGCATGGCATGGCAGGCGTCGGAAAGTCTGCCGTGGCATTCACTGTAGCTGAAAGAATGAAAAGTCTGAAAATAACACAGAATACGAAAATTGAAACAAGGCTCGCGGGGACATTCTTTTTCTCGCGCAATTCCAAGGAACGCAGCACGACTGGACATTTCTTTGCGACGCTTGCTTACCAGCTTGCGAGCAATTTCCCCAGCATCAGGAACAACGTGAACAGAGCTGTCCGCGAGAATCCTGCAGTTCTAGACTCCAGCAAGTCTCTTCGCGACCAGATGAAGGCGTTATTTCACAAACCTCTCTGGCACCTGCGACTCAGCTTATGCGACTGTCCGCCTCTGGTCTTTGTCATCGATGCCCTCGATGAATGCAAACCTGAAACTGTTGCCGATCTCATCTCCCTCCTTGGGGAAGCTCTTCATGATCCTGAACTTCCTGTGATCCACATTCTGCTCACGAGTCGCTTGGAGGAGCGTATCTGTAAAGCCATTCAAAAGGAAGAGATGCGGACGCTGGTGTACGAGATACCAGTGAACACTTCTGGAGAGGGCGTTGCTGGCACCATTTCATTAGATGGTGAAGATGTCGACAATGACATCTATATCTTCTTACAGCATTCCTTCATGGAGTTGCAAAATCGCCACCCTGATTTCCCTCAGCCAGCTGCGGATAAACTTACGCAGCTGGCGAACTGAGCTGGCAGATGTTTCATTGTGGCATCTACAGTAATGAAGTTTGTCGATGACGAACACAATGACCCCCGGGATCGCCTTAAGCTCATGCTTGAGCTCACCAATGAACTGCTTCCTGGGACGGAAGTGTATGAGTTATACAACCGTATCCTCGCCACCTGTTCGGACCCCAGCTGGGCATACCAGCACTTGTCTATTGTTGCTGCCCTTGCAGACCCTCTGCTGATCTCACAGATCTCGAAGCTCCTTGGCCCTGGTCAAGGCAGTGATGTCACGACCGCACTGGTACAGCTACGGTCTTTCATGAATATTCCCACTGACAGCAGCCATCCTGTAAATATCTACCACTCGTCCATTCGGGACTATGTTTCAGACTTGTCAAACTACAACCTCCCTGGATTACAACCCATCACAGCACCACATTCCCTACTCACTTACTCCTCTTTCTGCTTGATGATCCAAGACATTCCAGAACGCACTACTCTCATAGATGCGCTCTTAGAATTGAAGTCGCAGAATCAGGCTATGCAACCCCTCGACCCCCGGGACTTGCAACAATCGTTAGCCTTCATTGTTGAGCCACCAGAGCTATTGCAGGTTCTCATGGGCCTGTTATGGCTTTGGGGAGCTCACGGGTCTGGTCTGCAGTCCTGGCTAAGGACTTTAGATGGATGTGCATGGCTACAGACCCAATATGGGGAAGATTATTTGCGGACACAGAAGGGAGAAGACTGGCTGCAGACCTTGGACGGGGGGCATTGGCTGCAGACCCACGCAGGAGACACCTGGTTACAGACCGAGAGGGGGCAAGGGTGGCTGCAGAGTAGGCCAGGGTGGCTGTGGACTCAAAGACGGCGACAAGTTGCTGGAGACCCTGGTGAGTACATGTCATTGGAGACTTGGAGCATACAAGACGACTCACTGGAGACCATCAATGGGCAAGTCTGGCTGCAGACCCAGACTGGACGAGAATGGTTGCAGACCCAGACTGGGGGAGAGTGGCTGCAGAGCCGACACGGGGAAGAGTGGCTTCAGACCTCTACTGGACAAGTGTGGCTGCAACAGACCCCGAGTGGCCGAGAATGGCTGCAGACCCAGAGTGGACGAGAGTGGCTGCAGACCCAGAGCGGCCAAGAATGGCTGCAGACCCCGAGTGGCAGAGAATGGCTACAGACCCATGGTAGTGAGTGGCTACAGACCCATGGTAGTGAGTGGCTACAGACCACACCTGGACGAGAGTGGCTGGACACCAGGAGCGGGAGACAATGGGCCGCTGAGAACTGGCAACAATTGCTGGATGAGGATAGGAGGCGACAATGGTTGGAGACCAAGAGCGGGCAACAATGGTTGGGGACAGAGAGCGGGCAACAATGGTTGAAGACTGAGGGTGGGCAACAATGGTTAAAGACCGAGAGCGGGCGACAATGGTCGAAGACCAGGAAACGGCTGAAGACCGAGGGTGGGCAACAATGGTTAAAGACCGAGAGCGGGCGACAATGGTCGAAGATGAGGAAACGGCTGATAACAGAGAGAGAAACATGTGTGATCATGGAGATCGAGATAGAGAACAGGACAGAGTGGATGGAGACAGAGGGCAGGACAAAGCAGGGGAGGAAGTGGCTAGAGACACAGCATGGGATGGTATGGCTGGAGACAAAAAGCGGGACAGAGTGGCTGGAGACACAGAGTGGGAGGCTGTGGATGAAGATGCAGAGCGGGAAGCTGTGGATGAAGGCACAGAGCGGGGAGCTGTGGCTGAAGGCACCGGGCTGGAGGCTGTGGCTGAAGACACCAAACTGGAGGCTGTGGCTGACGACATTGTACGGGATGGAGTGGCTGAGGACACCGAGCGGGAGTAGGTGGGTGGAGACACCGAGCGGGAGAGATTGGCTGGGGACACCAAGCGGGAGAGCATGGCTGGAGACACCGAGTGGGATAGCATGGCTGTCCCGGTGTAGAGACTCATGCCTCTCCTTGTGCAATATTGCAGTTTTCACCAAGGAGTATACAGCACGAACTTGTAGCATCACTCTGTATGCTTCCTACAGCCATTCCTACATGAGGCGCAGCTTTCCCACACATCACGCAACTTGCGCGCGTACCTTTCCCGCGCTTCACGATGTATATGCGCGCGCGCTTTCCCGCGCTTGAGCGCCCTATAGTGCCAGCCATCCGGAAGCATCCATCCACTGTCCACCAAGTTCCCTGGTGCGTATATTTCCATTTCTCACATTTGCATATCGTTCCATCTTTATTTTTATCATGGACCCTTACTTACATATATCCTTACATACCTTACTCAGTAGCGCTTTGGCTCCGCATGACAGCACTTAGGCGCCATACTTAAGTGCCAGCAGTACATACTATTACTCACTGACTCTCCCACCAGAACGACAGAGGACTGAACCACAACAATACCCATTTACTACCCAGCAGAGCATAGTTGAAATCTATTCCTTGGCACCTCGCATATAACATCTCGCAGCTTGCATCTCTCACCTCTTGTCTAGTGTCTTATCATCACTTAAGCAAACTCACTCTTACTCTCTCTTGTTTCTGCATACATGCGCGCGCATTCCCGCGCCTCGCGCGCACCTGCGCTTTCCCGTGCTTCGCATTCGCCAACCAGTAGCGCATTCGGCACCTACTACTAGATCCTTGCTGCACTCGCTTCCCCTTTAGGGTCAAACACACTTGTCGTCTCAAGTATAGCAGACTAGGCAACGCGTGACCTTACAACATTTATAGATACAGTCAGGAGCATTGTTTGTGCCTCGCTGTATCGTTGAACCTTCACTGGGGGACACTGAGCGGGAGAGATTGGCTGGAGACACCGAGCGGGAGAGATTGGCTGGAGGCACCGAGCGGAAGAGAGTGGCTGAGGGCATCGAATGGGAAAGAGTGGCTGGCGGCACCAAGCAGGAGAGCATGGCTGGGGACACCAAGCGGGAGAGCGTGGCTGGAGGCACTGAGTGGGAGAGATTGGCTGGGGACATCGAACGGGAAAGAGTGGCTGGCGGCACAGAGCGGGAGAGCATGGCTGGAGACACCAAGTGGGAGAGTGTGGCTGTAGACATCAAGTGGGAGAGCATGGCTGGAGACACCAAGTGGGAGAGTGTGGCTAGGGACACCAAGCGGGAGAGTGTGGTTGGAGGCACCGAGCGGAAGAGAGTGGCTGGGGACACAGTACGGGAGACTGCAGACTCCAATCAGACATGCATGGCTGCACACCTTCCACGGACAACAGTGGCTCCTGACACAAAGTGGGCGAGAGTGGCTACTGACCCAGAGTGCACAAGAGTGGCTCTTGACCCCAGGAGGGCAAGAATGGCTGCATACTCCGGCCGGACGAGAGTGGCTGCAGACCCCAGGTGGACTGCAGACTGAACATGGTCAAGAATGGCTACAGACAAAGAGTGGACAAGAGTGGCTACTGACTCTGAGCGGCCGGGAGTGGTTGCAGACCATGTGCGGATGAAAGTGGCTGCAGACTGAGAGTGGACGAGGGTGGCTTAAGACATCCCATGGACAAGCATGGCAGTTGACTCCTACGGTGTCTGGCTGGGTGACGATGGAAGACTTCTCGAACACGTTGGAAACAATCAGCGAGTGCGCAATTACCCCAGAATTCCATTTGCCGCCAGCTGTTCAAGTAATCCAGGAGTTTAAGAACTTACCAGATTTCTTAATGTTTCCGGCCTTCCTGGCCTTAAGGCCCCAGGATCATTCCACCTCCACATCCCTACAAGATTGTCCAGACATTGAGGTCGTCCATACTATGACTGCATTCACGATTTTCGCAACCGAGGCACGGGAGCAAAGTCAATCATCTTCTGACGCTCTGAAGTACGCATGCCAAAACTGGATCTTCCATCTCTTGCGAGCTCCGAGTCCAATGGACCATAGACTCACCTGTGCATTCAAGCTCTTCTGGGATTGCCACCTCCTCTCCTGGCTTGAAAGGCAGTGGTGCTTGAAGGGCCTGCGGTCCTGCCTCTTTGTGTTATCGGAAGGACAGAAACTTGCACAGGTGTGTTCTCGATGCTTTTCGTATATTTAGCACCTAACCTGCCCACAAAGGAACGTCTCGTTGAAGCTACAGGGTCTCAGTCTCAGGTTTGAAACTGTGCAATTTACTATGCACTGGATGTCTGGCTGTCTCTTGTTATTCCGCATTGATATTTTTCTTCCATGTCGCCTGTGTATTTTCGGACTTTGGAATGTTGCGTCGGTGTTCCCACTGGTTAACCGAAATCCTTCAGTGAAGTATAATGACGTAAAAGAGGTTTACAGAACGATCAGTCGTAATGTTCATGATCAATGCACCTGTGACTCCCACGTATTGCCTCTAATTAGACGTGATTATAGATAGCATTAGCACATCTAAAATGACAGACTTACAGTGTTTCTAAGCCTCCTCCAATATCTCTTGGTTAAAGACTGACTTATAATAAAAGAAAACAGCTGTAGCCCTATGTAAGCTGGCGTGAGACATCGGCACTCACGCAGGTAATGTTCCTGACGTCGGCTATCCTGCGCCTGCCGTGCGAACCTTTGTGCTCGCCGTCATACATGATGAGCACAATAATTCAAACATATCGGAGGCGCGTTTGGACACAGTGACTAAGCATAATGAGTGAAGTACATTGCAGCAGTATAATGGCTAAACTAATACTAGACTACTCCTCCCCCTCACCATCATCAAGAACCTGAAGCCGCGAGAAGTCATCAGTGATGAGGATGATGTCCTGCAAACTCCTCAAGGCTTCCTCTGCCACCTCCTCTTCATCTAGGTCCTCTTGAGTATCTGCGCCTACAGAAGATGATGGGTTGTGTACAGGTATATTAGCAGCGAACATGCTGGCAGGGAATCCGAGGATCTGGCATGCTAGCACTCTCTCCGATACTGGTGCAAGCACTTAGACCAGGGATTAGTGTACCAGTGAAACCAGGGAGCTGTGAGATATCATGAAGCCACTTTATATGGCGCAAGTTGAACCGGCCTCGAACACTCCGATGGCTGTTGTTCTCTGACAATATGAACAATGGGCTTGTACACAGAATCAAAGTAAGTTATCTGGCTCCTCACAATAATATTTTGTTCTTATTGAGTATCTTCGAGATCTCAATGAACGCGACTCTTTGGAAACAGTCCAAAAGCAAGTTCGAAGATTGATTGTCCGAGGACTGGGTATGTGACAACATTCGTTAGTGCATGCGAGCATTGTCTGACATATTCACAGTTGCAATAACAGGCAAAAAGGACATTACAATGAATTACAACAACTACAAGATGGTCATCGTCAAAACATATGCAGTCCGCCTGGTAGGATGGCCCCAGGGTGTCAAATTTATCAGTCCTTCAAGCATTGGGACTGTCGGCGAAATCCGCAAGCTTCGTGATATGCTGAGGGCCAAGGCATGTCACTGGAGTGCTCTGACCCCAGCAGAGGTCAAAGCTCATACTGCTGCACTCGATGTGCGTTGTTTGGCAGGGGAAGTCGTTCGGCAGCCACACAAGAAGCGCTCCAATGCTGGAATCCCTCGCAAGCGCAAGGGTGCACCTACTACTGGACAGGGAAACCAAGAGAATAGAAGGCCATCAAAGAAGGTGAAAAAGAATATTAGTACCCAGCATCGGCATCAACAAAAGAGCCTGAAACATGTATGTCAATATATGCTGCCCGAAGTATATATGTTGAATATCAGGGCTTGTATCAAAATTTAATGCCTTATATGCACCTTATATGTACCTTGTAAGCTGGTTAACAGACTTGTGTACTCATGTAAGCTTCACAAGGCCTTATATGCTTCGGGCTCTTTTGTTGATGGGGAGGCCGCCAAAAGTACAGAATTTGTTATGTCGTCTGAGGATGAGGATGAGGATGAGTAGGGCACCCTTCTATGTATATCGAGAAGACTTGTACATATCTGAATGATCAGTAGCTGTCACTGTGTCCAAATGCACCTCCGATATGTTTGAATTATTGTGCTCATCAGTGTATGATGGCGAGCACGAAGGTTCGCACAGCGGGCGCAGGATAGCCGACTGTCAGGAACATCACCTGCGTGAGTGCCGATGTCTCACGCCAGCTTACATAGGGCTACAGCTGTTTTCTTTTATTATAAGTCAGTCTTTAACCAAGAGATATTGGAGGAGGCTTAGAAACGCTGTAAGTCTGTTATTTTAGACGTGCTAACATCACTGAAAGTCAAGATCCGCTATAAACCATTATATCCCCCTTATAATGGTCATGATACCTGCAATCGGATAAAATATGGCAGGTGGTTTTATAACATCATGTATACCTTTAAACACCTAGCCTCCTTGGCCAAATTAATTAATAACCTTACATATTTGCCAGACTACCATGTGTGACATGTAAGTGAAGAAATCATCATCCTTTTCGTGTGATACACTACCATATAACTACACAACGGGAAGTCAGATGTTATGCAACGGCAACTGAAATATTTACAAGATGATTAACTAGCAAGTATTGGACATCATACATACCTTTGGACACCTAGCCTCCTTGGTCAATTTAAATAATAATCATACATATTTGTCGGATTACCAAGTATAATGTGTAAGTGAAGAGATTATCATCCTTTTCGTGTGATACACTGCTTTATAACTTCACAACGGAAAGTCAGACGCTTAGGCAATGGCAACTGAAATACACGGAAGATAACTTGCATTGCAGAATTAGGTGCGTCGAACAGAATTATCTGAATGGAGCTTGTAGCCTACATGTATCAGTGTGGTGTGCGCTACCAGCGCTTGCAAGCCAGGTAGATGTGTCCATGATCAGTCGTAATGTTGTTGTTGAGACAAAAGTGTCTGTATGGAGCTGGTAGCCTACATGTATCAGTGTGGTGTACGCTACCAGAGCTTGCAAGTCATGTTGATGTGTCCCCGATCACTAGTGATGTTGTCCTTGAGACAAGCACACCCAACTTTCAATACTGCGGCATCGCACACAACTCGCTACCTGAAGTCACACGTCTGTCATGTTTGTGTTGACTACTAAATACCAGATGTGTGATGAAGGTGGACCATTTGTCTCAACCATATGGTAGCACAGAATGTCTGGGCATATTGTCTATCGCAGGTCTTAATGTCATTGCTGATGGTACTACTTGAATCTCACTTGGCAATGCGTAACGTTATGAAAAATTTTAATCATTCATTATGTACAATGTAAAATTACATGCAGCTCGAAGTTTAACGTTTAAAGTTCAGTACTAGCCTAAGTAGTTTCTCTTATTCTAACCCAACTTAGCTAGATCCGGCGCCCTGGCCAAAGTCATGGCGACCGACATTTTGTTCGCATGCTGCGGGCAATAATCAGAAACAAATTTTCTACCAAAAACCTTTCTGAAAAATGAAACCCCAATGAATCAACAGAAGATGGTGATGCCAAAGCTACTCACTGATTCCACCAAAGTAAAAGGTCGTCGACTTCTTTCGCTGCTTCTGGCGATGGAGGGAGCTCAAGATAGTCAACTATATTGTCGTAGAACTCTTGATGGTTGAATTCATCATCAACAATGCGCCAAGATCCTGCGCTCAACAACGCAAATCTTAGCTAAATCCCCTAATCAGCAAAGCGCACAATATTGAGTTAAATAGTCCATACCTGAACAGACGCATAGGCTATGGCTCGAGGTTGAATAGATCACATATTGAGGAGTGTTGAAACATCGCGCCGAGTGCGACGCTCGCCACTGTTCTTGTTCCATACAGAACGAGGCGCCGAGTCAGCAGGTTGTTCCTCGTATGTAGAAGTTGGAGAGGTGAACACACGTTTAAATGCCTGGAGACTGCATTCAGTATGCTTCTACCAAACATAATAATTTTACCTTTATAAGTAGTTTGCCTTTAAACAAACCATTGGTAGGATTCTGGGGGTCATAGCATCTATTCTCATACAGGAATGACGGCCAGGAGCAAGCGGTGATATGAAAATCAGGATGGTAGTCTCAAATGGAGGCTCGAACACTTTAAAGACATAAGTTAGTTATGGTGCAGGTCAGAAAAGAGCCCTTACGTGGGATTGCTCCAGTCGTAATCAACTGGGCACAGGAGTCTGCCCGTCACGTCATTGTGAAAACCCCGACCAGACTTGTCTTGTCTGTGGATGGTGGGATTTGGTGTGGGAGTGCGTTCCATTAGCCAATCAGCGACAGCGCACTTGAGACTAGCAGAGTCGTCTCCTCTGGCCCCATCAGAGCCTTCATTCAGCTGGATGCGAGATACAGTCACATTTTGTCAGTGAATTGTTTTGGGGAGTCTCACCTTGTTGTATGCAAAAGCAAGAATTTCGTGCTCGGCTGACGACCGTAGCAATTTACGAGCCGAGGGACACCATACCATGAGTTTCTTGAAGGAATGATACCGCCTATTTTCACTGGAACATGACCTGAGGGCTAACCAGTAAAAGTTGTGAAGATGTACTTACTCTGGGTCATCTGAATCCATTTTGTCCGCGCCTGATTCATTGTCAGCGCCCAGTCCAATGCGCCTATTGAATTCTGCTACCAGATCTTCAACGTGCTTGGTCAGACATACGAGCCTTCGAATTGGTCGACCATAGTATGTATTCGATTCACTACTTTGGATTTTTATCAACTTGTTGTGCCGCCATTTTAAAAACTAGACATACCTTTTCTTCCCAGGGAGCCCACGGACTTGGAGGTCCGCATTTTCTTCCTCGAGTGCGGTGATTCGTCTTTTGAGAGCGACTAGAGGGTGAATCTCATTGTTGTCTGGTTCAGATGGAGACGGAGATGAGGTTGCCATTGCGCGTGGATGAGAATGCCAAGTGGGGGCTTAGGGAATAGGCATGATGGTCAATTTAGCTAAGGAAACATAGCGGAAATGAAACACAGACCTTGAGACAGCTAACTTGTTGGGGATCCTTAGCATGGGCCCCACACAACGTCATGTAGGATTATCAGCTCCATACATTCTTCGACGTTGCAACCCTGCATGAACGGCACATACACCACATACATAATTGACTGAAGGTTATAGGGTCAGTTAATTGTTAGTAGAGTTTGCTCCAAGGCGAATTCTGTCGATCATGTGACAGCAATTACATAACGCCTGGCAGTCATCTTTAGTGAAACGGAAAGTGAGGATGATACCCCAACCATAGGTCCACGTACTATAGCCCCAGAAACGCAAACTACATGCCATCTATACTTACCAACTTGGAGCTCGAGACTGACTCCAATGTCTCTTATCCTTCCATTGATGGTTTTCTGGCCAAACTTGACAAGGCAGAGCCATGGCGCGGGTGGATTGAAAAGTTTCTCCATCCGCTCACTTCACTGGGGGTTAGGACATTAGACGACATAGAAATCATATCGCCTGAATGCCTTACCGTGTTTCACCGCCTCTGTCCCCTAATGGTTATGGACTTCTTTGTCCACATCATCAGTTACCTCGATGAAGCCAGCCATTTGGCACATCAGAGCTCTAGGCTGTAATATGGAAAGCGGTTGAGAATAATAGGTGAGCCCGTCCAGTAGAAAGCAAACCTTCACCATTAGCAACCTATCTGCCGTAGTTTCCACACGCTGGAGTAGATGTCTTTGAGAGACAAGAGAAGACGATTCTTCAGTCATCATGTGTATAAATCCCCCAGGTCCTTGACATAATTCACGAGGTGTTCTGTCAAGTGTAAGATGTATTTTAGTACCAGTTGTATTGAGAGGCCTCAAGCTGTAGCACTTACGATTCATGGCTCAATGGGCATCACTGTGCGCTTACTGAACAAGCATGACGAAGGACCAAAATGCAAGTGTTCCGTTTTGACTGATGAGTGATGCCCACATTTTTGACCCCCCAAAAGCTGGGATCCCTTGCCACCGACTTCAGTATTAAATCCACTATTATAATCATGTCAGTATGCCTTGAGTTCGCATGGTATCAAGGTCTTACTCTGGAAGTGATTGAATAAAATCTAGTATATTAGCATCACAACAAGCGGCCTCAATCTCTTCTTGTGTGACCTCAGATTCCGGTATGGAGGCACCGAGCAAGATATTGAAGTGGATAGTTCCCGCGTACAAATTCTGCAAGGCAAGTAGTCAGCTCCTCTCCACCAAGGGATTAAGATCATGAGCATATTCACAGGCTCTTGCGACACAAGTGAAAGCTGCTGTCGATATGCCTGGACGTTAAACTCGTCGATAAGCTCTCCGTCGAGTGAAATCTGTCCAGAAATTGGATCGTAGAAACACTCTAGTGACTGGATGCTAAATGGACTCTCAGATGCCTGTCAAAATACTGTAGAATGACAAGACTTACACTGTACTTTTACTGCAACCACTAGAGCTGACTAAGGCAACATAAATTCCAGGTTCCGCGATAAGCGAGAGACCACGCAGACCCAGAATCCGGGATGGGTAGGGTAGGGTAGCTGAAACAAATGTTCTCCAGCTGTATGTGGCCCTTGATTATTTTGCTTGGAACATGTTTGCCTTTAGTTGACTCTGCATCAATCACAGGTCTTGCATCAAGGAGCCTGAGGATTGTGTTGGCGGCTCCTTTGGCTGACGAGACGTCAGGCACAAAGGCAAAGACGTTACCAGCTTACATTGCGCCAAATACTGTACTCTGCCAATGTTATGTTCACTTCAAGGATGTTTGAAGGTTGACAAAATGGCCATACCATCAAAGCAATGAAATATGATTGTGTGGAGATCTCCAGCTGCGAAACGAGTGTCGCGCTGTAGACTCGTGCCTCTCATTGTGCAATATTGCAGTTTTCACTAGGGAGTACATGGCACAAACTTGTAGCATCACTCTGTATGCTATCCACAGCTATTCCTATATGAGGTGCAGCTTTCCCGCGCAACACGCAACTTGCACGCGTACCTTTCCCGCGCTTCATGATGTATATGCGCGCGCGCTTTCCTGCGCTTGAGTGCCCTATAGTGCCAGCCATCCGGAAGCATCCATCCACTGTCCACCAAGTTCCCTAGTGTGTATATTTCCATTTCTCACATTTGCATATCGTTCCATCTTTATTTTTATCATGGACCCTTACTTACATATATCCTTACATACCTTACTCAGTAGCGCTTCGGCTCCGCATGACAGCGCTTAGGCGCCATACTTAAGCGCCAGCAGTACATACTATTACTCACTTACTCACCCACCAAGAACGACAGAGGACTAAACCACAACGATACCCATTTACTACCTAGCAGAGTATAGTTGAAATCTATTCCTTGGCACCTCGCATATAACATCTCTCAGCTTGCATCTCTCACCTCTTGTCTAGTGTCTTATCATCACTTAAGCAAACTCACTCTTACTCTCTCTTGTTTCCGCATACACGCGTGCGTATTCCCGCGCTTCGCGCATTCTCACGCCTCGCACGCACCTGCGCTTTCCCGCACTTTGCATTCGCCAACCAGTAGCGCCTTCGGCGCCTACTACTAGATCCTTGCTGCACTCACTTCCCCTTTAGGGTTGAATGCACTTGTCGTCTCAAGTATAGCAGACTAGGCAACGCGTGACCTTACAACATTTATAGATACAGTCAGGAGCATTGTTTGTGCCTCGCTGTATCGTTGAACCTTCAGCGCCATACCAGAAAACTAGAGCAATTACCCAAAACACCATAGCCTGAGAGAGTGCGAACAGAATGTTGCTCCAGAGTACTGTCCTGATGGATTTTTTGATGGGTCCTTCCAGGCACCGTCTGTAAAGATTAAGGCAGTGCTCTTCTTGAGTCAATAATGCAACAGTGCGAATAGCTGCAGCAGCTTTGCAGGCAATCTGAGCAGAGCTTTCATGCGCTGACTTGTTATTTTGATCTTTCAGAACAACGACTTGCCAGAAGGCGTTTAGCACGACTGGAGCATAAAATGCAGGTCACGTACCAAACATATAAAGCCAGCGGACACCAGGACGGGGATGCATGCTGAAAAACGACGATATTTATAAGAGGAAGGCTCAAAATCAGGAATCGAAATGCACCCATGCCGACAAGAGCTGGCTTCCAAGCATATACAAGGACGATGATCAAACCAGCAAGTATAGTTGTGATAGATTGGACAATCCTAACCAAAGTCAGTATGTCATAACCTCAGGAGGACTCGTAATACGCACATTCCCAGAGTTATGCCAGCGAGTCCATTGATCTTCTGAGGGTTTTCGCCCAAGCTTGATGTCAGAGCGTCAGTCTTTCAAATTCTGATGAGGGTTGTGCTCGAGCTGGAGAGTTGTATGACTCACATTGTTCTTGTCGTTATCAAAGCACTCGACTGGTTCCATGCGTTAGAGAAATAATTTGGCAATTAAGGTACTCACTGTCTTGCCGGATGATGGCTTTGAAACTCATTGAACGGTGCTTGGAAATCAAGACAGCGGCAGAAGAAGAAAAGACAACAGGCGGGATAGGGGACAGCGGGAAAGGTAGAGTTGACAGCAGTTTACAAGGGGCGTCTGCTGGTGAGTGTGTCCGGAAAATGCCGCGCGGTTTGTCAATGCCCCATACATTTGACTAACTTTAGAGTTCTCTTTGCACAAGAGCAGATGTCACACGATCTTTAGTTACCTCAGCTTGCATTAGCTCGTGCAGGCGCAGGCGCCATCACCAGTTTCCTACTGCAAGTCACCCACACCTTGTATGAAAAATGTAATTAATTCTTGTTTTCAACTAGCACACCTGTGGAGCTTGTAAAATGTAAAATGCAAGTGCAGATCGCTCCTGGGCTGCTTTCAGCCTTGATACATGAATCCACTGCAGCAGCAGCCCTAAACTCACGCCTTGGACCCATTTCTCGCCCCGTTCCCGGTCCTATAGCCATTGTCAGGAGGCAAGTTTCCTCGAGCAGTATAGGAGTTCATTCTGTCTTGGTGAAGACCCTCCGACTGAACATGTTAACCGCTCATAGCATGTTTGTAGGATAAAAAGACACACCTTGTGTACTAGCATGTCTCCAATCTACTACTTGATCAGCACCCTTCCAGAGAGACATGTCGTCACCTCCAAATTCACCCCAGGCAGTGGGAACTTGAGATGCCAGCACAATGCGAGAGTCGATGAGGGAATTAGACTCCAAAAGTGTTTGGACTGCGTCGATATCTTCAGAGATGCGAAACACAACTACTTGAAGGTGTGATGAAGTGAGAACGGAAGCCACTAATTCTGGCTTAGTCCTCCGTGTATGGATGTGTAAGCACAAGTGCGTCAGTCCATGAAGATTCTCCAGACCAACTGTGGAGTTCCATAACACCCAAGCATTGAGAATTTCAAGATGTGTCACTGTACTGAAGGCCTTGAAAGTGGAAAGAGAGACAAATTGGGTGCAATGGAAAATCAAGGATATACTAAGCGATAATGATGTTAGGGGGAGGTCATTTAAGGGCCGCAGCAGAGGATTTATTGTTCCATTGAAGTCTGATGGTGCAATCCATAATGCAAGATTGGTGGTACCGCTGCACAGGGAAAGGATATCTGCGGCTGTACTCAGAAGTACATCGCCCTCAATGCACAGTGATTGCACAGCCCCTCGAGTGAAATCACTGCAGCGCTGGGACCGAATACAAAATGATGAAAGAAAGGAGATAGCAATGGTTTCATTTGGCAGAACGATTTTTCGATAAAGCAGCCTTTCAGTCCTGTGACAGTAGTACTCAGTAACTCAGCATTTGGTGCTTCAGAATTGCTCACCAATAATGTACCCGCTGTGAAACAAACAGAAGAGAGTAAGCTTGCTGTATGCAATCAATAGCGAGAATAAAAATTTCTTTCTCGAGTTTGAGGGGCAATGCTGGCACTGGCATGAGTACCAGACGATGATGGGGAAACTAGAAAATGTCTAGCATAAAGTTCGGGTACTCGGATCTCGAATTATCGAGCCTGACCCGTCGCACGGCTGAAGTCAGGATGATTCATTAGAACATTTTCGGCGATTACTTACATTACGAAACAGTGATCATATCATTAAGTACCCTGAGTCTATTGACGGGACACCTGACCTCTGAACTATGTTTTAGTCAAAATGCACATGGGTCCAAACCCTCAGTGTTTTTGGACCGAGCAATGCAAATGCGGGGTTGAAGGAGTCCGGGTAAGTTCCGAGCATTTTAACCCTGACACTTTGATACACTGAAACCCAAGCAGATTGTATTTCTATTTCGAATCTTCATGACACGCCGACTTTACACTAAACCTTAAATGTTTGTATCCGGGGTAAAATCAAAGTCATTGCGACTGATCTCGAACACATGGCAGGTTGGAGTCCTCCACCATTGCTGAATGTCAGAGTTGCAGGGCCAGCAGAAATGAAGGGTCAACTAGTGGTGGACCAATATCGCTGGCACCAGTAGAGGGAAAGCTTGCGATGGATGTCATCATTAATTACTAGTAGTGGTCATGGGATCTGACTCACATATAAAATTATCAGCAGGTGTTACACACCAAATGCATTTAGTTGGTGTTGACGGATCATCTAAGTGGCGTCAAGTACCATGGAAGGTCTGCAGACATTTAGGCTGTTTCCCCACTTAGAACTAGTAGTACTCAACGTTCAGTGTTTGACGTTCAACCCTAGCCTAAGCCGTTTTAATAACCGCACTTCGGTCGAAATTCAAAATTGAGTCCATCTTGACAGCTATATCATAAGTGACATGATCGCTGGCAGGGTCTCTCGGAACTTGACAACAAAATTTCGGGAGCCCTGAGCACATTGGAATGCAGGGTCAGGGAGAATCCAAGAGGAACTTCTGTATCAGAGCAGGGTTAGCCGTCTTTGTGTGAGTTTGAGATGAGGAGTGAATTGAATTTAAATATGTTACCCTCCAACTTGAAGGGGGACACCAGCGAACATGTTGTCTGACACAGATTCTGAGACTAGTATCGACTCGCGCTCCTCTGGCTTTAATGATGGAGCCGACACTATCATCTTGATGAACACTGAAAGTGCAGGCAAGGATGACCATCACTCCGCGTCAAGAAGCTCCACTCCACAAAGTCACAAGGACTCCTGCCCTGGCCCTGGTCAGTCGCATGGGCAAGGTGGTCCGGTGTATTCCTGCGGGTGCTATACGTATGGTGAGCGTGGCAGATTTGAATCGCTCATATCCTGGCCGAGTAACTCACAGACTGGCTAAAACAGAACATCTAGCACCCCGAGGAAATGACCCGAAGGACATCCGCTGGCAGGCTTGGTTTGCTAACCTTGACTCGGATGCGGACTGCGGACTCGGACTCGGACTCGGATATCGAGATTTTGCTGATACGTCCGAGTCTAAAGCGAAAGAGGTCACAGGACAACTTGAATGATGTAAGTATATGTAGCTGTATCTTTCAAAATTATGCGCTTACCTTTGCATGGATGCTCTGCACAATTAGGGTCGGGATGTTACCAACAGGCAGAAAAGATCACACACTTGGAAACCCATCTCAGATGAGCTCAGAAAGAGATTTGAAAAACTAGCTATTGAAGTTGTGGGTGTGCTAGAAGCAGTGAGTAGACTCGAGGCAGCCATCAATAGCCAAAGCGGAGTGATGGCTGAGGCCTGCAACGCGGTTGAAAACAATGGCATGTAATGACATGGGGCCCTTTCAGATGTACTCGATAGTAGTAGTTCGTTGACGGTATGCAGGCTCTTCCAGAATAAGTCCCATTAACAACAGTGTTAGCAGAATGAGGTTGAAGTGTTCGATTTGGAGTGGGTGAATTCGGATGATTGGGAAGAAGCGGAGGCGCGACGGCTGCTTGAAAGTTTGTGAGATACTGTCAGTTGTGAAGTGATACAGGATCAACGTACCTTGGCTCTGCAAATAGATTATAAGAAGTGCGGGATGAATAATGCGGACGATGCAGATGAATTATCTGTCGTGCCAGAAGAAAGGGTGAAGCTCAATGTCAACGAATGAGCGTGTTTGGTTATATCCGTAATATATTCCCTATACATACATTATGGTCACGAGAGATCTGATACAACGATTGATGACAAGTCGTCCGTAACCGCCCTCTGCTCGTAATGGTGCCTTACTTGCCATAATCCACCCTCTGTGTCAGGTTCGCGTACCTCAGTCTCCAGATGCCAGCCTGACAGTGTGTACATTCCTGGTCGGGTAGCGCACAACTGGGCGAGGACAGATGTTGTCTGCAACGGCGCCAAAAGCCCCCTGAACATCGTCTGGCCACAATATGGTGCAGGGAAATGATGTCTACAGACGCTGTCAGTTGACAGTATACGGGGCAAAAAATCACTCACGACGATTGTTGACAATGGTCAAGTCTAAGGACAAAGCGCGACGGATGGGACAAGGAATGGTTACAAATCGTAAACTCCACGGGAACCATGCAAAGACTGATCGACACAGACAAGCCATCGCTCGCCCTCGAGGGTATCACCTAGAAAGTCACCAATGGTCAGTGTCGATTCCCATTGCCTAGCTTCGAGGACTTGAGTGACTCAACTGTCAACTGGTAACCTGTCAATGATCTTTGCACAGTATTAGAGGCGAATTGCAGCCTTGACCAGGCCTGAAAGTAATGATTAGCGGCGTTATCACAGATCTTGGTGAGGATTTCCATTCGCAGGGCAGGTTCGACCTCCTCAGAACCAAAGTCGTCGATGAGATTAACAAGGTTGTTAATAGCACGTGCACCGCCGAATGCGCTGGGCTGCAGAAGTGGTCTGATGTCAGTAACGAAACTATCCTTTCGAGCCTGGATGTTTATCGTCGGTGGTTGTACAGGAGCAGCAGCAGTGGAGGTCGATGTGGTTGCCGTAGAAGTTGAAGGTGTAGATGGCAATTGTGCATAGAAAGAAGACAATTGTCCGATCATTGTAGAAGTAGGTGAATGAAGAACAGTGGGGTGAAAGAGTGCCTTGAGACTGTGATGTGGGTTGATGCTGAGTTAAATGCGAGGAATAAAAATGTGTGGGAAGAACATAGGCAGGATTAATGGATAAAGTAGGATGCTGATATTGATATGGATGTCGTGGTTGGGATTGGGGATGTATAAGGGTGTAAATGAGATGCGTGACGTCTACCCATGATGGAAAGTCTAATGTTTGGGAATGCAAGGCCATGATTGCTTCAAGTTGTGTGAAATCCAACATGACATAGGGTGTCGTCATTCTGGAAAATGCCGGCAAGATATACTTGTCCAAATCGGGATGTGTCTACGATACGCAATAATTCGAACGACAAAAGTAAGCATTAATTCGTTCTTAATTCAATTTTGTATCTACCAGTAGCTCTAGTACTATCATGAACAACAACGCTAACGCTAATGAAGTTGGAAATCGAGACGGGGACGGACACAAAACCAAGGTCACCAGGTATGTGGAGAATGTTCTAATTAATACTCACTAACGTTCGACAGATCCCCAAGCACCTTCTGCGAGTCGCACCAAGGCCTCGCGACGTGATGTTCACATTGAGTGAAAGGCAACTCATAAGTAACGACTCATTCAGCAATCAAAATTCTAACATATCTGAAGGAAATGTTGTATGTTAGATGGGACGCTGCGCGAATCCGCATGCACCAACAAATCTACAACCCCCACCTACCATTTCAGCCATATCCTCTTCCTCCGGCCTGGTCAGAAGAAGCGCGCGCCATGATGATACTCTGGGTCGCTAGGGAACGCTGGATGTTTGAGCTGGATATGCAGGAGTTGGAATATCTGCTGGGACTTAGAGGTGCGCATTAGCACTTCCAGGTGAGCCGGTGACTATAAAATCCCGCATGGACTTACGAATGCTCGGCCATATGCATGAACAGGCTGAGAATGAGGTTTAGCGATTGCACATATTGGACGCACTTACTATACAAGATGTAACACCACTCATGCTATGATGTCGTTCGAATGGACTTTACTGGGGCTGCCCGCACATGTATGACTAGTTGAAGAATTGGCAGATCTTCCATTTTATCAGTGAACGACACGCTTGAATGGGGTGAATTTTAATGATCATCGAATCCAAGTGACTCACCATGGTTTAAGTCACGTAGTCATGCTTCAGGTGTTGGAGGAAGTTCAAGATGGTCGACTATATTATCATAAAATTCTTGATTGTTAAATTCGTCATCAATGACGCACCAAGATCCTGAGCTTGACAACGCATACTTTGAATTAAGTAGTCTAAACTGCTGTCAAGTCATGTCGTATCTTGCGTAGAACCATTGCTCGTCCGAACTGATTGTGTTACAGGCATCCGTAACACCTACAGGAGCCTCAGCTCTGCCTACGCCTGCTCCCACTCTGCTAGACTCCCCGCGCGGCGGTGCGCCGCCTGCGCCTAGAAAGACAGCGGTCTGGACTGCTGTGACGCCGCCCCTGGCGCTATGACCCGCCCCTGGCCTAGACGGCCTTGTACCTGATCCATGGAGGCTGTACACCTCATGGTCACCCTAGATCAGCGCATGCATACCGCATGTCGCTTCATGAAGATCCGGAGCGCCCTTGGCGCCTCATGTACTTATACGCAGTCGCACTTGGCGCTGCATGCTTGATCAGAGGTTAAGCCTCATGTACCTTATCCGACCTCATGTCTTGTTATCATAGATCCATAGATATACTATAGATACAGACTGAGCTTGAACACTTGTAGTTAGACCCTATAAGAAGACAGATTATTGTACTTAGACTTTACTTTAATCTACTAGGTTCATCCCAGAACTTGTTCAACTAAGCCTCTCAGCTTTCTTGCATAAGACCGCACTTCTAAAGTCGCCCCCTTACGACTTAGCACATATCCGCTAGCCCTGTATCTCGATGAGCGCCATCTTACCGAGATCACCGGAGGAACCCTTGACGTTCCGTCAAGCCGAGAACCACCCTCAGCTTCAGTAGACTCACTCGAGTCGTCGCTGAGAAGACCTATCCTAGTTCGCACACGCCGACCGACGGTCAGCATAACAGATTGCAGTTCATGATCAGGGTGCGATGATAATCGTCTTCAGTTACAGACGACCAGTCATACGTTCCTATAGGATCGCGAACAACACGCTCCACTGTGTCGAAGTCGATACAGTTGTGGGGAGTCAGTGGAACGAGAAAACAAGTGATAGGAAGAGTGATGGGCCAGCCAGTGATGCAGAACCAGATGCCCATTTTGGTATACTCGTCGAGCATCTCCAACTTCTCCCATTCCTTGTCTTCATCAAATACAAGTTCATCAGTGCACTGCATATCAAGTAGTGTTGCAACTTCATGCACCAGTTAATTAACAAGCTGATGTGCGACCGATGATTGCTAGATAAATCTGTCATGCATTGCAGTATGAGAATAATCAAAGTAGTGAACATCTTGAATGGCCTGTTTCAAACAATGGGTACTTACTTGACACGCGGCACTAAGAGTGCATCATGGCCCGGGTGCAACCAAAAATCGAAGCAAGATCACGGGTCACTAGAAGTTGCGGCTAAGCACGTGGTCTCGGCCAATGTTTGTGATGTTGAACCTAGTCTATACTAGGCAGCACTACTCAGTAGTGGGACTCAAAGTAGATTTTGAAACTCGCTAAAGCTTCAGAAAACTCGCTAAAGTCTTCAGAAAACTCGCTAAAGTCTTCAGAAAACTCGGCCAGAAAGCCACCAAAACACACGGCACATAGCGGCATCAGAGCGGACTTGGAAACAACACTTGTCATTTTTTGAGGCATGTAGACTACGACAAAAACATGTAGATATAGCTATGTATTTAACGAGCAAGGGAAATTACATGAGATGCAATGAAACAGAAATCCACAGATGTGCGCATATGTGAAATGGTTTGTCGGCGATTTTGCTGAGCGCATGACAGTGAGGGAGGGGGGACTCCGAAGCATCGAGCAAGAGTCAGCGGACCGTGGGGTCATGCATATAACAGTCCATGTCCGCATGCGCGTTATTACTAGTGTTGTTACGAGGAAAGGAGGGAGGAGCTTGCAGAAGACGCGGATCAATAGGAGGATTGTTGTTGGAAGAGCCGTTAGAAGGTTGGGGCTGGGGGGAGAATGTACTGTGGGGCTGCGGCTGAGCGGAGGATGCGCTGTGTGATGGCAGATGGGGCTGCAATTGGGGGGAGGATGCGCTGTGTGATGGCCAATCAAGCCCGTCCAGTGTAAGGCAAATATGGAAGAGGAGGATGTGATCGATGCATCGATCATAGTAACAACTTTTGGGAACATCTCGCTGGTCAATGAAAGTAGCGACACTGATTGTCCATATCAATCAGATGAGTTCATAAGAAGAAGAAGAAAATGCACTAGAGTTCTTATCGAGCATGAAGAAATCAGCAAGCAGATCCTCTGATGCCAACCTCAGTTCCTTCAGGTTAAGCTTCTTGCCAAGCGCCGATGAGCTTGTCTCAGTCTCTTCACAGGTAATGACAATGACAGGGAAGTTGTGGATTAGCGTGGGGGTGTGGTTGAGTGCAGCCGCCATCAGGATGTTATGGGTTGGTGTGGGGGCGTGGTTGAGTGCGGCCGCCATCAGGGTTGGTGTGGGGGCGTGGTTGAGTGCAGCTGCCATCAGAATTGGTGTGGGGGCGTGGTTGAGTGCAGTCGCCATCAACGAGGTCGACGACATCAGCAACGCTGATGGTGGCAGAAATTCAAACTCCGATTCAAACTCCGCTGAATCAGTTGGAGATTGGACAACTGATAAGATAATACCCCTCCCCACTGTGATCATGCCTCGTGTAGCCCTACGTGAAGACCTCCTCAATTCTATTGATAAAGCTACTTTATCATTAGCCAATTTGCAATACCAGAATGCACTCCTAGACGACTGGTCTGACTCCGAGTCTGATATGGACTGGGACACAGATTCAGACTCGGATGATGATGAAGATAGTATCAACATGCCTTTTAGCTCGATGTCCCCCCCATCCCCACTGTCCCCACTGTCACCTTTTGCCAGCACTGCGACTTCTTATTCTTCCTCCGAGTCTAGTGATGAATCCAGTGCTGATGTTGCTGCACATTACAATAGGCTCCAAGACACCATCACTGCACTTCGTGATGAAGTCGAAAGGGCACGGTGTAGGGATTCATTTCTGGCTAGGCTTGGAGAGACTGTCTTTACCTTACCTTATGTTGGCACTTTGTAGCTTACATAATAAAGTTACCTTTTCACCAGTTCTACTATGAGTCTGAGTATTCAGCAAGTTTCTATCATATTTCCTCTTCTCTGAGCCTTGAGCCTGGTCCAGAAACCCTTTAGGGTCGAATAGCAGCTAGGTTCTGCAAGACCCAACATTGTTCAGACTCACCATCTGAATTGTTGTACCTTCAACGGGTACTCCACAAGCCAGATGAACCACCTCCACGAGCACCTCAGCTTCATATGCTAGTTCATCACGAGGAACACCGCCCTCATTTGTTTCGGCAGAAACTTCGTGTTAACCCAGAGATCTTCGATGATATCCTTGATCAGATCTCCGATCACCCTATCTTCCACAACCAGTCCAACAATCCTCAGCTCCCTGTTTCCATCCAGCTTGCCATTTTTCTCAATCGTGCAGGCCACTATGGGAATGCCATTACTCTTGAGGATGTCGCTCAATGGGCAGGTGTGAGCGTTGGGTCAGTTGTCAATTGCTCTCATCGTGTGATGGTTGCAGTGCTCGATGCACATGATAAGTTTATCAACTTCCCAGCAGCTGACTCTGAGGATGCTCGCTTGGCTCAGGCATTTGCTGAGTCTCGAACCTGTCCAGAGTGGAGTGGAGGCTTTCTAGCCATTGATGGCTCAACTATGGACCTTTATGCCAAACCTGGCTTTTATGGTGAGGTGTTTTATGATAGGAAATCAAAGTATTCCCTTGGTTGTCAAGTAATGTGTTTTTCTCTATTATCATCAATAAAAAAATTAATTTAATTCTAGGCAGTCATTCTGCCCCACAACCTCCTGATTGTTGATTATTCCCTTGGTCAACCTGGCAGTGTTCATGATGCCTTTGCTTTTCGATCCACTCGCCTATATGAAGAGCATGCTGACCTTCTGCCTGATGGTCACTGGGTTTGGGCAGACAGTGCATATCCATTGGAGCCATGGTGTATAGCCCCTTTCAAGAAGCCTCGCAATGGACGGTTGACAAAGAACCAGAAGACATTCAATTATCACCTTTCTAAAGTATGATTTTTGCTTGGGTGGATTTTCAGTGAATTTAAATTTATTTAGGTCCGTGTGCGTGTGGAACACACATTTGCTGTTTTGAAGGGATGGTTCCAGTCTCTCCGAGAGCTCCGGTTCAATATTCAGTCAGAGAAAGACCTGGAGTTTGCTGTGCAGTGGATTAAATGTTGTATCATCCTGCACAACATGATTATCCGCTTTGAATCCCATCATCTCCAGCAGGATGGATTATACAAGAATTCTCTGAAGTGGGCTCGTGTAGAGGGTGAAGACTTCATACCTCAAGAGCATGAAGATGTAGATGGTGATGAAATAGTTGGTGACAGATCTTATGAAGGAACTCCAGGCCAGGCTACTCGTTTAAAGCTGATGGATCAGCTCTTTGACAGTCCTCATTCAAGGGCTCAACGTAGGAGGGGGTGAAGACCAAGAAAGCTTATATTAACCATGAATGTGTCCTACTAGTAAGATACTTGTACAACATATGTAACATATGTACCATCAAACACAACAACAATCAGAACAAAAAATGAATAAAAATGAGAGCGGCAAAACGATGACATGATGATGATGATGACAACAACGGACGACAACAATGACAACGATGACAACGGACGATGACAACAACGACAATGGACGACAACGACAATGACAACGGACAACGACAACGACAAATGACTCACTCCCCATGCGAGGCAGGAGGTTTGCTACCCTGCATCATCTGATGGAACTGGATCTTGAGGCGTAAGGTTTCCGCTTCCTTGTCGAGGACTAAGGAATGTGCCTCGTGCACTCGAATATCCGTCTCACGAAGGCGGATTTCAGTGTCCTTACTCTCCTGATGGCGTTGGTGATTGACGGCGGCTTGTGAGGACTCGTGCGCACGCGTGTCACAAAGCCACTTGTACTTCTTCGCATCACGATGGTAGTCAGTCTTCGCATCAAGCTTCGCGAGGAAGTGTTGATGCTTCGCCTCATGGCGCGACACGGCACTGGACTGGATGCTCTCAATCTCGTCATTTACCTTGGCAACCTGTTCCTGAACGTCCGACTTAGCTTTCTTCTTCTTCGAGCCTTCGGTGCTGGTCGGCAATGATGTGTGGGGGGTGGGACTTATTAAACTGTCGGATGATGTGTTGTGAGTTGTTGAGGAAGGGGTTGACATGCTGCGGGACATCCCTGACGATGCGATAGAGGGTGTTTTTCTGTGACGCCCCCCACGACTGGAGGGTCGCTGTGCGCCGAATGCCGCACGGCTGTCATAAAAGGGTGTCGGCGATTTCTGTGGCACTTCAAAAGCACTGGGAACGTCGGGAGGAGGAGAGGGCGATGCTGCAAGTTGACGCTTTTTCCCAGCGGCTCTAGCGTGGCTGTCAGGGGTCATGGGGTCATCTTCCAAGTGGCGCATTGCGTCCCCGAGGGGGGCGGACAAAGCACCACTCAGATCCAGGTCATCGTCATCGTCATCGTCATCAGGGCCATCCATATTACAGTCCGTGTCGTTACGATGAAAGGAGGGAGGAGCTTGCAGAAGACGCGGATCAATAGGAGGATTGTTGTTGGAAGAGCCGTTATCCATGTCCGCATCCGCATCATGATTGGTATTACTAGTGTCATTACGAGGAAAGGAGGGAGGAGCTTGCAGAAGACGCGGATCAATAGGAGGATTGTTGTTGTAAGAGCCGTTAGAGGCTGGGGGGAGAACGTACTGTGGGGCTGCAGCTGAGTGGAGGATGCACTGTGTGATGGCAGATGGGGCTGCAATTGGGGGGAGGATGCACTGTGTGATGGCTGAGCGGCACCCTCAAAATTCATCGAGGGACCAGCCCTGCCAGGGTCACCATGCGGCTGTACGAGCGCATAGAGATTACCCGCGTGGTCAACCCCCGGCCTGGATGAATGCGATTTAATCGCAAAAGATGGGATCGAGTGCCACATGCTATCGAGATCGGTATACCATGGAAGTTCAGCATTGACTTCATCTGCAAAGTTCGATCGGTCAATAATCAAGAAATAAGTATAAAGGACTCACCCAATAAGTTGTTCAAGGTAGTCGCGTCCAATGGCACCACACCAGCACCCGTTGCGCTGAACTTGGCCTTGCACTTCTTGTATTTATTTTTGAGACTTGAAATTTTATCAGCGTAAATAAGAACAAGAGAAAGAGACTTACGCTGTGATGCGGTTGGCGACTGACACACGAAACTTCTTCAGATCCTGATGATATGCGGTCTTGTATTTGGGGTGGGTCGCAAAGATGAGCTTGGCAATAACATCATGTATTTCATTCTTGTCCTTGCCTGAGGGGGCATCATCAATGTTAGGCATTGCTTTCTTACCATCAGAATAGAACAGGATGCGACAATCAGGTGGGTGAGTAGTCAGATGATTGATGAGGATTGTAGTGAGAGCATGATCCCTTTCCCACTGGATAGCGAACTTGATTGTATCTTGACGATTGGATTCAGGTTGTCGTTGCGACGAGGAGGCCTGCGGATCCATTGGATTTGAGCACACCTCTTGAGTGTTGGCTCTAAGTCGTGCTGAGCGACGAGCAAGATGGCGAAGGGCAGGCATGGTGTTTCAAACTCCGAAAGCCTGACTTCGAATTGTGGTGCCATGCAGGCTGTGTTTTTTCGACTTTCCTGACGAGGCTTTAGCCGCGAGTAGCCGGGCGCCAAAATCTACCTTGAGTCCCACTAGTGTCATATCATTATGCACTCGCACTGCACAGGCATCGACACTGCTCATACCCACTGACATGTATCTTTGTTGTGATACTGATTCAAGTTATGACATGGTGAGTCTATATACAACGATTCACATGCCATGGTTTTCAATTGCATTACAGATTTCAAGAAGAACTGAGTGCTACCTGTTGAAGATTGCTTCTATCCTGCTCATAGCCTTATGCACTCCCGCAACTTCCTGCATGACCTGCTCCAGCAATTCCTCTTCACACAACACAAAACTTCTTCCGATCTTCCTACGTTTCTTGGGTGGAAGTTCAATGACAGGTAATGATGTTGCTTGCCTATAACTCATGTCATGGCCGAAGTTGCGTGGAGTCTGCATGTGGCGGTAAGTGCATCAGCAGAAAAATTGGGCTGTGCGCACTCACGTTGTCATCTCCAGAACTTTTCTGCTTTCTATGAGATTCACCAGTGTCTTTAAGACCACCATCTTGGCCCCTTGGAGGTTGTTTGAACATTTCGAGCACATTCAGGTGCCTATGGCATTTACAGGAATACACATGGGGCTCTGGCCCATGGTCACAACGCATAGTGCATCCCCAAAGACATTCCAGAGTAGACCTTTTTGAGTGATTCTCGAACAAGTTGGCGTTCGCCGAGATTGTCTCAATCCCATCTTCGAAGTCGCTGGAGCAGGAGTCGTTGTCGAGGGCGTCACAGTTGGACGACATCTTTCTTGCTTACTCCGTCAAGTGTGAGGCTTTTAACCATGTGATATTTTCAGAACTTAGCCTGACCTGTGTTTCGTTACATAAATTATTATTGACCCTGCATTGTAATCTACCAGGTTCCGACGAATCTTGCAAACGAGTTCAGCGGGGTCTGAAATCCCTCACTTCAAAGCGATCCCTCTATCACATCCATGGTGCATAGTATGACGAGGCAATGAAACTCATTCATATTCTCAAGGATCTGACAGCTTTTCTACTTATCATTGCTTTCGTTAGCATGAACCTCAAATGCGGAGGGGAATGCAACCGATTGTTCTCAGCACCTAGAAGCCTGACTCATCACCGTCAGACCTGCAAACACTGGCAGAGGCAACTGACTCTGCAGTCACAACATTTCAAACACATCTCTGCGTCCCTACAAGATTCGCAAGCGCCTCCTGCGAAGAAGATGAAATTTAGTGCTCAAATAGTAAGTGCATTTACCGCACACTGTACCCTGAACTCCACTCATTTGAATGTTAGCCATCTTCTGCCTCGGAATCCCCACCTATGCCTATGAACATTGTGACATCTGATTCTTCTGATATTCCTGCATCTCTGCCCAGCATCAATGATTCGGCAGTGGCCTCGTCTAGTGCCTCTGCACTTGACATTGTACAGGAGGAGCAGCCAGAGAATCAAGCTGGCCGTCCCTCTCGAACGCATCGCCTACCCTTACGGTTCAGGGACGAACTTCCAGTCCCGCCACCTGCCATTCCAGCGCCAGCTTCGACGAATGTTGTGCACCGGGTGGTTCTTTATGTATTTGATTCCTTTCGCACATCTCTCAATCAATTTGGAATTGGATGGGAGTATCATCACCGACCATCGTATGACCCAGATGCTTTCGTCTCCGTTGAGCAGCTATCCAATATCATGTTCAATTTCCCTTTCCCTTGATGAACAGGATTCGGCTGATCATTCCGGGAGCCCAGAAGTTCCTTCGCAATCACCCCCTTGGCCATGGAGAAGTATGAGCATCTGGCGCTTGATGTCTTGGAAGATGACCAGTAATAGTGGTCTTACATCTGAATCTCAGTTAACTTGCCTCGTTCGCGAAGTGCTGAAGGCGAAGGATTTCAGTCTCGACGATGTGCCTGATGATTTCAATGCTCACACCGAAATGACACGCTTTGACGCCTCTGAAGCAACACTGGACGCTAATGGCATATTTCAAAGAGATAGCTGGAGGGAATCAGTAGCGGAAATACTAGTACCAACTAGGGAGAGAAATACAGATGGCAATGGGCAACTATTTACTGTCCCAGGTTTCCATCACCGGCCACTTGTAGATGTTATTCGTGCAGCCTTCTCAGAGGCATCATCACGCTGGTTTCACCTCACTCCGTTCAAATGATTTTAGAAATCACCATTAACTGGACGAGAACAACGCTTATATGACGAGCTTTATACTTCAGATGCCTGGAATAAGGCTCACGACGAGCTGCAGAAGCAAAAGAGGGATGATGGGTGTCAGCTGGAGCTGGTAATTGCTGGACTCATGTTCTGGTCCAATGCAATGCACTTGGCTCAGTTCGGCAATGCTTCTGCATGGCCGGTCTATCTTTTTTTTGGAAACCAATCGAAATATGACCATGCCTGTCCGACCACCAATGCCTGTCACCCTATCGCATTTATCCCTTCTGTAAGTTTACATCCTTCCCATCAGACAATCAGCGAGTACCCTAACACGATTTGTCTCTAGCTACCAGAATCTATTGTAGGTTTCATTGGCAAGTATGTCAAGATGAAGAGCATCAGCGACATCCTCACACATTGCAAACGGGAATTGTTCCATGTGCTTTGGCACATCCTATTAGATGATGAGTTCCTAGATGCGTATAGGAATGGGATTGTGATCAAATGCCACGATGGCATCTCTTGACGAGTCTTTCCGAGGATTTTTACTTATTCTGCAGATTACCCAGAGAAGTGAGCTAATTTACTGCATCGACTTCCACACTAACTGACGACCTTCAAACAGAGTCCTTATTGCTACTATTCGCGACAAAGGATTTTGCCCATGTCCCCGGTGTTTTCTGCTGAAATCACGCTTTGATCAGCTTGGTCTCAAAGCTGACATATCAGCACACATCAAGAGTGTGCGCTTATACCTCAGAGATAAGGTCTTTGCAGCACGTGAGGCTCTATACAAACTAGGTGCTCCGATCAAAGGTGCTGCGGCCGAGCGTCTTCTGAAGGCATTCTCATTGGTGCCAACCTTGGTAAGTGCATTTAGCTGCAGACCTTTTTGAATAACTCAAGCATATTTTGCATTTAGAATACCTTCAATGAGCGACTTGGAAATCTAGGCCTTGATTTCTTTCCAATGCTTGTGGTCGATCTCCTTCATGAATTTGAGCTTGGAGTGTTCAAATACGTCTTCAAGCATCTTATAAGGCTTCTTTATGGCATCAATCATGAATCAGTAGCTTTACTGAATGAACGGTACGTATTCATTAGCACAGCAGCCTCAATTGATGCTGACGATCCTTCGATGTTAAGTTTTCACTCAATTCCATCATTTGGAAAGGGTGCCATTCGATGTTTCCCTTCAAATGTATCCGATGTGAAACAAAGAGCTGCACGACATTTTGAGGATGTCTTAAAGGTGAGTTTGATCCTTGCTGCAGTGTTGTTCTTAAATCTGATTGTCGTCCAGTGTGCAATCCCTGCATTCGAGGGTCTATTCCCGAACTCACACGATGAAGTTGTTCGTATTCTCCTCTTTCGTCTGGCTGAATGGCACACTCTTGCAAAGCTTCGAATTCACACAGACGACTCCCTTGATCTACTTAGTCGAGCTACTAGATGTCTAGGACAGCAGCTTCGAAAATTTCGGGATTCCACATGCTCAGCGTTTCGGACTATGGAACTCCCAGGGGAAATTGCTGCCCGTCAGAAGAAGATTTCCAATCTCAACTCGGCAGGTCCAGGAACAGGGCCATCTGGAGCGCGTCCCAAGGCTTTCAATATGCAAACTTACAAGTTACACGCGCTTGGTGACTATGTAAGCTCTATCAAAATGTTTGGAACCACTGACTCGTACACTACCCAAATAGTATGTATTCACCTTCATCAAGTGGCAAGTAAACAGCTTAATCCTTTGAGTTTCCAGGGTGAGCTCGCACATCAGCTTTTGAAAAGGTTCTACCAGAGTACAAATAAACAAGACCCTTCAAAACAGTTAGCGAAGCAAGAACGGAGGCGCACTCGTATCAGACATCTGCGAGAATCCGGCAATACTAAAGATAATCAACCTGCCGGAAGCCCACTACCGCTGGAAGCTCACCATTGTTTATCAAGTTATCCAGGTATCATCATCAACTTAGCTTGTTTTCTTGAAGAGCATCAAGGTGACCCAGCTGTCGTGGTAAGTTATATTTTTGTATGACTGTTCTGACACATTCAATAATGTTACCTGATAGAACTTCATACCAAAAATTAAAGACCATATTTTTTCTCACTTGCTGGGTTTAGAATATGACGGCGACGAACGAGAATTTACGGATGTCGAGCGAAACGATGTGCACTTCATCAACAATCTGAACCGCGTTTTCCAACCTAAGCGCTTCCAAATCAACTACACAACGTATGATGTCCGTAGGGATCAAGACATGCTCAAACCTGGAAATGGCTCTACAGTGATGATGTTGTCGAGAGAAAGCAGTGCGAGTGCTCACCCTTTTTGGTATGCACGGGTGTTGGGTGCATTTTGTATTAACGTTCTTCATGTTGGCCCCAACGCTTGTAACCATTCGCCTCAGTACATGGAGGTCTTGTGGGTGCGATGGTTTGGTGTTGTGCCACAGTACCGCTGGGGCTTCCAAGAAGGCCGCCTCCCAAAGATTGGATTCGTTCCCGACTCACCTGCTGCCTTCGGGTTTCTTGACCCGTCGCTAGTGATCAGGGCATGCCACCTTATCCCTGCTTTCGCTGATCATCGTACAAATGACCTTCTCAGGCAAGGTCCCTCCACTGCAAGACTGCCTGGAGAGGTCGATGACTGGGCTTCGTTTTATGTTAACATGTGAGCTTTATCTCGTCTCATACTCACATCACCGTAACTCGTGCAGTTTTGCCAATAGAGACATGTTTTGCCGTTTCGCAGGCATAGGTGTTGGTCATCAAGTTCAATATGACTCATTGAATATCATCCAACATGATCACGCAGTAGGGGGCGGAAGTACTGGTGTCAGTCACGAAGACGTTTCGGATGACGAGGACCCTGAAGCCCATGCCAATGTTGACTTCGGAGATGAAAGCTGGCAATGTGATAGAGACCTAGATGACGATGTTAGCCAGGATGATGATGTCAGTCAGGATGACGCAGACGAAGATGAGGATATTTCCAAAGATTGCGACAGTGATGTAGATGACTTAGATGGCTTTGGCAGCGACTCTGAGGATGAGGGGTCTGCATTCAAATTTTGATAGTGAAGAACCTTTTTGTAGCGAACTTTAATAAATAAATTGTGCAACACACAACATCGAAATGTGAAAAGACTAAACAATTTCCAGATTTTGTCATAGATGCAGCCTTGTGTCTAGTGCTGCCGCGGTCCGGTCCAGAACCACGGTTCGAACCGGACTTTTGGTCCGGTTCTCTGTGGTTCGGTCCATGGTTCCCTCACCAGCCAGAACCGGACCGGAAAGTGGTTCTGGGTTCTGGACCTTCACTAGTGGTCCAGTTCTGGTTCAACTTTCCCGAACCTTCCCGAACCGTTCCTTGACCTTCGAATTCCCTCGACTTCGACACCAACCATGACGACGTCGGTGTCCATGTCGACATCAAAACACCGTCTTCAAGATTTGCATTATTTGTTAATCAGGCTACTGTTAGCCTTTTTGAAGGTAAGTACTAATCAATTTATTCTCAAGACTCTGACATATGTTTACCTATATCACAGATATCTACTTGTTCTAGTCTATATGCTTCCTGGATAGTCATGATCCTCCACCGGTTCTCAACTCTAACAGATCTCCTTGGATATTGTCGCTCTGTGGTGTTAGGCTATGTGCCATACATAAAACGGGGTGCCGACCAAAAAACTGTGAGTTATTTGCCTGACGATGTCTGAAGACTGCTGTGCTCTGAACGAAGGTCGCAAACGGGAGGGCTCGTCTTGAGGCAGTGGTGAGTACTATTCAAACTTAAGTACCCTACCGGTCTCTAACTCCAGATGTATTCTTAGTTTGACAAATATTATCAAGCGCCTCCAGCCCCAGGACCACATCCCAAGGAGCCAGAGGCCACGTCATCAACAATGAAAGCTTCGATTTGTTATGGTGCTTCCTGGATGCGCGACGCTATCATGGAACGTCAAGCTACAGACCATCGCACGCGCGATCCTCATCAAGAGCTCTCTGCATACCTTACTTCACCATTGGAGGAGACTGATGATGTTGTGGCATGGTGGGGTGTAAGTCAGCCCTCAAATTCATTGTTCCCCGCTTACATTCTTGATTAGTTACATTCGCTGCAGTACCCAACACTAGCTCGTGTTGCGCGTGATTACCTGCCCATTCAAGGCAGTTCCGTTCCCTCTGAACACGCTTTCTCCAGTGCAGGCATCACATCAACTCTGCGCCGCAACGCACTCGCATCATCCACTTTCTCCGCGCTACAATTGATGAAGGCAGCCTATAAGAATGGACATGTGTCAGCAGCAGTAGAGGCAGAAGGGTATGCAGTTGGTATGCAGTTAGACTAGCTACCCAATGTCATGTAGATGTCTTGTGAATGTTTTTTCCATTGCTTGAAAAATTTTTGGTTCGGTTCGTGTTCGGACCAGACAAGAACCGGACTGGACCATTGAGAACCGTTCTCAATGGTCTGGTTCTGGGTTCGACAATTTTAAAGAACCGAACCATGGTTCGGTTCTTGGTTCTCGTCAAGGACCCTCTGAACCGGACCGAACCGGACCACGGCAGCACTACTTGTGTCATCGCCTCTCATACCTATACTGATTTTTTGTTGACTGATGGATTATGGACCTCGCTGCCGTAGATATGTTTCATTAGGCGTTTTTATTTCTTATGTCTATTTCTAATATCAATGCACTTGCATGCAAGTTCATGGTACCCTCTCCAGTGAATGTATGTGGCGCAATTCAAATATTCACGGGTGTCTGCAACAGCTACTAGAGTGGCAAGACTCCTCTGAATCATTGCATCCCATTATATCTCCTACCCCCCATGATGGACTTAGGCAGATGGCGCTGCATCCTAGAACACGTCTGTACCTATCATATAACGGCTATAGCCGGCGATAGTCTGTGTGCAGTCACAGGATTCATGATCATTGTTGCCAGTAAGATATAAACTTTGGGCAATTTGATATTGGGCTATAACGAGACTATCCAATGAGTTTTTTTTTGCAGGAATTTGAGACTGTGTAATTATTTGGAGTAAGAATGGTAGAAATATAAGTGTCTGTTTATCATCCGATACACCTTTATAGTGGCAAATCAAGTATAGCATCAAGGTGAAAATTATCAAGGGGTAATAAAGTTACACATGCTTGATATGCTATTATATTCCATTGTACTGCGTTACCATGACCAAACAGAAATGGTTAAAATCGTAATTTATGCCTTATCATATCGAGCTAAGTGAATTTCAGTGATAAACGCTATCTATAATCACGTCTAATTAGAGGCAATACGTGGGAGTCACAGGTGGATCAATGATATGATTGAACTGCTCATTAATATATCACAAAGAGTCTACTTCAAAAACTTTTGGGCCCTCGCCTTCAGTTTCGTAGCATATCAGAGATATTCAGTGTTTCAATAACCATTAGCCATATTGTTGTCATCGCCGAGTTTACTCGTCATCGGTCAAAATAATGCTGATGAGTAAAGACACGCAACTTGGCATACTAAGAACGTCCTGACTCCTAGCCAGAACATTCAGACACTGCAGTCTAGTAGTTCAAACTCATCGCACGGCTGAAAGGGTGAGACTTACCTGGTGGTTATTGACAATTTGAGGTGTATTATTTTCTCTTTTGTTCTTTTCGCAATCCGTGAACGTGTCTGGTTGGTAGGCGCTGTGTTTCGTTTCATATCATCTGTTTCTGATGTCAGTCACAGGTTCCAGGGCCAGTACTTGCGAGCCCTCCCTACAAATAACCGTTAATCTTACTATGTAGTACTAGTGAAGATGTCGGTCGATCATAGTGATTCATGGTTCACCTTCACGAGTCAACATCGAGTTCGTGAGCTTTGGGAATAGCCGTGTGGCGTGGTGACTTTCTAGGAAGTTTGACATCATTCAAGGACTAAGCCCGACTCGAGGATCAGCACGTTCAATTTCAATGGACGACCATAAAGTGGCTCATCAACTTGAACGCTAACAACGTCGCTGTATTAAAATTTGATATGGATGACAGTCGACTGCGCGAGACCGATCATTGTACATGCCATCAACTTGAATTGACGGCAAACGAGCCTTAATTCTATGCTGCCAGTGACACAGTAATGTTATAGTCATAGTTAGTACCATCTATACTCGTCTATGGTCTGAACTTCGGAAGTCATGATGATCATCTACTTGCCATCCAACATCCGCTTCTCCCGCTCAGCACTAGCTTCTCTCCACTTCCTGCCTTTGTACAACACCAGTAAGATAATACAATTAGTAATGATCATCAACCCCGCCCAGAGGGTATACAAACCACCGTCGCCAATACTATCCTAAACCCAACGTCAGATTCGTTCCACAAGCTAATGACGTCGACTCACTTGTAGAGGCACAGCGATCTCAGTAGCAACAAAAGCAAACAGACCACGGAAAGAAGCGTTGGTCGCTACTGCCGTCGATGAGCGACCAGTGTTTGCATCGACAATGTATGCCAGCGTGCTCGCGTAGATCCATCTATCGCGAATGAGAGCAAAAGACGGTGTGAAAGGAAAGAAACATACATGGATAGGAATCCTGCAAGGAAGAGCATCACGCACATCGCAGCGACGTTGGCCCGTTCTTGGCACACCCAAGCGTATCCAATCACAGAAAGAGGTAACCACACCATGGCGACTTTTGTACTCTCGAGGCGCATCTGCACGAATTCGCGTTAGAGACAGGTTGAGCTGAAGATAGTGGCTCACCTCTGGAAAGCTGATCCCTCCGTTCGCGGCCTTTAACCGAGCAAGTGTCCGATCGGACCAACGTCCACCTAACATGCTGCCGGACATAGAGCCTGGGATACATGCGTCAGGGAGGTGCTCGTGGTTTGCTCGTGATTCGCTTACCAATACCATAGGCAAGTAAGACGAGGCCGGTCTTCAAAGCGTCGTAATTATAATACATCGACAATGTTCTTGCGCATGTATACATAATGCTAAAGCTGAATGCAAAAATTAAACCTTGTGAAAGAGGGCATCAGATTTCTTCGAAACAACTTTAGCAAGGACCAGTGAGGGTACTCACCTGATGCTATCAAGATAGCAATGTTGTTCTTACGGCTGATGACCGATAGGTATGGAGGGAAAGGGTTGACATCAACAATGGACAGTTGTACTTCTCTGATGGCTGATGCTGGTATGACCGTCGGCTGTGCTTCGATGTCATTCGAACTCGAATGGTCTTCGTCATTCACTTGTGATTCCTTCTCTGAGATATTTCTCGAGCCGTCCTTTGCTTCCGACGACTGTTGTTCTCGGAGCCTCCTCTTCAATACATCTTGGTACGTCATACTCCTTTCCTTCCGGAAGGTGTCCTTGAACAAGAGAAGGAATGCCAAAAACATTAAACCTCCCCAGATGGCTAGGAACCAGAAAATCGCCCGCTAACCGAGGCCCTGTGTGAGTGCACCACCGATAATCGACCCTAACGAGGGACCGACGAGAGGTGCAGAATAGTAGATACCCATCATTTTTCCTCGTTGATGCGGCTCGTATATATCAGCCAGAGTGGTAGCTCCAATAGTGAGAACTGCGCTTGCCCTACTCCACGTGAGCAAGGAATTAAGGGACTGAGCGACTTCCCTACCCTATGCTTTGCAGAATACGCATACCGATCACAAAACCGATAGTTCTGGATACGGCCACGATCACCGATCCGAGTGTAAACAGTACTAAGGAGAAAAGGTACACCGTCTGAGCTCGGCGATATTAACAAGTGGCACTCAGGACACAGAAATCCAAACCTTGCGGCCCTTTATCTCGCTGATTGCGCTCCAAATCATAGGAGAACTGCCTTGAATGAGGATGGAAAGAGACAAACTCAGGCTGATGTCCCCGCTATTGGTGTGTAGCTGTTGTTCAATTTGAGCATTGGCGGCTATCCTCCGGCTGTTCAGCCGATATTGCAATGGTATTAAGGAAACAACTCACGGTTTTGTATATTTGCGCACAAACCTGAGATCATCGATGCTCCAGATATGATGAACAATACAACGTTCTGCATGATGTGATCTATCAGCCTGTAGTTACAAAATCAAGTGGGAAGGACACACCTTTTTCGTGTCTGACCATATTCGAGGATCATCTTCAACCACTGCATGCTCTATATCGAGCTTGATAGGTTCACTTGACGGATTTGGACTCGAAACATGCGTTTGGGTGTTTGTATCCTGGGATTTCATACTGTCTCAAATAAAGAGACGCTCGAACTAGGGACGAGAAACAGTCAGGAAGGTGTCCGTAGAACCGTAAATAAGAGAGCTCACCTCAGTCTCGGCTCGAAAGATTGAGGGCGACTATTTTAGGGGAGAGCAATTAATACGCTGATTGAGACGGAGAATAAAAGGTGAACGTGAGTATGAGGCGTGCAACCAGGAGTGATTGCATATGTAAAAGAAAAGGGTGAGTACGTACGGAGAGTGACGTCGAGCGTCATATTTTAATACTCTCAATTTCGGCAGGCGACAGTCTTACTCTGGCTTTCTGCCATAGCGTAAAAGGTTATCCGATGCGGGAACTGAAGCTTGAGATTGTATGAGAGTGCATGATAACATAGATGATTCAGCAATGAAGCGGACGACAAAAGCGCATAAGGTTTTGCCGGCGCCGTTGATGGAAAATAACCCCAACTATAGTGTCAGTGTGTCGGACAACGTGGCCGATCGAGTGGCGCGGCTATAGCCTATGGAACCCTGTCTTCATTCTGGCTATCGGATAGCCACTGCGAGTAAGACCCCTAAACGACCAACTTGAGCTATTGGGGGTTACAGCTGTGACCTTCAGGATCGCAATCATCCAGGATTTCTATAAGAGAAAACCATCCAAGTCATGAGTCGACCCTGTTATCTGTCCATACAGGACGTACATTCGATTATCAACTTACTAAGTGTGCACCAGCCTCAAGTATCACATGTCGATTATCAGGGAACCGACGAGTCTTTTAGGGTGCGTTACGTTGATTGCAGGGCGTTTACGTCGCAACATATTGCTTGTAGCGATGAAGATAAAGGGAATGCTCTGCGCATATTGTCATGTGGTCGTATATAAGAGATATAACTTTCTCACCAGGACTGTCCTCTGATTGGCATTCTGTTGCGTTAGGAGATCAGAAGGAACTGTATTCCTTCATCTGAATCTGGCTAGTAGGAAGTTGAAGCGACTTCGGCCCTAGTCGGAATGTCAACGATTATCGATTATCATCAAAGTGGGTAGATTGGAATATTGGCCGAGACACTTGCAGTGAAACATTTGCAGATGGACCGACCAAAATTCAGGTCTGCAAATGTGGCAGCTGCACACTACGTATTATTGAATTTGTAGTGACGCTGATTCTGCATAGCGGACAAGCCTAGTCTGGACTAGCTGGGCCTTTCAGTCGGAGTTTCTATGATACGGCCACTTTGGCAGCGTCGTTGTTGAAGGTCCAGATAGTTTCAAGCGCTTCCGCAGCTGCTTCTTCGTTCGCGACACCTCTAGCGATTAGACGAGCCCTGGCCGTGGCGTACTCGACGGTCGTGAAGTCTGGCAAGATTGCCTCGTTGGGATTATCTAACATAGATACCAGTATTAATTATTGAGCAGAGAAATAAAGTTATGTCTGGGATCGTCTACGCTGGTGGGTGATGGATGTGGACGAGAACGAGGAGTGTTACTGTCACACCACTAACTCACACGTAGACTAACTTCTGCGTTAGCCTCGTTCCTCGGCTAACTCAGAAAACCCTCCAGGCTCCAACACTCCAACATATGTCATTTGTCGACCTTAAAGTTTCATGCGCTGCGCTAGCTTACTGAAGGACACACAAGGCTGCAGAGCATGAACACAGTACTAGTATCATAATGGGACGGGACGAGACTTCGAAGGCGCTCAGTACATCCTGCCATCAGGGCCGTTGAGGAGACCTGACCTTGAGTGTCGCAATGAAGTTATGTTCAAGCTTGTCATATGAAAAGGTATTCTGTGCATTGACAAAATAATAACATCAAGTACATTGGTAGAGACAATGTACAATAACATCCACTAGGCGCAGGTTCTTGGATTCGCTCCACTCCGTTTTTGCAAACAAGAGTATCACAGCGAAGGGGTTTGCAAAAATTGCTGGAAGCCGAAGCTAACAGACGGGTTCGGATGTGTAATTTGCAATCAGCAAAAGACTGTGCCTCGGTAAAGACCTCACTGGCGACAGTACATGCCCGAGCACAAGAGATGAAGAACCAAAACCCGAAGCGGGGGTTTATAAAGGCCAATTGGTCTGCGCACGGACCACCTTCCAGATTTAGCAACATGTGTGGTATTACCTATTTTAGCAGGCAAGTATGCATGCGTATACTAGTATGTGAACATGTCGCTAAGCGCAGACGACGCCCCATCCTTTCCACTCTGTTCTACCCTCCTGGATATCAAGAATCTTTTTCCGGATTGCCGTGCCAACTGGGCCCATTCCATCCCCAGGAATTACGATGTCCTTACCCTCAAACCCGATTCTATTGCAAGGTCCAACAATGACCGCTGTACCTATGGCTAATGCTTCAAGCAGTTTGCCCTCGGACGACCATTTGGCGAGGTCACTCATGGTATATACCATTTCTTGTGGGTGTAAGCGCATTGAAATTTCTTGGTGGAATTCTGGATCGCCCGCAAGGGCGAGACATGATGCTCTAGTCACTCCAGGTAGAATAGTACCGTCCAGAGGGGCGGTAATGAGGTCCACGCCTTCAACCAATGAGTTCATTTATATATAAAACCATGTCCAATTCAAACTCACCGTCTTCATCATCTCTCTTGACTACAACGAAGAAGTTCATCGCTCCAGCCTCTGTGACTCTTCTGTCATCACCAAACAGCCAAAGGATTTGATCATATCCTTTCTCTGCAGCAGCGCGTTGGGGTAGGAAGCCGGGTGAGTAGTTGCCAGCAACTTTGTGTCCTCCAGTTCCACCCGGCCACGCGCGCACATTTTCACTGACTGCAAGAAGAGAAACAGGCCTCGCAAAGTATGGCCCAGTTGGCGACGCAAGAATGTAAAGCATCGCATGGTCAGACGCTGTCACTCCCAAACCTACATTCCAATCGGGTGAATACTTATACATCATCATCAACATATTTCACGAACCTGGGCGGGTTGCAATGACAGTAGGACGGATATACAAACTGTATCCCGATTCTTTGGGTATCCAGCGCTTTTCAACATTCACAAGATGCTTTATGAGTTCTAAAACGACATCTCCGTCGATGGGCTGCATGGGGCAACGAAGTCAGAGACACTCCTTGCATGAACGTCATAACACTCACGGGAAGAGCAAGACGTGCACAAGACTTCTCCATTCGACGCATGTTCATATCGGGGCGGAACAAACGTGCCTTACCGTCAGGCCCCAGGTAAGCCTTCATACCCTCAAAGACATTTCCGCCGTACTGGAAGCACGAGCATTGAGGATCAAGTGTAATGGGCCCATAGGGCTTGACCTCAGGCGCGGACCACCCTAATTCAGGATCATAGGTTGCAACGATCATGTGGTCCGAGAATGTCTGGTATCATCATCGTTGAGCGACATGAACATGATTGTCAGGAGTACTTGCTCACCTGGCCGAAACGTAATGTCTCGATGGGCTGCAGGGGCTTCAATGTCTTTGCGAGCGTGCTACTCAGCTTAGATGCCTGCAACAGCGTTGGAGTTATACATGACTACGTTCAGCAGACGACACACTCACATCGAGTGCAGCAGGGCTTCCCGGGTTGGCAGAGCCTCTCGTTTGGCCTGAGGCTGGAGAAGCGACGCTGTTTCTGTTACCCATGGCTAGTATTGTGACCAAAGGGAAAATAGGCGGAATCAGTTCGACCCATTATTTTATAAGTACACTGACAGCATGACTAGGACAAGAATAATGACTCGATCAACGTCACCCTCACAAAAGTCTCGAACTATAAATGTATGATCGGATCGGAGATCGTCCATGCAAGCGACGACCTAAAGCAAGACCCCTGGTACTCCCTATACGCCAGCACCTGTAGTCCCAAATCTCTCATGCTATCGGAGAGATTATGCGTCATGGCCAAGACCAGCGTCCCCGAATGGTTACGAAGACCTAACCATGTCCACGGTGCAGCATTCATGTGACCAATGGGCACCTGGTGAGCGCGAGAGGTCGCTGGCATATCCTAATCCGAACGTCCACAAGACTCGTTGGCTTGTGCCACGTCGGATGCTCTCGATGAGGTGCAGGTATTTTCCTACAACAGAACTGGCATTGTGCCGAGTGATATCGGCATCATACTTTGATCTTGTGACGGACCCCCGTATAACGTACAATGCTTTGAAGTCCGCTGGTAATCTTGTGGAGCAAATGACTGCGGACTTCATCGATACGCATGAACACCAAAATCACTTGCTACAAGAAAGGTTTGTTGGGAACGGTGGGTTTGTCTAGACACGCCGACAAGTGTCAGAAACATGGTGCGACTTATGGGAATTACCTTTTTGATGGCATGCGCAAATCCACATTCAAAGCATGGTGTTTTGCACACTTGAACCAGTCAAAAATGTCGCGCTCCGGAAGCAAATCGTCCAAATCTCTGGCTATCTGCAGACGAAGAGCAGTCGGGGTCCTGAATTTCCCGCAATCGATAAGTTCAATCAGCTGGTAGAGCGAAGACACGTCAAACGAAGCACTTCGAAGTCAGTCTGGTCATGAGTCTGATAAGGCCTATTATCACCCTTGATATCAGCACCTGATAGCACATGATCAGGATATTCACCTTCTGCACGTAATAACAAACACTGACGACGTAAAAGCGTGGTCCAACCGCTGGTTAAAGATGCCAACGTGATAGACTTATGTACTGATATTGACGGGAGCTAAACCAACCTCAACACCGCGACGCTCTCCACATGCGCAGTCTGTGGGAATAGATCAAAGCCCCTCAAACTCTCCAGGACATATTTCCTCCCACCCCCTTTCTGCTCCATCCGCTCTATAATCATCCCTATATCACGCGCTTGTGTATGCACATTGCAGCTCACGTATACCACAGTGCTGCATGCGAAGCGAACCAATTGTTCTATGAATGGTTCATCAGAGCCCTTGCGTGGAGGATCTATTATCAACGCCGTTTTGTCTGGGGGGAAGTGCGAAACTGTCGAGAATATGTTCGCAGCGTCACCGGCCAGAAAAGAACATTTCCCTTGTGGAAGGCGGTTGATAATAGCATTCGCAGTAGCAGACTTGATTGACTCGGCGGAGAGTTCAATGCCTGCGACGGTGTCGAAATGTGGCGCAAGCATCAATGAGAAGAGACCTGAACCGCAATACGCATCCACAAGATGCGTAGGCCCAGACGATTTCGAGGAAGGGAAGATCGCATCTTTTACGTATGAGGTAAGCGGGACAAGCACGGAATTGTTGTTCTGGAAGAATGAATGTCCCGGAAACTCGAAATACGTGGAATCCACGCGTTCACGAACAGTTGCCTTGTGGTTCGTGATGCAGATATGCTTCTCGTCCTCCGGACTAGGGATAGACGATATATCGGAGGGCAGGTCTTCAATCGAGTCGCGTAGAAGCAATGAAACACCTTTCTTGTAGCCCCAGATATTCCTGATGGAAATTCAGATATAGTTGAGTTTCTTATACAGCTCACCTACTTGATTATATCTTCCCGTATAGGTCCAAGTGCCGCGTTTAACACGGGGGTTGCAATAGGACACTCCTGAAGCCGCTAAGTACATATCAAAACATTCCAAGTTCACTATTGTCACCTCGATGTCCAGCACTGTCCGCTTTCCGATTTCATTAAATCCGATTTTCAGCCAGCTGGGCTTATCTGTTGAATTGGCTGAACCAGAATCAGCTTCCTTGCGTGCTTTTTTTGGTGGAGCCTCAAAATGCGGTGTTATCTTCGTGCGGTAGCCATATTGAAGTGGCGAGGCTATGGTTGGAAGTACGTCTGGGATGGTTTCTTTGGGAAGATCTAGTCACGTGAGTGAAGGCCCATCAGAAATGATTAAATAAAAGTACTTGAGAAATTTTCATAAGCCTTGATGACCACATTGCGCTTGATTCCAAGTTGAGTATCGTAAGAAAGCATCTAAGATGCGATAGTCAGCTGCCGAATAAGATTATGATGCGTCTGTTATCAATTCGACTAAACATAGAAGCTGATACTCATGCGAAAACTACAAGACGCACAACTAACCTGATACTGGCAACCAGAACATTGTCCAAAGTAGCGACACTTCGCACGGCTGTTGTCGCGTAGGTCAAGGTTCGGTGAAACAACTTCAAGAAGGTCGGCGAATGAATGTAATCGCGAACTGCGATAAACTCGAACACGAATTCTTTCCCCTGGTAATGCAAATGGTGCAACGATCACCCAGGGAGCGGAAGACGCAGGAGAACGTGCCAGCGCATCGCCTAGTGTACGTGAAGTTTAGTCAAAATCAATAGACAAACGAGGAACATTCTTATCCGCACCATTGGAAGATAATGTAGATACCTCTACCTCCACCTCTTCACGGAAATCAAACGGTGAATTCCACTCGGTACCTTGTTGCAGAACATGGCCGACCGTATCATCTCCTAGCAGTGCGACTATATCGCGCCATAGGACATCTTCTGAAGAATAAGGCTCTGGCAAGATACGCTTCTGTTTCCTCTTCGCTGATTTCGACACTTTCTTGGAAGGTCCAGATACTACATGGACACTCGTGTCTTCTTTTGTTACATTGGACTCATCCACGGGATGCTCCTCCAATCGAATCTTCTTCTCCACTGGCGCAGAGACCTCGGGATCGATTGCCGGTGATCTCACACGGGTAGACATTGCAGCTGATAGTGCCTTGGACTGGCAAAAAAAACTAGTTCGAACGTTACAAAGTAGACCAGAAGGACAGGTTGCCAGTCGACGCACGCGATGCGAAGGAGCTATAAGTCTTGAAATGGTGTGGATGGTGTTCGTAACAGTGACAACACTCATGCTTGGATCATCCTGCGCCGCCGATTCTCCTTCGTGGCGCCAAACTGCGTTCCGGACTAGGAAATCCACACGTGACTAAGCGTCATACTTCGGTTTATTCTTTCTCACTTATCCGTATGCTCGGACTTGCAACACATCATCACATCATTAGGGTTTGCCAAGGCTTCTAATCCGCTTTTATTACGTTCCAAATTCTGTGAAACCGAAGTAGCTTAGTTGTTTCTTTTGCACCATGATCATCGCTCTCGCCCGCTCACTGCTCTTGGAGCCCCCTGAGACGACAACGGGAGAGCCAGTGGATTCAGCTACCTTCTGGTACAGGATTGCTATCAGTGCCGTCCTTGTGCTTGCAGGAGGTGTATTTGCAGGGTGAGTCTATGCAGTCTACTAGGTTCTTTTATGTTATGTTTGATATTTTGTCATAGGCTGACTCTCGGGCTGATGGGGCTCGATGAATTGCACCTGCGTGTCCTGGCTACGTCGTCAGAGGACTTGACGGAGAAGCGCAATGCGCAAAAAGGTGCGTTGCCAAACAGCCCTTGTCTCATTTCCCAGTTGATAAAATTGGTACACGACAACCAGTATTAAGACTGATGCAGAGAGGTCGGCATTGGGTATTAGTGGTATGTTGATGCCCGCGCGCATGCACAAATAACTTATCCTTCATTATAGGTACTTCTTCTGGCCAACGTTGTGAGTGGTTATCTCAGGTGCCCGTGTCTACAATAGCTAAACACCCGCAGGTCATCAACGAAAGTTTGCCTATCTTTCTTGATGGTGCCGTAAGTAACAGAATTCTTGAAACAACAATTGATCGGCTCCGCGCCGATTAACAAATACTATTCGCGTTACATAGATTGGTGGCGGCATTGCGGCCGTCGTAATCTCTACCACAGCGATAGGTACGGATCAATCTGCTAGTATCCATGAGTTCGTTGTCCGCTGATTGTTCCATTATAGTTATTTTTGGGTACGTTTGCGCCCCTCTCGAATAGGACTTGCTGAGCAAGACGCCATATTCTTCTTTTCCACAGAGAGTACGTAACAACAAAGTATCCAGTCGATCCCATCACATTTTCTGCAGAGTTATTCCGCAGGCTGTTAGCGTCAGATATGGCCTCGCAATTGGCGCACGATGTGCCCCTTTCGTGCTCTGCCTTATGTATTTGTTTGGTAGGTGATGCTGACATGCATTGCGTCGAAGTCATAATAACTCCGGATGTAAAATAGCTCCTATCGCATACCCTACTGCGAAGCTCCTCGATTACGTTCTAGGCCAGAATGAGGGCCATACGTACAAGAAGGCTGAACTCAAATCTTTTCTGCAGTTCCATCGCACGGGAGAGGAACCACTACGGGATGACGAAATCAGTATATTGAATGGTGTGCTCGAGCTCAATACGAAGAATGTGGAGACGATCATGACGCCCATCAAGGTAAGTGTTTCCGTTGACGATATAGGACAATATCGTTCATGTGTCTTGGAACTGTAGGACGTTGTAACGCTGAGCTCAGACACCATTCTTGATCACAACACAGTGGACGCAATGTAAACATCATAGTTCCAGTTTCCTGTTGTTTTTTTGACTAACAGCTCGCTCAGCCTCACAAGTGGCTACTCACGCTTTCCTATACATGAACCCGGGAATCCACTAGCATTCCAAGGGCTTCTACTCATCAAAAAGGCAACTTTCGATGTTATACGTCAGTCTACCTAAACGCTGAAGTTGTTTCTCAGTTGCTGGTATACGACCCAGCGCAGGCTCTCCCAGTCTCGGATTTCAAGCTCTCCATTCTTCCCGAAGCACATCCCAGTATAAATTGTTTCCAGGCGCTAGATTACTTGTGAGAATCTTCACTCAAACTTCCGCGGCTCTGATGCATGTATTACAGTCAAACGGGACGTGCCCACTTATTACTGGTTAGCCGGACACCTGGATTAGCAGGTGGTGGAATTGGAGTGATCACACTCGAAGGTGTGTTTTCTCAGACAGCTCTGTCCTCTTACTGATATCGATGCTCCAGACATCATTGAGGTGTGTCTGGCTTGGACTCCGGTATATATCCAAGGATAACAAAATTTTGCAGGAGATCATATCAGAAGAAATTGTGGATGAAACAGATCGATACGAGGATAATCAGAGTAAAAGACGTGCGAGACGAATCACTACGGCTACTGTAATGCGCGGGTCCGTGTTCCATTGTCACTTTTCCACACCTGTTGTTGATATACCATCTTTCAAGGATTGTGGAGCGAGAACGAAGTCTAACGCGAGTGCCGTCCTCCGACCGGATACCCCTGTTGCGCGATACACCTTTCACGCCATCCACTCCGCGTTCTGATCTCAACCATCCGATTCCTCGTTACGGTGCCATACTCAGCCAGTCCCCAAGAACATAAAAATTGCAACCATATTCATAGGGCGTACGCTGCCGGATTTTGTCGTAGTTATTGGATGAATCTGTTTGTTTCAGTATCTTGACTCGTCGCTTTGTGTAATGCTCGTCAAAAGCCATCATCAGTACATCGACCGACTATCACTGTCTCCAGTTACTCATTTAGTTTCGTTCTCTCTTATTTCTTACCCTACAGTATACAAACTGTTGTATATCTACTTGTAGGGCAGTTGATTTTTTCCCCACCGAGTATAACTTTAGTTTGGCCAGTAACCCCATGATATCATTGCCATTGACCCAAAGCCGATATGCACCAAGACTGTATGCCAATGATATCCGGAGAACTTATTTCAAAAGGTTGTAATGATGCCTGAGGGCGCTATTTCTGTGTCTGCAGGTGAAAACCGATCACTGTTAACTCATCGCCATGGTAGAGAACGCTAGGATAGTATATATGTGATGTGTTCCAGTGTGTATCTGAGGTATGTATGTAGATAATCGACCTCTCCTTCATGTTGGTAATATCTAACGACAAAATGGCTGACTAGTGATCATCGCTTGCCGTTTCATCGAGCTCTCGTAGTCGTTCCTTCAGAAGAAACATCAACAATGGCTCACCTGTCCAAGTAATCGTCCGCGAACTTACCTCAAGAGCAAACAGGTGCGAATCATATGATGCTGGTGCAAGCTGACGGACCGATTCCGCCAGACGATACAGATATTCCTGATATGAATAGTTTCAAATTTGCTCTGACCTGAAGGAAGCTTGACAAGCCTTGTTCCGTCCAGAGGGGCCCTCGGAGACCCATATCCGCTGTGCCAAGTCCTCTAATGGTTCTGAACCAACTGATCGCATCGTCATTAGTCCGAATTCAAAAGAGGAAAGTGGGATGCTCACTGAATGATGGATTATCTGGTCGACCGACATAACACTTTCTTCTCGTGAGATCGACACAACTCATTTAGAAACACAACGCGTACGAAAGCCTGAGTTAAGGAATCAACGATAGGTAGGTGAAACAAGTGAAGCGTGTTGCGTACATCCTGAATTGCAATTCTTTCTATCCCGTTCTCTATGGTATAGACATGCAGCGTCTCCATTGTGTATCCATCCTGATCCATTGTACTACCTCGAATGATCGGATACTCAGTTCTGTTGAGCGACGTACCTTTTCTCTGTAATCTTTTCAGACACATGGAGTGTCAACACGAACTATGGAGCCTTAACATCGTAGGCCATATCGGACTCACCCAAGTAATCCCTAACTTCTGCCTCATATTCCGGGTCAATCGTGTACGCTATGCCTGTGGAGAGGGACATTATCAACAAGGAGAGAGCCTCCATCGGACGAAAAAACCTTGCCCCAAACAATATCTTCATTCGGGAATGCATCCTATGTAGTGTGTTTGCGGATATCCTAGAAGTCGAGAAGAGATGAACTCACAGACTGAGAAAAGCGATCCCAATCCTCCTTGTGGATAAGAGTCACCACACGCCCCGGATTCTGCGAGTTCACGATCAATACTATGTCAGGAGTTCCGCGGACGTGTACGATAAGTGCCAGGACACACCTCGGGTGTGCCACGATGATCATGCGATTTCTGAGCGAAGCGCCTTACGTAGCCTTTTAGGAATCCAGAGGCTGCAGAAAGCCATATTCATAACATGTTTGTAAGCTAAATGGATTGATCGCTCACTCTGGGATTGGACATGAGGTGGGGGCTATACCAGCAGTGATCGCAATTAGTTAGTGACACCTTTCGTGGCTGTCTGTGCTCACCTTGAATATCAGTGAGCCGTATCCAAAGACTACGAATGGAGCATTGATGGACCCCATGGACGACCTGTGAGTTAAGCGATGAATGCTCGGAGCACAATGAGTTGGCGCTATGCAAGAATGCCGAACAGGCAAGAACTAGTAGGCGATATAGGCGCCGAAGGTACTGCGGCCCGTAGTACAGTATAAATTCATTTATGATGACCAATAACTACTACACAATACTGCCATGGCCCATGTGGCAGCGTAACAATACGCCACGCTGGGCTACGTAACTGCGTAGAATAGCGCAAGAATAGCGGGTCGGAAACATTGTCAAGCTCTAGCCAGGACCAGCGGGTACATACTCTAGTACAACGAACGAACAACTGTCATGACACGTGATCCTATCATACCGTGTCGCGCAGACTGGTGTAAATCGGTTCCGGAGTGTACGCTTATCCATACAAGGGGGATCATCCCCTAGTCAACCCCTAGTCGGCTCTAAGACAAAAGGAGTCAGGCGTGCCACAAATGCGGTTGATCTGCATTACCTAAAATTATACTTCACTCTTCCCCTCCACTCCACATATGATGGCCAGACCCAATACAAAATGTGTGCAATTCGCATGTACCGGGGCATGAAAACCGTCTTCTCTTTATGATCAATGGCCTGGACACAGCGTGTCGCCACCACCTCGCGTCGCAAGCCATGTTTATTCGGGTCAGCTTCGTGTATAACGGGGGCAGAGTTGAGCGGTGTGTCGACCGCGGACGCGCGGAAGTCCCCCTCGATCGTTGCGGGAAGGAAGGACGTGAACGATATACGGGGGTGCTCGATTGCGAGCGCCTGAAAGAGCATTTGGGAAGCTGATTTAGTAGAAGCATAGAGGGTGCGTGTTGGCGCAGGAATGATTGCTGCCGCACTTGAAAGGAGAAGGATAGACGGTGAGATGGAACAGGAAGTGAGGAGAGGTATCTAGTAAGTTGGACATTTGTGAGTGATCAACGCGTTGCATGGAAACGTAATCTCACAAATGTAATCGCAGCAATGTATGGTCCGAAGAAATTGCCATTGGTGGCTGCTTTTGCGACACCAACCGCGTGGTGAATGGCTTCAGCGGTGGCATGTGGCAGAGAGAGACCATCTTTGGAACTAGTGACTCCAGCAACCGTCATCAACGGTTGAAGGGCAGAAACACCAGCCGTGATTATGAGTGTGTCGATACCATCCCACTCTGACACATCACCTCAGTGACAGCGGGGAACAAAAGAGACTGTGATACATACCTTTGATCACCGTGTCACGCACCTTTGTCATGTCTTCCACGCTTGCGCAGTCGCCGCGCACATGCAACACACGACCGCTTTCACATACCCATTCCTTCCTGCATTCCTCAGCAGCCTCATCAAGCATTGATTCCCTCCGTCCTACCAAGCATATTCGTGCACCTCTCTTCGCATATTGATGAGCAACAGTACGACCTACTCCGCTCGTTGCACCTAATATGAGGACTCTCTCTTGTGTTGGTGGGATCTGAGTGAGCCGTGGTGCAGGCCGTAAGTACCAGAAGAGAATGAGAGCAAGAGGCAGGGCCCCAAGCACAAGTTTTACCGTTGTGATGTTGAAATGAGAATCAAACATGGCAAACCACAATACTATAGATTTCAGAAGGGTTTTAATATGTCGTATTCAAGTTACATCAGCAGAAGATCCACGATTTTTGGTCAAAAAGAAGTTTGACAGGCTTACGGTGAGCCTATGATAAATTAATAATAGTAGTACGACAGCGCTGTTGTTAGAGCCACGCGATTGGTGGAACGGACTTCTCCGCAGTACATTGCATCTCTGCGAACCTGGAGCGGGTGGACCAACTGGTTGGCAAAACTCAGCAGTTTTCCCAACAACACACGAATATGAGACATTATCCGCAATGGCACACTATATTGTGGTCAATGAGAAGTGAGAACAATCAAGTACAGATCCGAGAGTTTAGAGCAAGTGGAACACATGCTGGCATCACAACCCCGTCCATTGTACATGATAGTTTACTTTGTATATTGTAATAGCCGCATGATATCAGAGATTACTGAAGTAGGGGATAATCGATAAAGGCGCTCACGTTGGCACGACGGATAACATATTTATCAACCGGAAAATCGAGTGTTATAGAGCGAAAATTATTATACATATCCAAAAGAGACGGCCGAGAGACAAATAAATATATAAACAGGTTCCTATGCTTTTAGCCCAAGCACTATCGGTATATGCAAGATACTATCTTTTGGACTCGCCTTCCAAATTGTGGACTTGGACCCGACTTTGCGATCATGAACCATTGAGGCTAAGCGCTAATTATTAGCTTTCTGTCTTTCCTCTATAAACTCATCATGACCCACCATAGCAGAATTACACTGATGGGCTTGTGATTATTCCCATGAGAGAAGGAACAGCCATGGTCTCCCTCTGATTATTTTTTGCATAGCAATTTTTGCAGGCGAGATGGTTTCGAAAGCATGAATTATTTTTCCATCCTTGAGTCTTTATGATCAGAATTTGGACAAGCTTCGGTTGTAACACAAACGTCAGCAAGGGATGTACCGCTTGGGAGGCTCTAGTCATTTACTTCACATTCGGCTCTGATATCAACCTCTACTCCGCCAATATCCAAGTAGGCGACTTTCCTGATTTGTGCTCACTCCCCGTCCCGTCCACTGAAGTACTGCCACTGTGTGTGAATTTGGATATATGGGTCTCCACAGGCGTCATAGGATATTCCTGCGAATTGCTTTGTTCCGTTCTGACAGTTGTCCTTCCAGTTGAGGTTGAGAGGTAACCGCGATGTTTATTCATGGCGATACGAATAAGCACCATGTAGAATGCAATCGATATGATCGGCATCATCTAGTTGATAATAGCTCAGTATGTTTCGATATCACTTAAAAGGGGGATTACCAGGTCCACCATAACAAACTCTCCATTGTTCGAGCAGAGGAAACAGATTAGTGCGGTGAGGAGTGCCACAGAGTACAAAATGGCGGCATCCACGAGCACGCGTACTATTGGCATCAAAGTTCCCTTCGTACCGGCGCGAGTGGTAGTGACATTGCGTTCAATCGCCCATATTCGGTATGCCATTAATCCTGGACACATTCACAACTTCTGCACCGTGCTCGCAGAAATGAGCTTACCTGAACCCGACACATTAGCTGCCATAGTTGAGACAAAATATGCCATGATATACGTCGCAAGATTTGTGGAGAAAACGCTAGTAGTGGACTCGGATTGCGAAACACTGTAGACTGCAATGGTGCCAGTGACTGCAAGGTAATATCAGATTTCACAACTTTCTCAGGCTGAGCAATATTGCAGTTTTACTTGCGACGCTACACCACAGCAGGCCTGGTAGGATGATAACCCGGATGGATTGCCAAACAACATAGCAGCGATAAACCTTTTATCAAATGGGGCACTTCTATTAGCCTAGAGGATCTTAGAGTAGCAGACGAAAATATGAACCTACCACCATCCCATCAGCAAGTAGAGTTTGCAGGACGTATAACGCATGCTTGATCACATACGTTTCTTGTGCCACGTCTGCGAAGAATGCTGCTGGTCCTCCTGGGTACGTGTCACGATACTTCACCAGTCCATCTTCCACACGAATGATGGTCACGACAATGTGCTTGGTGAATGTCAGTAGGCGCCATGCCACAGACGGGAAAAGCAAGGACTCACCGCAGTACTCAGTAACAACAGCAGGATAGCTACTATGGCGATTGGGCGATTGATGTCTCGCACATGCTGTTTGTAGGTCAAAGACCACATGGTGCCCATAAACATGAGCACTGAAAAACCTGGAGAGATGAGTTGACTTTAGCTTGATGGACATGGGACAAACAACCCCGATGCCCGATGCTCACCGTATAAAATACCTTCCAGCACTGCTGCCATTAAAGCACCGGTATCGAATGGGATACCACTTGAAGTCATGGCGAAAACTGGGAGATGCAGAGTGGTGTGTACATCTTCATCGGTTTCGATATATAGCCTGAAATGAAATATTGTGTTATCATATGAGATCACTGATCCATCAGGCGGTGCTTGTTGATAGATCCGGTAGCTTGCTGCGCCTTGATGATGATGGCCTTCGAATTCACATCTTGAAGGAACTTTAGTGACGAATTGATAACGAAAGAATGACTTCCTTCTACTTATTTGGTCTACTTGAGGCTAGACAATGTCGGTTGCGGCCGCAGAGCGCACCTCTCCTGGACTGGTGTGGGGTGATGTTTCAGGTCTGCGCGAGCCGCGCGTCAGGCTTCAGAAGTAAGTCTGATACGGCGAGGTTGTCTACACTGTGATAATCAATTCAATGCTACACGACTGTTGCGATAAAGGAACTTTACAAGTAGTAGTCCTTCATTGATGAGTAAGCTGACCTCAGTTTGTAATTCCGAACATGTATCGAGTCTTCACGCGCACGATCATGATGCGGCTCCACCAGCTAGTCCGAACTATTCGAGGTTCGATATTTTTAGAGGACACAAGTCAAATTCATGTTGACCGTGACGTTCGTGAGTCATGAGTCCGTTTTGTGTCTTTGCAAATGAACTCATGGGCGAGCGGGAATCAGATCAGGCATGGACAGTCAACCGATAATGTGGTCAGTTTACTTTGTAGTCTCCACGCGCCGTATTGTGCTTAGATGTCACAGAGACACGTGTGGGCAGGGTGGGCTGATGCCCCGCTAAGCCAGCGCGGTTCGTTAAGTCCTCTTTCACATCAGCTGCTCTGATATGCTCTCCAACATGCAGGAAAAACGGTAAGCCCTCTTCAATTCTCCTGCTTCCTGCTTTCAATATCCGCGTCTTTTAGCAAGCCGAAGCTCTCGGTGCATACTTTTCCAAGACCCTGTTTACCAAAATCTATGCCTCTCCCCTCAAGCGCGCTGCCACCACTGCAGCACTTGTTCTTACTGCCCAACCTGCCCCACAGCCGCCACATGACTTCACAATCGAGTCCATAAAGGAGCAAAATTTTGGCATTGCAGAGGGGAAACCGTGGTGTTCTCCGGACAACAGGTCTTCCAAGTCGCTCTCAGAGTACATGAGCGAGGGCAAGTACCCCACCCCGCTTCCGGGTGAACGCTTCACGGACGGTGAGTCCGATGAAGATTTAGCAGCACGTGCGATGCAAGCCGTGGATGAAGTGATCATGCCACACGTACATAGTGCAATGCGGGCTAGGCGTGCAGAGCATATTGCACTCGTAAGCCATGGGCTCTGCATTAGAGCGCTCATTTGCGCGTTGTTAGAAAGGGACTCCAGAAATATTACCACTTCGCGTGGGTACACTGGGATGCAGAACACGGCGTGGGCGAGGGTAATCATTGAAATGCAGGTCAGTTGATGTTATGTTTTTTTTTTATGCGGATGCTGATGGTGGTATACAGGACGTTGCAGATGGCACACCATTGGAGATCACTGATGAAGACAACCCCCTGATCGTAACAGTGACGGACTTCGGTCGTGCGGATCATCTCATCAAGCTTGTACGTCCACCTGACTTCCACCATATATGCGGTTGCTACTACTGATTCTCAGAAGCCGAACGCCGGCGGGACCGGCAAGATTGCATACGACCCAAAGCAACGGGACATCAGAGCGTTCTTCAATAGTGCGGCGAAGACCGTTGCCACCAAGAACTGTGAGGGCGATGCACGAGATGGAATCAATAGGGAAGCAAAGAAGTGACCTATTCACACCTTCGCAACGATGTCACTAGCAGCCCGCAATTTCTTACCTCCGTGCAATCAGCAATATTTAGACTCACTAGAAACACAGAGGCTATGGACAAATACACCGTTCAGATTGGCGCCAACAGATGGACCTTGAGCTTCATCTGCGAGCTTCCAAAGAAATCAACTGGTCGGTTGTTGATTCAATCAGCCGCGTCTTCCAGCGCATTTTCTCACGGCATTTCATGCAGCTCCACAATGACCCGCGCCTAGTGTCCCGCTGATATCAATGCCCTGATTATTTTCACAGAATACCGTGAACCTTTCGATTCTGACATCTGTACCTTCGTGGACACTCAAGATGTCCTCTCCTAGTGTCTCGCCCCATCCGACCGTCACGCATGACTCATCATCACTCCATGCTACCTTTCAAACCTTTCTTTTCAGATTGGATGATTCTCACTTCGCCAAAGATATCATGCTGATATGCCCATGTCTCGGCTGTTTGACAATTCATTGATAGATGGAATGTCATTCCTGATATTATGATCAACTCAACCAAGCAACTTGCACTCTATATAACAGCGCTTTAAGTGACTCGTTTGAATCCAAACATGACCAATAAATCATCTCCTAACATACAATAATGCTTAATTACGCATATGTAAAAAAACGTATGTCCAAAATTCATTATTTAATGTCTGCGATGTCGCGCTAAATCACCATTCAGATCAACAACAAGTCGACCTATCGATATGATTATCTTCACTAGCTATGCAGTTGCTAATGAGTGGTGGCGTGGCGTGTCCACTTCGTCCATCGTTGGGTTCTCGGACAGTGTTCGGCATGCCAATGTCTAGTTATATACCCATGACATGGGGCAGGCCAGCGCCGTCGACTCACTCACCGTGGATGGGGTTGCAACTCGATTCTTTGGACAGGTGTTTCTGCGTTGCTGAACGACCTAGGTGGTCGCAGCTTGAGCATCGACCCATCGTCTGATTGCGCGAACAACATTAGCGGGAATTCGTGAGCTAGTTCCTTGCAGGTTATTTCACATTTGGCTGATAGCGGACCTACCTGGTACTCTTTTCTAGTAACGATTTCCACAGGGTATTCCGCTTGTAGGAGCAGGCATCATTCTAAGTTTCCAGTGATGATCCAGGATATATTGTTGATTGCTTTATGCTTCATGCTACTTCCATGCGTAAGCCTTCGTTCTCCTTCCATTGTCACCCTGAATGATGATACCTGCAGACTCTGAATATTTTGGCATTGCGGGAGCAGATACGGAACCCCAGTCGATATGAACGGCGATATCCTTAGACAAACGAGGAGCGACCGAAGTATTACAGGCATGTTCACGATATGTCATGAATTATGAATGGCAGCGATAAGATACTGTTATTTTTGTTGGCCGTATTTAATACAAGGGTTTGGGTATGCAAATTATAGGCTCCCTGAACGGGCATTGAATATTGAGGCTTGAAGATTCTGCCCGACTTTAGGTAAATGCTAGCTGCCCTTCTTTCCATTACCTTCTCCGGCTAGTCGACGCTCTCTTCTCCGCTTGACATCCCAATTATAAACTCTAGCAGTGTTGACTTCCATCACTGTCAGCTGCTCTCGCATAAACTCCAAGTCTTCGATCGTAGCTTTTAAGCTGGCCTCTGCAAGTTCCAATTTGGATCGCAGGAGCGACGCAGCCTCTGACAACTTGTACGATAGCATAACATTCGCCTTACACGAATCAGATACCATCGGGAAACTCACGGTGGACAACTAAACTCACCCCTAGCCATAGATAGACGGTGTCGGTGTCCTCGAGTTCTGCTTCCGCGAAAAGCGTGTCGTTTAATTCGAACGTTGTGGTAAGCGGCTTTTGGGGATTGTCGGAATTTTCCTCGTCACCGAGATCATCCTCCAAATCGTCGTTCTTGTTCTTGCCTTCCTACGTAATCGTCAGATAATATCGACGCACGTGTTCGCAGTGCTAGACTCACTCTTTGTTCTTGCAGGAACTCCACCATATGTAATGTCTTTCTGATATCGGGGATCTTGTCTTCCAGACCTTTTCGTCGTTGTGTCAGGTTGGCATCCATATATCGATACTTCCTGGATTTCCTTAGTTTCAATATCGTCACAGAATATATATCAAACATACGCGATAGCATCCTGGAAATTCTTCAGGGGAGTCTCAACCGCGCCATCTGAGCCTCCCAGATATTCTTCGACATTTGCCTACATCATGAAGCATGAGCAGAAGACCATTGATCTACTTTTGTTGATACGCGCGATGAATGGAGCTTTTGGAATACCCCGTGGATTTTTCTCCTCTTGAAATACCGACTTGGCAGACATGGTCGTAGAGACTGCAGTCTTGGAAGCTCGAACCCCGCTTCCAATCATGACGTCCGGTCGTTGTCCGGTCGGAGTTGGAATTTTCCTCTCATCCTCACGAATTTTTTCAATGACATCCTGTTTGATTGTGAAAAATCTCCCCACATACTTGACGCCAGATTGCCTTGGAACGTACTCCGTACAACAATTGCAAGGTGCCCCCTCCGGAACAATCACAGATGTGAAAAGCAAGACGGCACATCGCATTGATTCGGTTTCGTTGGCTTCAAGACCGATCAAGAAGCAAACGCTGCGACTTGGCAACTGCAAGGGGCTGGTTCGATCGCACGTTCATTGGCTCGACGCGAATTAATGTCGTGGCTGTCGCAGTAAGTTTTTTTTTCCTTTTAAAATATCTACTCGCAGGACGTGAAGGATGCTCCAGCTTTTTGACCAAGTAAGGGAAGACGCATTGAAGATACTGCTACGAATTCAGGACCGTCATTGCGACCACATGTTCACAAGGCGGATTATGAACCTGGTGTTGGATTCATTACCCGATCGAGTCTGAGAAAACTGATGACGAGCACGGGGTTAATCAGAGCACCATTCCTGAGGAACGCCAGTACTCGACAACAAAGACGATCATGCAGTTTCGTTTATTCCTCCGAAATCTTGCTTTCTCATCTCATGTACGAAAGCCGAGATCATGGAGCTATTTCAACCATTCGGGGAAGTTGTAAATGTGAGTATCTCGTGGCCTTATTGTGTATTCTCTACATCTTTCGCTTTTTTCTTGATGATAAACACTTAGGGACATCTGATCCTCCAGGGATGTGCTGATCCCCGGGAACCAATAGTAGAAAATTTATCTGACTTCTATTCCCTTTTTACAATTTGTGTGTTGTCGATCACTTCGCTGACTTATCACTATCCTACCAGGTCCATATACCTTGTCTAGGAAGTTGAAGGGTTCAGTCTACGTGACCTTCAAGCAGCCGACGTCTGCCCTCTCGGCGTATGAGGTGCTGGACAAGATGTTCTTCCAAGGACGTCTTCTCTACATCGTTCCTATTTCTGACCGTAGAGGGCGAGGGGGGAAAACAAACGTTAAAATATGAGTTTCCGGCGTAAAACCACAGCTGGGTGGGACGGCCGGGACTTCAATTGGAGAGTGTTGTACATGAATGTTCGTCGAGCCCTTGTCATGTTATGCACTATATATCCAGATCTTATGCAATGCAATGACATCGTCTATTGCTGTTCGGATGGTTCCGAATTGTCCAGACAGATATTTTGAAGTCTGAGTCAGATAATGCAGCAGTCAAGCTTGTGCTTGCGGAGACGCACATTATCCAGGAGAGGAAGTTGTACCTCGAGTCCCAGGGAATCGTCTTATTGTCACTTTCTTCCCGAGCGCGGTCCGATACTACAATACTCGTGAAGAACATCCCTTCTGACACCACTTGGCTGTACCAACGCGAGTGAGCCATCTCCTTATCCGTCAAACTATAAATTGTATATCACCACATCTCTAGGAAGTTCAATAACCACACTGTCGTCTTTGATACCATAGCTGGAGCCCTACGACTCTCCAACAAATATGACATTGCAGACTCGTCAACTACATCTATTTCTGCCTGGCCCCAAGACTTCACTAAAATGACTTATGCTGCATTCTCTCATGCCGCTAGTGAGCTTCCCTTTGCCCCTGTAGGCCATAAGCCTCGCACGATAATGTAATGTTCCTGAGATCCTTCCTACCTCATTCTATGCGCTTTTGATTTTCCGTTGGAGTCATCTAGTCGAGGGTGATCAAAGATACCTCTAAGTGTCCCCCTCGGTGATTCATACTTGGATGCAAACACCCTCAAGACCATCTATACGCAATCCTTACTGGTACAGACGACCAGCCATGCGGATACATCACAGCTATTTTCGCTGGCTGCGAGAACGCACTCAGACGTGGGTCAACTCATCGTTGAGGCCGGATGCTTTCTCTCCGTGGCTCCTTCCTAACTTGCAAATGTTGCTCCCAACATTTTAAGCTTCCGTGTTCTTCGCATTTCTTGTCTTCTATGTATCTCGGATTCGTTCTTAAGCACATCATCTTTTGCCAAGAGCATTCATTTTGTTGCAAATGACATCGACTTGGTATAAACATATGTTGATTTTCAGCACGTGACGGACGCGTCGTGTTCATTCAGGCAAGCACGCACAAATATTCGTAACCGGTATAAATATTTATCGCAGGATATCCTGGAATCGCCCCGTCGAATATCTTGCCAGCATACCCCACATTCAACGATATTCCACCAACAATATGATTTCTACTACCTTCTACGTTGCTTCACGTCTAGCCATTACGGCCGTAATCTCGGTATCGTTTTTCGAGGAAACGGTTCTCCGTCCAATCCGATCTGGACTAAGGAAGAGTACCGCCGGCCTCGTCGTGTCGGCATTCAAGTCGACAATTATCTTGATCCTAGCCGCCGACGAGGCCGCTTCGATGTATCTGAGCAACGATACCAGTGCACCCTCCACTGGCGGACACGTTCCCGATGCAGCACCAAGGATACTGGGAACGGCGTGCAAGTTACATCAAGGTACTCCGGATCGTCACCCGCCCGTGAATTTCGTGTTGCCAGTTCCAGCCAAGAAGTCTTTTCTACAATCATCTCTATCTTCATTACTATCGTCACATATATTCAGATCGACAATGTCCTACAACATCACTACTCTCGATTTGTCGTATTCAGGTAATTGTAAGCGCCTCTCCATCACATCGAATACTACCCTTGTAGCCTGCGACGACGACCACTCGAAGGACGTCTTGCCACCATCTTTATTGTCATCGTCACCTGTATTCAGATCGACAATGTCACACAACATCACTACTCTCGACCTCTCGATCACATCAAATACTGCCCTGGTAGCCTGCAACGACGATCGCTTGAAGGATATCTTGCTACTATTTTTATTGTCATCGCCACCTGTATTCAGATCAACGCCCAACGACATCACTACTACCCTCGATTTGTCACATTTCGGCAATTGTAACCGCCTCTCTATCATATCAGATACCGCCCTTGTAGCCTGCGATGATGACTCAAAGGACATGTTCTCTGACAAGGTACGGAGCATTATATCTAACTTGTTATTGCCTAACATTCGGATCACTCTAGGACAACTATGCTATGCCACAGCCTGGGGTGCAAGTACCAACGCACACTACAGATAATGTCCTCGTTGATGTCCCAGCCCCAAGCACAACTATCGACATTATTAGCCCCTTCTGTACACCGTACATTCGGCCACTTGTCCTACTAGTCGACAAATGCCAGACAACGCCTACGTGTACTGCTAGCCATTCTGTTCCTGGATCCGCACACCTCACGGATGCCTTGCTTCAGACGACAAACTCCCTCCACAGCAGTCCATCCGTAGTCCCCAATGATGGCTTCGTACACTTGGAAGGCGTCTTCACTGGCACTGACGAAGCGCTAGACACCAAATATGTCGAACACCACATCGACACCTTGCCCCCATGCATGCCAGCTCTTATCACCGACAATGATCTCGCCATCGAAAATGCTCTCCCTGTTGAAAATGCTCTCGCCATTCGCAATGCTTCCTCTGATCCGCCAAATTTTCGGCCACTTGCTCCACTCGATAGCTTCCCGATGTCGTTGTCCACGAAAACTGACACTAACCCTTCTGGATCCGCCCGACCCACTGACATGCTAGCTCACAAGACCAAGGCTACTGCCTCCTGGCTAAAGCCCCTGATCCTCGTTACTAAATACGCCGCTGGTCGATTCATCCCTCTACCTCCTACAGCGCTTCCCGAGAAGTCGCGCCCATATAAACTGAAGCAGCAGAAGGTACGGGCATGTTCATCGTCAGACTCGGTATGTCACTCATCATACCTCATTAGTGCAAACCTGCTAGATCTTTGCGAATGAACTCTGCTTGCCACAGCATCGTGCGTTCTCGCCTCCAGCGACACGCCCACAGGATCGGTCGGTCATTCCTTTTCGTACTGTAATTGCTTATTGATTTCGGTACTACTAGTCGGCCATCTTGCGCAAGTCTGCAAACAGATTTGTGTCGATCAATCATCCCTCATGGACGGCTGGGTCACTGCCATGGCGGAGATGGGGCTCACCTCGATGCTGGTCGGCAACCACCGAACGTCGCCAGGATTGCAGCTCCCTCTTACATTCGACGCATTTTATGTTTTAGAGCCCGATTTGCAAATCAAAGCCCGCCTTGCGTCACTTCGCCATCGAACAAATGCAGTCGCCGCCACGATTCCAGCCACCACCACTTTTCCATTTTCGCCACCCCGGCGAGACACTTGCTGACACCTCCAATGTCTTACACCCGTCTGCTGCGACTTCACTATTACCTACAACACTGACAACCACCGTCTACTAACAACGAACATTGCGATATCTAACCAAAGCCCGCCAAGGTCACAGGCCACATACCAACAAGAAAATACGACGCCATCGTGACGTATATTATGATACTAACACCATGACACTATCAAGCAAGACCACTTACGACACTCAGGCCAATACCATTTCATGATTAATGACAGACAACGCCTATCATCAGGGTTCACGACATTCCAGACTTGCTCCACACAGACCACAAGCTGATCAGAAGAGTATGACACGCATCACGACACTAATGCCACGACACTACCAAGCAAGACCACTCACGACACTCAAGGCAGTATATGAACGACGCTACGATACTCAGACACACACTATGTCACGACACCGAAGGCAGCCAACACTCAAGTACTCACCCCCATGGCATAACGATACTACGATGCCGTCAGAATATTTCGCGATACTCACGCTGCCACGATGCCATCAACAAGGCTCACTTTTCGTTGCTCACCACTAACCTCATGACGACCCGTATCCCAGTCATCATTGGCAAACATGATGTCCCCACTGACAGCGAAACAAATTTCGACGCATTACTTGCTCTACTTTACTAAATGATAAAATTGATCTCCTGCTCATGTATCTTTGGAATGAATGTTATGATTACTCGCGATTGCATTCGTCCACGAAGAAATTGAAAAATGCTTTAGCTATTTGTTGTATAGTACTATCTCTAGAAGACGACACAGTTTCTTACAGTTGTCGACCCAGCATTCTCATGATGGTTTCGCTTAGGCTGTCTGTAGTACCTGCTCCAGAGGTTACCACCAAGTCGAACCGTTTTCGACATCCTACTGGCAGGCCAAAGAGTGAGACTCGGAGAAGCCTGGTCGATCTAGTAGGCTTGTATTGTCAATGGATTGATTATTCCGCTGACGCGGAACCTCTCGAGAACAGCCTTGGAAAAAACTCGAGTCCTGCTATCCCTGACAGCGAACTACGGCACGAATAGCTTTCAAGACAGTAGTGATAGGTTATTACTTCATCTTGATTTCATACAACGATAAACTCACTCCTGGATGATCCGATCATAGGACGGCATCATCATCAGACGCTCACCGTCGGAGACTTCGCCACACACTGACACCATCCCTCAAATAGGACGTGCCGCATTCTCAAAGGACCCTAGGTCGTAGTTGTCAAACAGAATTTATCGGGATCATTGAATGCAAGTTCGTGAAACACACTGTCAGATAGGGTTCTTCAAGTTGTTACACGACTATAATGATCTTACAGCATTTCCCTGATTCGTGTCAGCCGCGAATTACAAGAAGCTCTCAAAAAACGGCAATCGCGGATAAATCCGTAAACATGTTTCTGAAACGCGGTGTTTATATCGCGCCCACAACGAAAACTAGCCGAAATTCAATCAAGTCGGGCCCCGCGATCTACTAGTATATTAAATCTACGTGTTAGTGCTAGCGCTCACTATTCGAGTCGCCATTCATTGACCCCACTCTCCTTCAATATGACCATAGTCTCAAATAGTCCCGACCTCTGGTGGTCTATCCAATATTACCGCGTTGAAAGCTATTATACAGGTTCGTAAGCAAGTTCGTTGTTGGCTCTATCATCGACTTTTTAGTAATCGGTTCCGCAGTTGCATCCACTGTTGTGGTTATATATGATTGGGGTGAGCAGGACATGGGTTAGTACTAGTTACCGAGGAAGTCGCTGATGTTGTTATGCTACTCCCAAGCACTGACATTCGAACAAGAGGTATGTAGGTCGATGTCATTGCCAGAGCTGCTGTCTCATTGCTAACGGTTTTGTAGTTTGAACTAGTCTGGGTGAGCACAGTGTTATGTTAGAAGTCTGGATGATTTCCGATATGAATTCGAAATAGAAGCGACGCTGGTCCGTCACGAGCGTCTTATATCTTGCTGTACGTACCTTACCAATTTCAATTTTCATTTGCCAAGTGCGCTCACCTTACAACATTCCAGTTGCGCTATGGTGGAATAATATATGCTGTGTATGTCTGCGAGGCCAACACGTCAGCATTGTGCTAATTAGCCATCTCTCGTAACCAGCTTCGATATACCGGGTGTGTCTCTCCCAACTCTCAGTATCTTCTGACATGTACTAAACTGTGGCATCTAGGAAGTATCACGACACTCTACGTATCAGATGATGTGAGTGATCCGAGTAATTCGAGCAATGCGTGCCATTACCGTCCAACTCACGATTCTCTCGTGTAGGGGTGAGTGATATTCTCGACATTGTTGACTAAATGTAACATTTGAATAGCTGTGAGTTTGGACTTAGCCCCCTATGATGCCCATCGCTCATTGTATGTTTCAGGCACTGTTTTGGATTTCGAACAATGGTGGATGTTTACAATAGCAAACATCATCCTGGGCGGTGAGTTATTTAGCTTCAATACATTGCTAATTTGGCTGAAATATCATGCCAGCTATTATGATCACTCGGTTGCATGCCATGTATCAGCGATCGAGAAAGATGCTTATCTTCCTCGTTGTATTCTTCCTTACCCTGACGATTACTAGCGCAGTAATCACGGTAATACAAAGCACATATATTACAGGAGGTAAGGCACGAAGGACTTCAGAGAGTCAGGCTTACAAGACAAATAACAGAGGAGCTCGTCTTCTCCGGTACTTATCAGTGCAATTACGGGGGGGATAACATTTATCTATCAGCCATCACTTGGGTACTCGGCACTGTATGGGAAACACTCGCATTGTATCTTTCAGTCCGTATTGCTATAAAGCATTTCCGCGAACGACTATCGACAGGATCGATCATTGAGGACTGTTTCACAGTGTTAATAAAAAGTCATGTATTTTACTTTGCAAGGTGAGCTCGTGACTTGAGCGACTTTCATTTTAACGTTGACGTTCTGTATGTTCTAGCTTTGCTGCCGTTGCTTCCTTCCGCATTAGCTTCTTCTCTCCAAATTTACCGGTGAGCCCATACGTTACTGATTTGCATCCATCTGACTGCTCCTCGATTGTGCAGAGCGGAAATTCTGCAGGAACTGAGCTTTATTACGCCATTTCGCTAGTTTCCGCGGTCTTGCAGATGTTTTTGCTGGGACCGCGCCTCGTCCTTAGCGTTCGAGAACACGGCACTAGGCTTGTGGATGACTCCGACGGAGCAACTGCCATGACTACGGTTGCATTCCAGGAGTGCACAGTCGCGTCGACTGATAGCGGTGTGTAGTATGGGAAATACTCTATGACATTGATATCTTGGCAGGAGGTTGAGAATGCCGTTTGAATTCTGAGTTTCGCCACTGGTACTGACCGATATGTATTGAAGTATGAAATAGACTTGCCATATGTCAATACGTGTAGTAAATGTGACTGACCAGGCGCTGGCACTCACCCCAAGGCTTATTTGGTGAAGTAAGCAGCAGTGTCATCATACCTTCGGGCCAAAGTCTAGACCTAATACTGTCAAGGTGGTTCAACGTTCAAGTTTAAGCCGACCGAGACCAACTCAGGCTAATCACTCTAATCCAGACACGACAAAATCACCGTCCTCCGATCGCCTTCGCGAGGATGTGAGCACACTTGATCCCGCGCAAGTAATATGTATCGAGTCATCACATCCTCTGCGAACCCTCTTCAGCTGCACAGGGTTTGATCCCGCGGAAACCATTCACATGGAGTCAACTCCTCAGCTTCACTATAGCGCAAACACCGTGGTCTTTCCCAAAAAAAAAAATCCGGCGAAAAAGATCGATCTTTCTCGCGGACGTGAGCATGAATGCATCAAGCCCATCTCATGTGCCCATTCTGATAATTTCAGTATGGACTTGGAGATGGGGCTGAGGCCATCAACGGATGGGTCGATCCGACCTCTGGCACAAAGTATTGGTATTGGTGCCTGAAACGGATGAGTGTCGTTAAAGCGCCCTTTTCGACTTGCCTGGACTAGCTATTAGTCACACGACTCCATGAGCTAGTAGGATAAACCGACAAGTCCCATGAGGCCCCAGGTGTGTCGAACGACAACGCTGGTTGACGTCGCTGCTAGTGATGTAAGTGAATGGTCCTTGAGGCGGATATGAACCAAAGCTGTGTATTAGGACGTTGAAAAAAAACGATGTTGAAATTGAGAATGGTGGTGTTAGGAGCAGTCCTATATGTCGCTCACCACGGCATGCATATCAAAAAGGTGACATTATGTCGAGCACGGCGGAGATATGAGATGAGATGGAGTACTGTGCCTTAACAAGTAGGATGATGCGCTTGTTGAGCGAAGATGGGCCCGGGGTCACGTCCCCGTTCACGAAGAGCGGCGACAAGATTAAACATGCTCGTCGTTGCCGCGACACGAAAAGGAGGTTACTAAAAGGTAAGACCTACTAACTCTGCTAAGGTGGTGGTTAAGTTAAAGCCGATCGATCAACCGAGACCAACAGGCAGAGCCAAACAGTCGCAAACAACCGAAACTCTAATCGTATCTGAGATGCTCATCAGGCATTTGACTTTTGTATGACAAAGATTTAACTCAATTTACCTGATACACAATATAGAAAATATATATAACAAGTACTATACTTGTACGATTAATCCCCGGGCTTGGAAAGTGTAGTTGTCAAGGGAGGGTAATGCAAGCGAAAGTAGTTATGGACGAGATAAGACTCTGTGGGTATAGAGCACAGGCTGCACAGCGCACTGACACTAGACATCGCATGAATCGGCGTGATGGCACCTCGCCTGGGATGAGTTCTCATATGTGTGGAAGCTTGAGAATACCCTAACGTGCTTTCTTTCCCTCGTTCATATCGTTCATATTAGCCTTTTTATTTAAATAAAGCTCAGGACATACCAAACCAGACAACCATGGACGCGACAGACTCCTCCATCAAAGTCAAAGTATCCCCAACTCAAAGCGCATACTTTGCTGGTGAAACTTTCACCGTCGAAATCACATTCACCAATACACGTACACCCTCTCCAAACAACACATCACTACCTGCATCTGCACCAGTTCAGAAATCGCATAGACGAAATGCCCATTCTATAAGTTCTGCGCCTCTCGCCAGGCCTCCTACCTCTCCCGGCTTGAGCCCACGTCCACCAGATTTCATTAAAGCGCTTGGAAGTGGAATTGGTGAAGAGGGAAGAAAGGGATTGATTGGGAATGGAACAGTCGATATCAAAGGGAAAGGTAAAGAGGTGCTCGAAGCCAGGCGTAGTGCATTGGAGAAGGCCAAGCTCAGTGCTAGTGAAGAGTACGTACAAGCGTATGAAGTAGATCAAGGTAAGTCCTTCGTCATCGTCGTCGTCCGTGACTAGCTCAAAGTGATCGCAGTAACACCACGCACAACCTTCACTATCCCCCAAAACCACCCACATGCACGCAAACAATCAGTATTGGACGGTCACCTCCAGTCGAACGAAGTAGTACAACCCCAAACCAGCACACTCGACACAATAGCAGAAGCACCCACCCACGCATACCCCCCTCGTAGACCATCGCTTCAGGCACTCGGTCATGGTCATCCTCATTCATACACCAAACCTATCCCCAAAGACACAGCTCTCCTCCTCTACTCATATGCCCAACTTTCAGGAACAGCACACATCCTCCCACAAAGTACACCAGCAACCTTGTCCAATCTTCGCGCACATCTCCTCAAAAAACCTGTATTGGGAGGCGGAAGCATGGACATTGCCAGTACCCGCAGGTCCCATTCGCGTTCTACGAGTCTTACAGGTTCCCTATTAAGTCTATTAAGTCCTTCGAGTTATACTCCTTCGCTCGGGAGATCAAGAGCCCCTTCCCTCAGTTCACAAAGTGATACGTCTCCTGCAAATGTTGGTTTGGGATTGAGTGTTGGAACAGCGAATCCTGTGGAAGAAGGGGAAGAGGAGATGCCGCTCCCTGTATTCGAAGTACAACCTGCAATGCTAGCTGTCGATCTCGCCTTGAGTCCTGGAGAAAGTAGGACTTGTGAGTTGCCTTACCTCTTCTTTGTATAATCACGCTGACACACAATAGATACATACACCCTTCCTCTACCCTCCTCCCTCCCTCCTACATTCAAGGGCCGCATGATCCGCTTCTCATACGAACTTGTAGTCGGTACGTGCCGGAGAGGCGATAGCGGCGAAGCTCCTTCTACCGGCGTGACAGTGAGCAGGGTAATGAAAGTCCCTATCAGGGTGTATAATTGGGTTAGCGGTGAGTCTGTCGTTTTTCTTATTTCAACCTGACGCTAACCAATCAATGCAGTCAGCAAACCACAAAGCCCCTACGACCTCCTCCTCCCCGTGCGTAAACACGACGGCGGAAAAGTCATCGAGCTAGGCAGCGCATGTGGAGATGCAAAGAAAGACTCATCCTCTTCCTCGTCGAAACTTTGTGCGTCTTCTTATCTTCCATGCATCATATAATTAAATGGGAGATAGCACTGACTACATCACCTTGTGGTTCCCTTGACGACCTCCGCGCCTACGGAGAGAGGCTACTTGAGACTTTCCCTCCGGAGGGGTCGACGGGTGTGAGGATTAAGGAGCCTGCCGAGAGCGTGCCTGAAAGTGTACCTTCTTCCTCCTCTGGGCTTGCTTCTGGGAGTGGAAGTCAAGTAGCTTCGGATCCTCTCAGAGCATTCGCAAGAGAACGTGAAACAGAGATAGAGGGAGGAGAGGGAGAACTGACAGGATGTCGAGAAGCTGTCGAGATCTTAACCCGAAATCCCAAAAAAGGCACGTCCAGCGCGTAATTCGCTCAATGCAAACTATTAACGCCCTCCCAGTCTCATATGACGTGACAAAAGATGATGTCAAAGTCGCTGTTCTTACATTCACGAAGAGCGCGTATAGGCTTGGGGAGACTGTTTTGGGCATTGTGGAGATTAATGAGCGAGAGGGACGGGGGAAGGTGATTTCGGTGAGTAGTTTGTTCTAGGCTGGTTTTGATTGCGTCATTCTTTTCTCAATTTCGAGTGCTGTATTGGCTTATCATTCTCGGTTTTTTTGACAGCTAAGTGCAACGCTAGAAACGAACGAAAGCCTCCCAGCCTCTCTAGTAACCACAAACACGAGTACAAGTACTACACGCCGCGTTCACGCAGAACACCACGCCTCGTTCACAGGCAGTACCCTTCGCACCACATTCGCACTTGATATACCCAGCGATGCATCTCCCACATTCGGAATCGTGCTCTCATCTCCTCCCTTGCTTGGGAACGGCCATATCAATGGGTCCCTGTCTGGGAACGGAACCGTGGCTGGGACTGGACCTGGGAAGATAGGGGGGTTGACGTGGAAAGTACACCTGACGCTACTAGTAGGCGTTACAGCGCCGAACGCACGGGTGCGTGGGTTGACGAGGGATGGTGCACCTACTTCGTGGGGAAGTGCATGGCGTGCGCCCGTTGGGATCGCTCCGGAACAGCAAGAGGTGCCTGGGAGCGGTGCGAAAGAAGTCGGCAAACAAACACAGCAACAGAGCTGGACTTCGTACCTCATGAGTTCGTTCCTCGGGACTGGGGAGAAAGAGTATCATGATGGGGATGACATTAATGATGATGAAGAGGTTCCTGCTCAGAAGGAGGAAGGGGAGCAGGAGGAGGGTGATTGGAGAGATGTGCAGGTTGAGATCGTAGAGTGTGAAGTGCCAGTGGTGGTTTGGCCTGGTAACACAGCGTTCAGCGCTGTTGACGTTGTGTTCGAGGTGTGACCTAGCCTGAGACTAGGTATGATCGAGATCCGTGATCTAGATTCCGCGGAAGGATCCGTATTGCCCCACACATCGGCGGATATTTATCGAAAGGTTTTTTTTTGTTTGTATGTATGATATTATTTTAATTAAAAAATGGTGGTGAGCTCGTGACGGAACCCAAGCCTTTCCTTGTAACTTGAACTCGGTTTTTGTGTTTAGAGCATACTAGAGAGCTAGGTGAGTGAGTTTCAGTGTTTATCATAGAGATTTAGTTAAATGGAAGGACGTAGTGATAGAAACTAATAATTAGTCAAAGTCCCCGTCAGCCAGCTGTCGTACGAACTCGCCAGCTAGCTGCTCTCGCCACCGCCAGCTGTCATGCAACATCTGCCTGAAGACAACGACTTTAATCGCAGGCATCGCTTCCTTGACCCAGACCCAAATAATTCTGGCAGGGAACGAGCGACAAGTCAACCGCCAAGGGCAAACCTTACAAGTCTACGCAATCAAAACTCTCCTTCATCTCCTTCGTCTTCATCATCTCCTTGGTCACCACGTATCCCTCAACAACCAACCAGGACATTGACAACAGGTCTCCCAATGAGCGTACCAACCCGTAGCTCATCTTTCTCAAACCCTCAATCCAACTATAGTTCCGCACTCCGCGAATCCCACTTCGAGTCTACCTTCGAAGACGACGAATCTGAAGCACTCTCAGATACCTATGACCATCATGATGACGAACTCTACCTACCCACTTCATCCCGTGGCCGTTCCTATGCCCCCGATCTTACCCGCAGCCGCTCTCAAAGCCTCGCTACCACCACAACCCGTCCCACCTCAATTCAATCCCCATATCAGCATTCACACCTCTGGCCAGACTCGGCTAACAACTCAAACCCGCTCAATATTCCATCTGCTAGGTACGGTGAGATTAAGCCACCCGCGTCTAGTCGCTACGGGAGCCTCGGCGCCATGGGCAGGTCCCCGCTCGCCGATAACGGCTATCCGAACAGGAACACCATCGACGTCTCCAATATGAGCCCCTTCGTTCGTGATGTCGGCCAGATCCTCCTAGACGACGGTTCTGCATTCCGAGAACTCTGGGCAGGTATGAATCCCCCAAAAGACGAGAACGGCGGAGGTGGAAGTGGCACTACTAGTCGAAGACACAGCGTTAGTGTCGTTCAGCCCCGCAGGCCTACTATTGTCGGCTTTAATGCGCCTGAAAGCCCCGGTGACGAGACCCATGGTCATAGCCGTCCTGGTGTATTTAATGCACAGCCATTTGGAGGGAGAGGCGGTCTTATGCTTTCGGATGATGATTTAGCTGCTGATCTCGGTATGCTGAGCATGAAAGAGCCCGGTGCGCCGTCCAGCTCATCAACCGCGAGCCAGCCATCCTCCCTCCCCATCTACCCACGTAGCCCACCCTCTGCAGACCGCGTATCCCCCTATCACCTCAACATCCCATCCGGCACGAGCTTTACATCCCGCCAACAATTCGGGTCTCCAAGCGAGAGCGCACTTTCCACAGGTGCAAGTCCCCCTCGGGGTCATTTTGACCAGCAGATTTTGGAGGCGCAGTATGGTCAGCAGCAGCTTACGGCCCGGTTTATCCCAGGGCAGGGCATCCAGTACCTTCCTATGCAGAACAATGGCGCTGGGTTCGCACGCCAAGGCCCGCTCTCGCCCACTACTACCTCCCGCCCCATCCAGCCCCAACAAGGCCCGTACTACCATCAAATGCAACGGCGCCCCTCCGACGCCAGTCAAACCCAGCAAACCCCCTTAAGCGATTTAGGCAAGGGTCTCCCTTTAAGCAGCGTCCCAGCCTCCTGGCCGCTCTTCATCGTTGAATTCAAAGCGGGGCGTACGGACCTATTCTATCTCACTGATTTAAGCCAAGATATCAGGGTTGGGGATTTGGTGATCGTCGAAGCGGACAGAGGGAAGGATTTGGGCAAGGTTGTTAATGATAGTATCACGCTTAAAGAGGTGGAGGCATTCCAGAGGGAGGTTAGGGAGAGGGAGGCGGGAGAGGCGATGAGTCCTGGGGGTGCGGCAGCGACGGGGAAGAAGGATATTAATCCGAAGATGATTTATGGGAAGGCGCAGGCTAACGATACTCAGTACGTGTTTCTTTTGCCTAGCCTTCAGGGAGGATGCTGATGGGGCGACAGACATTTAGTGACGAAGATGCAAGATGAAGTTAAAGCGCTGCAATTGTGTCAGAGTAAAGTTCGGCAGAAGAAACTTCCTATGGAGGTTATCGATGCGGAGTATCAGTGGTGCGTGCCGTTTGGCGCACAGAGGGCACAAGAGGACTGACACACTGCAGGGACCGACGTAAACTCACGTTCTACTTTATCGCTGAAAAACGAATTGATTTTCGGGAGCTTGTCCGGGAGTTATTCCGGTGTGTCTTTGTTTCCCTGCTGCGTGCTGCACCTACGTCTATGTCTTGCCTGCTATGCATATGTTTACTCGCTCGCCTGCTAACGAATTATCTACAGGTTGTATAAAACAAGGATCTGGATGGCCTCTTTACAAGGCCCAGGAGGGTACGAGCAGTAATTGCTCCCCTCACATCTATACAAGTAACGACGGAAGAGGAACAGAAGAGCAGGATGGAATCCAATCCCAACCACACCACGCAAACGCAAACTATCACGATCACATGACACCAGCCAATCTCACGAAATGTATGTATCTATGTATGATCTAGATATGCAATATCCACATTCTTCATCGCACATCTAGAACCCTTTTTTGTTCTTTCATTTGTTTCATGCTCAAGTTCAAGTTCAAGCTATTTATGGAACCATGTTCGTTCATGTTCATGTTCATGTTCTGGTTTTTGGTTTTGTATCGTATGTTCTCGTGTACGTTAGTGTAGAGGTTTTTTCTGTCTTTTGGTGGGGTTTGTTTGGAAGGGGATGGAGATGAGAAATGGCCCTGACGCCTTGTATTAGTATCGTATATCAATCCAATATATATATTGTGGTGCTCTACGTGCATAGAGGCAGTAAATGAAAATGTATACAATGCGTCCGTATGTCGATACAGGGGTAGAATGTGGGGTCGGGACCGATATCACTATCAGGATCCAATAAGAGCGTTCATGATTGCAATCATGATCGCACAATCAATGCTGAGCCGTTAACTTGAGGTTGATCCGTTGCTAACTCAAGGGCGGACCCGCTGCTAACTTAAGAACGGACCCGCCAGCATCTAACTCGCAGGCAACTCATTCGCTTTTCGCTCAGCAGTGACTACAAATTGCAAATGTAACGCGTTAGCCAGACTTGGCGATATAGACATAAGATAATAACGCACCCCAAGCACGTCGATCCATAGGACATTGCTGTTTCGAAGCAGCCGTTCCTAACCATTTGAGCAAGCAGTGCATGTGGAATACGTGACTGCATTCGCCCCAGACTGTTGTGACAGAGGGTTAAGATTGGTGGGTGGTCGTTACTTTACGCGAGAAAAGGTGGAAGGGGGACGTGACGAGCGGAAGAAATGCGCGAGGCACGACAAGCGCACAAAGGAGCGAAACTCACTCACTTAAAGGACAATCATCTCCCGGCGTCTTACACGACGGACAGCACCCCTCATACGGGACGCGACAGATCCCACAGACGTCGCCTTCGTCGTCTTGATCGTGGTTTGTGTTTCCTGTGTTCCAGCGCCATTGAGCGACGGCGCTCCAGTGTTTGATGTGGACTTTCATGGACTGGTATGCGTTTGTGTGGAGTATGCAGGAGCGTCCGAGGAGGAGGGTTTGGGGTTATTTGGTATTGTGTACGCGTCGTGGGTATGTTAATAAGTCTATTAATATTAGTAATATGTACTCGACTCTCAACATGAATCCCGGGACCTGGTGCACTGATCTTGGAGCTGATCCTCACGCATGTTCTACATATTCCGAGCTTTAGATCCACGAGCATCTAGAGGACTTCATATGGAGGAGATCGGACAACTGGTCCTCGTCCTGTCTTCATGGATGTTGATTATGGTGTTCTCTGACCATGGTCAGCATTCCTGAAGGCACGGGACGCATAATTTATTTACACAGTATTGGTGGTCGAGGTTGTATCTCTTGCTCTAACATCCAACTTGTATTAACTAATCGTGTGCTAGCAAGCTTCATGATCAGTCTCAAGGATGGAACGTTCAGCCGTAGCCTCCTGAAGCAAGATACGGAAGTTGTGATTGCATCTGCCGATACTCCTGAAGGCATTGGCAATTACTGCGGGTCTCATGTCGATACTGGGCTCCACCTGCCTCGGAAATAGTGGATTACAACTTTGTCCTTGGCGCTGAAGATTTTTTGCGGTTCGTCCAGCCTTGGAATTTTGCTGTAGCACATTCATAAAATGTTACATAGCCCCACCCAGAAGTTCGGACGTCGTTGGAAGGCCTGTTGGGATCCTGAATACAATTCTTATTACTCAGCATCCGATATGTGCGTGAACAGTGATGCATGATGAGGCGTCCGTGCAAGATTGTTTTGTAGTTCAGCGCTAGTAACGCGTTAGCAACGCGGAACCTCAGTGTGCACTAGTCCCCCTTAACAGATTATAGACGAATGAAGACATTGTTTCTCCTGACTCTGAGTATGCACGTTCATTCATTGCTTTTGACACGTCTAAACTGTTATTGCCAGAAATGTCCTCGACTAGTGCTTGAATCGAGAGTCGGTTGTCAATACATTGAATCCATGCTTGGACCTCTAGTAGCTGGCATAGATTTCAGACTGCTGCTAGTACCACCAAAGGCGCTGAGTAAAGCAAGTGCTCAACATCTGTCTCAAAGTTACTCTCCATGGATGGTGAAGTCTTCACGTGATGACGTGGGCAGCTATGTACGCTTATCTTACTTTCAGCGATCCCGTAGCGAATACCGTACTGTAAGTACCCTGCATTTAGCGAAAACATACCATTGTACAGTGATGAGAAATGTCCACAGTGCCAGTGTAATAATTTCATGTGTCAACTATTGTCCACAACAATGCAGCCGATAGAGTCAACGGCGCTGTGAGCTCCACAGCTGAAGACTGCCCAGACTAAAGACTTGAAGACCTGTGGACTTGTGGATACGATTGGTTATATAAAAAAGATCGTGCAGATGATCGAGGGCTACCAACAGCTCTTCATCATGCATAACGCTCTCAGAGTCAACGATATCGTCTACGTTATACTGCAACACGTCAAGTCCTCTAAACCGAACTTGGTAAACATGGCGATGACCTGCTCCACGTTCTCAAATCTCGCGCTGGACATGCTATGGTCTCAACAGGACAATTTGACGCCCCTCATCCAGTGTCTCCCGCGAGACACTTGGACAGTCTGGTACGGTAGCGCTATTGTGAGCGATGTCTGCTACATGAGTCTTGACAGGACAATGCTCACTGTACTCCAATTTGCAGATTTTTTCCCGCGAACCGCTACCCACGGAGTGGGAGCGTGTCAGGATCAATGCGGCAAGGATACGCGAGTTTATCTTTACGGGGTACACTTGTCGTTCCCCGAAACCAAGTGGCCCGGTCCTATAGCAACTTTTTGAGCTGTTTCCGCCTGCTGTGTTGTTCCCTCAACTGTGCACATTGCATTTCAACACAGTATCTCGGCATTTACTCAACTTCGGTTCAGAACTCTCGTTGCTTCGCCAGTTCCTCTCACCAGAATTGGAAACCCTCACATTTAACGTACTGCCCGGCACTCCGATGCACGAGGTAGAGCAATTGTTTGATGCTCTTTTTACTGAAGCGCCTGGCCTCCGGCAACTATCACTACACAGTGCCCACAACCTTTCGGCCTGTCCTTCCAAAGTACCTAAGCTGCCGAAGAAGCTGAATGGACTGTCTATTGGCCTGCTCGGCATGGATCTGATGAAGCAGATCATTCCCAATATTCAGCATCTGCGCAGTCTCCAAACCCTTACGCTGGCTTTGGGCAAGTCAGTTGATGTGGTATTCCAACCATCAGGTGGTATGCCACTTGAATTGAGTACGCTCAAACATCTCTATCTCCCTGGCGCCCGCTTGGAAAATTGCATATCCTTCCTTCATAAAGTTACCATGCCACGATTGTCGGTCCTTGAAATCTCGTATTACACAACTGCTCAACCACCCGAAATCACCGCGGTCATCGAATCCTTATCTACGTCATGCAAAACATTTGCATTCCTGGAAGATATCACTGTGGTCGACTATTCAGAAAACCCCTCGGAGGAACTTGGGCCTGACGACCAACTCCATTCCTCTATTTTCCGGCCTTTGCTCCGGTTCAGGAGGCTGTCGAGTGTCAAATTTATTGACATTGGAAAATACTGCCTGGATGACGCGTTCATCGAGGACGTTGCAATTGCTTGGCCGGATCTTTGTACGTTGACATTCGCCTCAAAAGTACCTGGCGAATATCAGGTCACCTTGACCTCTGTGCTTTCATTAGCGACCAGGTGCAAGTCGCTTCATGACCTGCACTTAACGTTCGATGCCACACATTTTCCGACACTTCCCCGTGCGCCGGATGGAAATCTGGAACTTTGGACCACGCAGACGGCTGTCCGCAAGCTACACGTTGGACACTCGAAGGTGTCGGAAGCATCACGTTTCCACATCTTCCTAGCAGTGCTGTTTCCAAATCTAGCCGATCTCAAGTATTGTTTCCATTTCGATGGTCTTTCGGCGTGGATACAATTAGAAAAAGCATGGAGCGAACTGCTGATCGAGCGGGAATACTCTGCAGACGAGGCAGCTTCTTGGCCAAACTTTCTACTGCAGCTACGGCCTTAGTCGGAGGAGGAGGAGGACCAAGTGGAAGATGATCGATGAGGAATGGGAGAAGGAGGACAAGAATGACTTATTGTGAGGATAAATAGGAGGTCTCAGGCTGTACATGAAATAGTACGATATGTTAGCTATTATGTACCTTTGCTCTATATGCTTGTGTATGTGCGTGATGTGCGGCCAATCAAATTTGAGAGGCAGCAGAAGATGACAGTCATTTGCGATCACTGTCAGCAATGTATATATATATATCAATGAAAAGAGACTCGCCTTGCGCAGATATCTATAACGTAGAGTCATCGATGTCATCTCTCGTTGATCATGACGATGAACATTGAAAATAAAAATAAAAAAGAAGGAAAAGCTCTCTTTCTGTCGCGACTCGCCAGAGTGACGTTAAATGCAGATAAATCTTTCATGTCCGGAGGAGTCGCTCATGCCGTCCGATCGCCCCGTGGCGTGCTGGTGCTGGTCACAGTGGTCGTTGCAGTCACTGTCTCGACGACTGTAGTCGTAGACGTGGGAGTGATTGCAATCGAAGTTGTCACGACGTCGGTGACTACGATTGTATTGGCTTTTGCGATGGCAGCTTGTGAAGAGATCAACAGGTAGGTTGTGCCGACAGAGATAGACGTTGACGCGGGATTGTGGAAAGACTGGCTGATGGAGGGAGGGATAACCGCAGAAGTCAGTTGCGCAGTTGTGGCAGTACTGACGCCCCCAGGGTCTGCAGGTGCAGTCAAAACGGTCGGTATGGCCAACGCTGTCATAGAAAGCAGAATCACTAATGCCATCCTGCAGAGGGGGTATCACTCTTCTAGAGAAGCATGCACACGACGTGCGCCACGCAGATATGTGTAGACGAGATTTAATTTGAATCCGGCAGTGACCAGTCCAGCACGAGATCTGTGAGGCACAGAAAGATGATGGCTGCCTTCCCCAAGGAGGGGCATACTACGAAGATTGAATAGCAAAAGCGGGAAGGGGCTTGAGCTTGAAGAAGACTTGAATCGGTTTCGAGCTACGCTTATTATTCACATAGCACAAAGTCCAGTTTTGCTCGTCGAGCTAGTTGCTTAGTTTTCAAATGTATTAGGAGATGTAAGGATCGAACGACATCCTTGGAATATATGCTAGTGTGTGCTGTTGACATTATATTCTACGGTTTAATATCGGTTCTTCGTCCTTATCTTGAAATCCACAGGACTTACTCTGAGCAGCGCTATTAGCTGATTTGCCCTTCCAAAGCATACGCATATCAGCAGGTTTTCTCAACCTAAGAGATGGGAGCATCATGCGACGTGACCATTAACAGGACCACGCATTACCGTTGTTAAGTAAACTCAGAGATGGAGTATTCTGTGGGGCCAAAAGCACCCGATCCAACCCTCGCCGTTATAGAAGCGTGCCAGAAAGCAGAGCAGGAAGCAAGGATGGCCAATGCTGCCAAGGAGGCTGAACGCGAGTTGAAAGAATGCATTCAACCTGCAGGGACTCCCACACCTGGAGAAGTTAGCGCCGCCAAGCAGAAAGTTCAATATCGTGAGGGCCTTGTCCCCTTCGCAGTAGTCGAGGTGGCAGGAGGAGGGAAATCATCTCTCATCAATGCCTTCTGCGGTTTGCGTAATAACAATATCAGATCTGTAGACACTGGCGTCACCGAGACAACGCTAGCCATGGTTAGACTCCCCGACCCCAATGCGGAATATCCTCGTGTCTTGTACGATATCTTGGACTAGACTCGTAACCAGTAGATCTGGACTACGTCTTTGAGATGTTAAGTGCTTGACATAGTCAGACTGGTCGATCTCGGAGAAATTTGGCAGGCGAAGCGAGGAGTTTGAAATTTGACAGATGCTGGTGATGCTGGTTTAGGTAATCGTTGTATTTGTACAGCGTTGACTGCACAAGTCCTTAGTTCGCTCTTTAACCAAAGTATTGTATGTTTCTCAATCATATTGAAACTTAACATGGCGTATAGTCTGCTCGAGCGAGAGCAGCAGACAGGAGCAGACACATAACTTGTAAGTAACTAGTACTGTTCGGCGCTGCGTGCCGCAAGGTTTAATCCAAAGTCCGACGATTATCTAAGGTTACCATTTTAGTAGGGGTGCATGTATGAGGGGGTCGTGTGCGTTGTGCGAAGTGCGCAGTGCGCACCTAACTTTGAGCGTTCCTATTAAATGTTCTATAAAGCCATCGTGAAGGGGAAGAGGCCCCTTCAGGCGGCGTCTCATGCTATCACGTCTACGGCGAACAGCTCTTCTGCTCTTTTTTCACGCGTCTTTGTCAAGCGTAGAATCAGTCTATCAAGCACTGTGCGTTGTCTCAAGCGGGGCGCATTGAGACGATCGATTTCAACTAGAAGCGGTATTCCTCCAGAGACTACACCGCCGCCGCCACCGTTGCCAGGCTCGCATGGCGTTCCGCTCTACAGTAGGTCTTTTCGTGGATAAGAGAGTATGTGCACATCTGACCTCGCCGAATTTAGGACGTCTTATGCTCGCATGGACGAAAACTCCAACAAAATGGTACCCGCTTCCCTTGGCCGTCGGGGCCATTCTCCTTGTCGTCATCCAATACCGCAAGAAAGTAGCACGTTTAGAGAATGAGGTCCATGTCGATGATGAAGGTCGTGAAGTCATTAAGCTCAAAGGTCCATGGCATGTGCGTATCACTGATTATTTATCGTACTACGTTTGTTAAACTGGTCTCGTGCAGGTCCACGTAATAGGCGCCCTTCCTCTCCGAAACATGTCGCGCGTCTGGGGCTACATGAACTCACTCGAACTTCCTGTTTGGATACGGCCCTATGGCTTCCGGCTCTATGCATACGTTTTTGGCTGCAACCTTGAGGAAATCGACCCTGACGATCTAACGCAATACACCAGCCTGGGTCAATTTTTCTACCGAAAGCTCAAACCTGGTGCTAGGCCCATAGACAACGCTATCCTCGTAAGAATTTATCTCTGTTAAAGGACTTCTATCTTAACTATATTATAGGTCAGCCCCGCCGACGGCACCGTTTTACATCTCGGAACTATTGAGAATCTTCGAGTGGAGCAAGTCAAGGGGATCACCTACTCATTGGATGCTCTCCTCGGCGTGGATCGTTCAGATCCAGAAAGCCCAACTTCGACGGTAATCGAATTCCCAGACCGAGAAATGTCACACGTGACGGACCAAGAATTTGCTAACGTGAACGGTATCGAGTATAGCTTAGACCAACTCCTGGGTGCATCCACACCTTCCACTCCGGGTACCGTGACGCCTCCAATCACAAGAACTCAGTCCGCCTCCGAGGTAGAAACGTCTTCCGTGCCGAAGAAATTCGGCGAGCAGGTTGACGCGTCTGTGGAGCATCCAGGATCCCTCCAAGAAACTATCGCGCATGATGCCTCCGTCGCTCGCGAAATGGGCGTCAGACCGTCGCTCGAGCGGAAGAGAAGTACTTCGGGCACAAGCGTTAAAGAAGGCAATGCACTTTACTTCACCGTCATCTACCTCGCTCCGGGCGATTATCACCGATTCCACAGCCCCACCGCATGGGTAGTGGAGAAACGGCGCCATTTCGTTGGTAAGTCCTCATGTACATGCTTCGCGTGCTGCTGACGGCATGTGGCTTTAAGGCGAACTCTTCTCCGTTTCCCCATGGATGGCAAAGCGATTGCAAAACCTCTTCGTCCTGAATGAAAGAGTCGCCCTTCTCGGTCGATGGAAATTTGGGTTCTTTGGTATGATCCCCGTTGGCGCCACTAACGTAGGCAGCATCAAGATCAACTTTGATACTGTATGTACCATTTTATTGGTGTATAAGTGTACTTCATGCTGATGTCGTCTTTAAAGGCTCTTCGCACCAACGTCCGAGGCAGGCCCCCTCCTCCCGGGACTTATAACGAGGCCGTCTACTCAGCGGCGTCTCCTATCCTCAACGGTCAACCGTTGACCGCCGGTGAAGAGATGGGCGGATTCTGCTTGGGAAGCACCATCGTGTTGGTTTTCGAGGCCCCAAAGACGTTCGAGTTCACCCTCAAAGCTGGGCAGAAAGTCAAGGTTGGAAACCGCCTCGGTGGCACGCCCAATGATTCTGCGGCGGTTTGCAAAGTGAAGACCGACTAGATGTGCTCGAATTCCGGTCGCTTGCCGCAGACGATCTACATTGACGCATCTCATGACAAATTAATGATGAACGTTCATGATACCCTCGCATAAACCATTCGCCCACCGAAACGATAGTTGCAACGATGTGTGTCATTATGCGGGAACGCAGGACAAGTCCATACTATATCAATCAATACAACAAGATAAATCTACATTTAAAGCACAGAATATACAATGGCTACCAAGATCCTATACTAGGACTGAGTTTGCTCGTCAACAAAACCGAAATGATCAGCTTGTAAGTCAACATACCCGAATGTCTCTGAGCCGTGTAGCTGGCGAACTGGAGTGCCCATACCATCAGCAGTTTCATAATATACCTTGATGGTAAACGCATTAGTCGTTTGAGCTGGTAGTTCAATGGAGAGCCTACCGTGTTGCCCCACCAGTGTTGCAAGCTCTCCCCAATCTAGTAGAATTGTATGAACGCTTGTCAGTAAGTGTGGCAACCTTTTACTTACCGACCCATTTGCCGGATATTGCAATCTGTGCACCTCGATGAATGACAGCTAAAAGTGTGATTAAGCGGACTCACACGAAAAATATGAAGATTACAGAAAGAGCTAGCCCAGCATCCAGGGCTGCCGACAAGACATCTGCGTAGCTCTCGTGAAATACGGCGCGAATACTGCCGTTAATCCACTTACAATTGTATTTCGTCCACCATGCAAAATTGCGCCTGCAGACTACATCAGGATATGCTACAGAGGTTTCCAAACGAGAAACATACCTTCGTATTACATACTGGAAGATGAAACCTACAAGCCTGTGGTACATCAGTAAGTCAATGCACCACATGCCAAATGCTGTGTACGTACGCCCCCGGTACATAATTGAGCGCAGAAGCGGGGGGAATCTTGTAGGTACCGTTAAATATAAGCGGGCTATGGTGTATGATGCAACGCTGTCCGGAGGAATGAGATGATACTGTGGACTTACAAACTAGTGAGAGTGTTAATTAGTTATGAAATTGCGATCAAGATAATGACCCACTTCACGTATCGTATGAAACCATTTGGATACCGCTTCATCGCCAGCCAACCCACGACAGGGCTCACTGCACCGATAATGAAGAACACCAACACGGCTAGAAGTGTGTTTGTAACGTTGCTACTGTTAAGCTATTAACGGGAACATACAGCTGCAAGAGGACATTGAGTCCTAATAAGATTAAAGCTAAAGTGACGACTTACTGATATAATTGCCCAGAACTAAACAAACGTTCTGGGCCGATCACACCTGTTCGTCAGAGTGAATTCATCTTTCTCTCGGGGTATTAAACTATTAAACGCACCCCATATGATGGATGCAGTGCCAAATACCTCCACGTTAGGACAGGTGAAACTACACGATGTTGAGCATAGATGCCATACTAAACATTCGGACATACCCGTCTTTTTGAGTGGCACTACATATGTCTCTACAAGACACTCAGCCCCACCAAACGATCAACAACATTAACACTTACGGTATGTTAGAGAACATCCACGATTGAACACCCAGTTGCGCGGTTCCAGCGACTACCGCAGCCACAATCTGACACCAGAACATTTTTCGAGGAGGAATCTTCATGTAATGACCAAGTTTGAAGTCGGACGTAAATGTCAAGGCTTGAGACATAGACTACGAGAGTCAATACACCAAAAGGCTGGAGGATATGCGACACACAATATAGCCGAAGGTCTTAAACAGCATCATTGCTACTGGTTTTCCAGGTAGCGAATATCTGGATAGTAAGCTGTCAGATAAATCGAGGCCATGAACCTAGCGTGAACTTGCCCAATGATCAGCTCTGTGATCACGCTAGGGTATGTTTGAGTTATGACAAGATTCCATCCATGATCATGTGACGCACTTCAACCCAATTTGTTGATTGGTGATTGCCTGTATCATACCGCATGGAATCACATAGGTCAATGCTAAAGGGCATGTGGACGTTCAAATAACACTTTCACGCAGATATTTCGACGACTCACCGATCAAGAGCGCTACGACAAAAGCCCAAACCGGCATCTCTGTAGGCCAAATCTCGATGCTGACGACACCCAATGCAAACATGAGAGTGAACAGGGATAAGTACCACCTGGGTGGGGAATTGCTTTGAGTTATAACCCCTGTGGGAAAATATTTTGTCATACCAATCAGGAACTTGTGGGTATCGACTCATAAGACGAGCATGAATGTCTGCCTGTTCCCTGAGTGACCGTCGCGCTTGATACCAAATTTGCTTCCGAAAATGGATAAAGCAATGAACGATAGTTGCTAAGACATTTCTGTCAATCTGTGTCATAGCTGGAGCGCATACTTCCTTACCAGTGATGGAGGCAAACGAGAGACTGATGAAAAGGGGGTTTCTCAACAGAAGACAAAATCGATCGCCAATTAGTGAACTTACCCATAAGACATCACGAATGCTGTTCTGTTATCAAGTGGATATATCACCGGAGCTGAGAGTGTGATCACTTACGGAATAAATATTGGACTGTACTCCTTGTACGCTGTCGCGTTGAAAGTGCCTTCTGAAGTTAATATCCGGGTAACGTTGTATGTGTTCTGTGTGTTGTCGAAGGAGGTCCTTGACGAAATACTAACAAAGATTGAGCTGACGTCATACAAGGAGAGACAGTGATCAGACGAACGGCATGTAAAGAGAATACCAGGTATTTTGAAACTACCAAGGTGTCAAATCCTCAGTCGTGAAATCTTTATGGATCACTGACGTATAATATAGGTGTTACTATCCCTAGAATAATGGTTCAATACTCAGTCGAAATAAATACCTTGGACTCACAATAGAAAATTACAAAGCCAACGATAACGTTCGCCGTTGCCCACCCTGACGTTGACCAGAGTTAGACTGAGCATTGAAGAGATAGTAGGAGGCTCACAAGGCATGGCTAGTGGTGATCCATTGTATCTGGACAACCAAGCTTAGAAGGACGATAAAGTAGGAACAACCAAGTGCATACGCAATTTGGGCCCAGTCAAATGTTATCACGGACATTCCCTGATTCAAATTCTCAAATCATGACAGGGACCAAGTAAACATTAACATACCATACCGTGGACGTAGCTAGTTTTGTCAGCGCATGGTGATACTTCTTTAGAGAACAAAAAGACGTACCCAAAGAGCTGTGAAACGACTAGGGGTTCTGCGTGAGGGGTGGACCATAGATTGGTATCTGGAGACTCACCAGGATTGTGAGGCCAAATCCATGCAACCCAAGAGAACCACGAAAGGGCCAGGACTGCCAAAAAATTTTGACAAAACAAAGTCGCTATAGGAAATATGCCTTACATAGGTAACCAGGGATAAAGTCTGGTGCATCAAAAAGTTAGATTAGACAAGAATGAGGACTGGGTGAAATTCATACACCACAAGAATGCGCTTGTGAAAACATAGACGAAGAAGCGTCCTCGGCTTAAGCCGCCTAATCGCCCAATGCCCGCATACTGCTCGGAGTGAAGAGTATTGAAGAGTGCGCAGCTGACGAGAGTCATAGGCCAGATCATGCTTGGAGGCGACACAAGAAACCGTCGTGTGATTCCCCCGGTGGAGAAGCCAATGAGTTGTGATGACATTACCAAAAACCACTGATCTGGTGAGGAACAGTCCATGAGCATACGTTTAATCTTGATAAGGTGGTGTGGAAGACGAACAACCGAAATCGAATTTCTGGTTATAGAAAAATCTTTGCACAGCGATAATATCTGTCTGATTTTGGTGTTTTGAATGTATGCTTTGTGACACTTCGGGAAGGACTTACTGCGTAAGCAGATGTTGCGCCTACCGAAGCCATGATCTACCGTGGGTAGGTGATGATAAAACGAGGCTAACAGGGTTGTAAAGAGAGGACTCACTGTTATCAGCACATGCTCCTTGATAGTGAAGGGACCAGGATTTAGTGAAATCCCCAAGATTTTTTTCCGAGGAATATAAGCAGCACAAAAGCGGCCTATTGGAAACGAGAGTAGCTGAGCGACTATGCCAGTGATGGGCACGCTGGGATAGCGGAGGGAGAAAAACTGATTGACACCAGGCATAATAATTGCCCAGGCCAAGCCTAAAACCCATGTACGAAGCGTTGTCACATGTATGGACGGATCATCTGTGTTTGCGACAGCGGACCGAACTTCTGGATAGGGTGACTCGTCGTCAAATTCTGGGCCATGTGAAGGGTCGAGGTTCGGGTCGTAAAAATCCGCACTATCATCGATGGAATCCCGGGTCTGTGCAGTAGGATGTTTCATTTCAAGATTCAAGGATGACCGCATAATGCGCGGAAGGCAGACGTACAGTAAATGCAGAAGCTGAGAGCTCCGTTCGAATTCATAAACATGATATTTATAAGGGATTGTTACACAGCGAACTTACTCGAGCTGAGCGTTGCACATCATGATGGTCGTCAACCTGTTTGTCAGTGACCTCACTCCCAAGCCTGAGGTCGGCAGAGTTCTTGAGCGGCTTCAAGTTTGAGTCGAGCAGTTGTAAAGGGAATGCCGCAGATTCAGAGACGAACTCCGTGGGCCTCGTCATAGATATGTAGGAGTTGGACTATTGGAGAAGAGATACGGGCTTGAGGATTTTCGCACCGGCGGTGTGACTATGGGGATTTCACCGATAGCACTGGTGCCAGCTGGAACCCTTGATTGGTGGTTGTAATTCGGCTCCGGATTGCAGAGAGATTGAATCTTCCCACATGGTTAAAACAACAAGTTGAGGGTGGCCGCGAGCCATATTACTTATCATATATCTGTAGTACAATACTTATTACTTACCAATTCTATTGACTGTTACTCGCAAGCAATATGAGTTATAGCTTGCCCCGAGATTCAGTGAAAACCTGCCCAAACTGAGGTGAGTTGTCCGGCCGGGCCGTTCCCCCCTGGCTCAGCGACTTCATACACTATCGACTTAGTACATGGCTTAGAATTGGCTCAGACAGGTTCGGATAACCACCAATACAGGAATTCGCACCGTTGGCTGATGACTCCCACAAGGTAAATGCTTTGTGTGGTACACATTATAATATATACGAATAATGTGCAGTGGCCATATTATCGAAAAACTACACCGGATCCCACATAAGATCGTTCAGGGGTACTTGCAAGTCCTTGGCAAGTGCCCCGGCCACCCCAAATGAAATCCCACATTTATACATAGGCGGTCCCTCTAGTTTCTCGACAGCAGTCGTGCGATGTAGAGCACGCATAGACGTAAGCTCAGTAATCTTGGGAATGTAGGGTCAGACGAGATTGTCACGGGATCAGGCGTGGCACTTACGGCAGCGTAAATATGCACTCGCCCCAATTCCATGTCGGTGTGCTCCCCTGGAAGTTCAAAGCAAGGTTCGTGAGGCCGGTTCTCGACATCATTCTCCTCTAGGAGAGCACCAAGAATTGCGAGAAGTCTATCCAGTGGAAATACTACAGGGCCAAGTAGTCTTTGTGTAATCTTTGATTCGCTTTTGAATTACATACAGTGTGAAATAAACGTGGAAATACCTTTGCAACAGTTGTCTGCGCTCCAACCTTTTTTGGCGGGGCAGATTTCCGACGTCGCCTTTTCTGTTTATCTGCTCCACGACCAAACATTCGCACGTCACTCTTGGCAGGATTCGTCGAAGCCAGGAACGCTGCGAGTAAGATGAACTTGGACATCCGCGGTAGGTGGTCGACAATGATGCTCCCTTCCATGTTTATTTGACATTGTGCCTCCTCTGACGCTTGCATGTCAGGGTCGTTGGCTAACGCCCAGTCCGCAGCATTGGTCAAGCGTGGATACAGTACATCGAGTGCCGCCGTCAGAGAAGGGGTGAAGAACTTGAGCAGTCTCATGCGGCCGTCGGAAGCCGGGAGTGTCAGCTCATTACGTGTTCCGTCTGGATCTGGGTCCCCGTCCCCATTAACTTCGCTTTGCTCCCGTAGCACAGGCTTAACAAACCCAGGCCATCGTGCAGCGGCAATATACTGCAGTTCTTGGATATCGGTTGTGTAGAGAGAGCAAACATTGTAGACGTGTTCCACATATTGTTCATACAATGGCAGCAGTGATGGATGGTATGTCCTATCTTGTGTGCCTGCACTTGGCTGTGTTGTAGACGTAGAACGGAATTCAAAAAGAAGGCTGTCAATTGTATCTGAAAAGATGCCAATGACCCTGAGATCATACTTATCGGATACACATGATTGGATACTTTACCTTGTTTGCTTGGAGGGCCAATATCGATGAAGTAGGGATCTGGGGATGCGCCGAGAGGTGGCTTGATATCCTCCCATCGCACAGAGGATAGAAAGATGGTCGTTATCTTCACCTGTGACTGCAAGCACATATTGTCAGTCAATGTTTGCCCTTTGGATGTAAGACGCACGGTTTGGTAAAAATGAGATCAGACCACTCACCAATTCTGCGAGACGTGTGAGAGGAACGATAAGGTCCGGGAGGTTGTCCTTCAGCCTTTCAGCCCTCTCGATGAGGAGCACCATGTTCGGTTCCTCATCTACAGTTCTACCATTTCCTTTAGCCTTTCCTTCCCAGGATTTATTGCGTAGATTCCGGAGTCCATGTAAAAAGCTATCAATACTGTCGTTGTATCTTTTCCCATCCTCACCAGGCCAATTTTGACACCCATTCTCCCAGGCCACTTCCCATCTTGCGAGTGTGTTGAGTACGGTATCATACAACAACCGTGCTGTAAAGCAAGCAGTCGCATTTATGTGCGCAAAATGTGTAGGAGAACAGTCTCCGCTGTTGCGGAAAATCTGATTGAGCAGTGAGGCTGTGATGCGTGGATTGCGGCGGTCGGTAATGTACAAGAATGGGAGGACGAAGGTTGATGTGACACTCGTGATATGTGAGGTGAACTTTTCATAACCAGGAAATTGGTCAGAGAGCTGAGACAGTGAGTCGGTTTCATCCAAGTCCATTGCTATGCAACAAACACTCTGGGAGATGTGTCGCAAGCAGCGTTGATAGCAGATGCAATACTACTTCGGTAAATGATGGTCGTTTGGTCTTGTTGAATTCAAAGGCTGCTACATTGACCGGTAACCTACCGGTTATCCACCCGAACCAGGCTGCCTTAGCCTATCTAACAAGTTTCACATGAATACACTAATTTCGGAGATGAAATGCGCGTATCATGAAGGGATAAGGATGGCCAAAAGGACGGCAAGTCGGGATGCCAACCATATATAAGTAGTACACCATATCTACTATAACAGGCTATATACTGCTCATGAGTCATGCGCGAATGTCTCAATCTACCCGGTGTACCATGTGAGCTCTATGTATACTAGGGCGGAGCGTGCACAGAGCTGAGGGGGACTATATCTGTGATAGTTGGAGGTTGGTCCGAGCTGTATGATCACGATGTTGTGGAGTATAGAGCAAACTGGTCATCTTCTCATTTCTGCAATGAATACCGGTATCTGTCCCATGCTATCCCTGCTTCAAAGACGTTCGATAGCCAATTGCATAAATCAAAGATCAACAATTGTCACGCCGCCGCAGACACAGTGACTTCTATCGCCTGCTCTGGATCAGCATACAACTGAACAACGGTCTGCTCTGGCTTTCCTATTCGTTCATTGTCGGTCCCCTCTGTGCAGTCGGATATAGTCCCTGAGAATGCTATGGCTGTAGTTATTGCGGGAGCTCGTGTCGACCACTTGTCTGTGGCTGCCCGACCCTGTGCAACACGAATGATAATGAACAATTGAGCAATGCCCTGGAATAGCTAGCATCAGAGACGCAGTTAACCAGAATTTGTTTGCTTACCTGTATTTTGCCGATGGACAGGAAACATAGAGTGGTGAGACCGTTAGAATACATAGCGAAGGCAACTATAAAAACGATAGCGAAGACAGTGTATAGCGCTGCGGACTCGACAACCATGAGGGCGATGGTATCGTATGTGCTTGAATCATACTGGGCTATGACCTGCCTCATACGCCTTCGCATGACGAACAAGCGATTTATCACGAGAAGGGTATAGATCACGGTGAGCCCTACTTCGATACAGAGGTAGGCAAGCTCCATGACAATGTTGTAAAATGTGACACCACTGCCCGCCTCGACCAGGACGACAATGGAGAATGCTGCGCAAGATGTCAGTGATGGGTGTCGCTTGGTGAATGATAGATTGTACCGATCATAGTAACATAGAGTAAGATCATTGGGACTACCACCCATCTTGACCAATTCCATATCACAAAACATCGATGGAGCTAAAATTTTTAAGCATGAGGCTTGTAGCGGACGATCTGGGGAACTAATTGGCTCACGAGCAGAGCTTGCATGAACCACTCCTGGAGGTGACCACTAGACGGGGCGTCGATATTAGAGACCCGGAGGTGGATGGACAAGGACACTCACGTGGCAAGCGCTATAAAGTTGATACGATAACTCATGTAGTCCTCGATTAGTGCGAGCGGACCACCAGGCGCATCACGAAGATCAATCCAGATCATCTCCGTATACTTTGCGTTCATACCAAAGCTTATCGTTCCCAATACGAACGTGATAAAGACGTAGAAAAGAAGTACGTGGCGATGATCTGCTATTTTCCCCCCGTGTCGAGGCCGTTGCATGAGAGCAATCCAGGCTTGCACTGTAAGGATAAAAAATATGCCTATTGCGATACATAAGTCAACTTCCGGGGCGTCGCGTGTCAACCGAGAACATACCGTAGCACACACACAAGAACATCATTCCATCAAGGCGAAATCTTTCCATGGAGAGATTTGTCTGCGGGGTGTAGGATGACATGGCCGCAAGATATTTCACCAAAGGATGGTGGTTAGGATGAAATAGATGACCGAGCGTCCAGGCTGTGCCCTATCCACCGGAAAATGTTGGAGACAACGAGTGGACGGCTGCAAGGGACGGGCAGGGAAGATGCAAAGGTTATATGGGGAACCTAAAATAAAATTTCCGCTAGGGAGACATAAAAATTGGCAGCCACGCGCACGAAGTTTAAAGTTGAGGATGTCACTCACACAGTGATAAAAATTGACATCGGGACCCCACGGTGGGACTAAGATGGCATAGTCGAAGGTGAAGCGCTGCTCGATTCTATATGTTGTCGTTAATTTCAAGGCTGGGCAATTATAAACGTCAAATTCAACCCTGCAGGATGGACGGCGAAGTGACAGCAGGGGACGTCCAAAGAACCGAAGAAGTTCTCGGCGTCGTAATATGATATTGTCACATGTGATGTGCCCAGCCTGAGACGAGTCTGTGCGAGGTCGTCGATTGCGATGAGACTGAGAACTGGTGCAGAATGCATGCCAAAAGAAATGCTACACTTTTCTGTTTATTTTGGCAAGCTCGGAGAGCTGAGACAGTACTGAGGTGTATGACGGCGGTCAGGAACAGGACACGCTACTTACGTAATTGCTACTTTCTGCACACGCCCTCACGTGACTGTCTGCTAATACCGGTTGGCTTTGTGCGTTACCCCATCACCATGGTTACCAACCTTTTCGTGTCTCGAGTGGGTATTGCGAGATATATATACCTCGTTCTGGGTGTTGTTCTAGTTTTATGGTCGTGGATCCTTGCGCTCCGAGTCGTGTCTCCGCAACTGAGCTCGTTACCATCCTTCGTCCATTCTCGTGTGCATTGGAAAGAAGGAGATTACAGCGAGGTTTCATGTTCTACCAAGAACTTCACGACGTTATTATCCCCCTCATCGACGCAGCTGGGTATCGCTTCTGAGGTATATCTCATATCTCTGCCCTGGCGACAAGACCGACGAAAACAGATGGGACATTTGCAAGCATCCAAAGAAATCAGTTGGACGGTTGTTGATGCACTTGACCCTTCAGATATCACCATTAGTCATATTTTCGAGCAGATCGTCTCTCAGCGTTCGCTGCAGCCCTCCAAAGGACCCTTGGACGACTTGGAATCGATCTTTCGTTGGCCCGCTGATATCAACGCCATTGCTTCTTCCACAGAGTACTTTGGAGCTTCTGGTTCCGACCTCTGGACCTCTGCGGACACTCAAAATAGCAGACATACCACCTTGTCCTCTCTTAGTGTTTCGCACCATCCAAATGTCACATGTGCGACTGAAGATAACTCTGTACCGCCTTTCAACCCTAGCCTTCCGGACTGGATGATCCTCACTGCGCCAAAGATCTCATGCTGGTATTCCCATGTCTCTGCTATTCGCCAGTTCATCGGTAGAGTGAATACCACTCCTGAGGATGTCGCGGTTTTCTTGGAAGACGATATCGACATGGAAAGGGACATCGAGATAAGAATGCGTCATATCTGGCCCTCTCTTCCACATGGCTGGGACATGGTTTTTCTGGGTAAGCGCCAGTGCTACGTTGTTCGCAATGGATGCTGTATTGTGTTCCTCAGGTCACTGCTGGTCAAATGAATCCTTCTACTCCGCACTTCCATCGTCTCAGTTATATGACCTGCCAACACGATCACACATACACCCATCTTACTCTCCACGTTGTACTCATGCTTACGCACTTTCCCTGTCCGGTGCTCGGCGTCTTCTGCAGCATCTTCGCCACCCACCGTTCGCGTATTCTCGAGCTCTTGATCAAGCTTTCAGTTGGCTTATCGAAAGTGGCCGATTACGTGCTTTCAGCGTCGTTCCGAGCGTCGTCATTCAGCGTAAGGTTCTGTCGAGCGACATATTTCCCGGATCTGGTGTAGGGAGTGCGTGGAGAGAGCATTTAGTGAACGGCGTGTTCGGAGCATAGAACCAACGCCAATTTGTCGTCCTTTTTTGTTGATCTGTCCTCTGTATCGCAAGTCGTTTGTATCGATCTGATTTCTGTCTCACTCCAGTCATGTTTGTACCTTTAAACTACTGGAGCTAATTCCACTCCGCACTTCAAAATGAGGGAAACTCGAATCACTGGTGTACAGTCAACGCCCCACAACATGTATTCAAAATCTTGAGTGGTACGCAAGTCACAATTCTTCCCACTGCCTCCACAACGATGCCTGCAGTTCACATTTACGCCAGACTAATTGAGCATTGCATGTCTCATGCAGAATTTCTCCTGAAGGCGCATGAGAGTTTCGCCAGGCTTTTTCCGCCGGTCTGTGTTGCGCCTATACCCTAGATATGATTGGTCGGTGAATCCTATTTATGCTTTCGCGGGACAAGAAACTCGAGCCCCCGTCGACAGACCTTAGCAACAACAGCCATATGCTACCAGTCGAAATCGCTAAATCGAGCATGCCGCACACTGGTGTATCTCATGTGTGATGATCCTTCTTACGTTTGTTACAGTTGCAACCTCATATGACTTGGAATTAGGAACGGAGAGGTTAAGAGCGGAGTTTTCCCTGTATTATTTGTGGCCAACAAGAACAAGAATACCGTATCGCTGCTGGCAGGATTCATAATTCGTGAGTTATCGCGATCCATGCCTTACTTCGGTCGCTGCTCGTTTGTCTAGCGCTATCGCCGCGCATATCGACTGCTGTTCCGTATCTGCTCCCCGTAATACCAAAATATACAGGGTCTGTATCACCATCATGAAGGGTGACAATGGAAGGAAGAAGAACGAATACGTACGCAGGACAGCCTATGACGATTGCTACGACCCCCAGAATAGTATCGCCCTTCCCAAACCCGAGCGCGGTGTACATCACTGGGGCAAACAGGGGAAATACAAAGGCTGCTAGTGATCGCAAACAGGAGACAGCGGCCAGCGCTGAATGCGAAAATTTTGAGATGAGAAATGGGAAAGAGATAATACGTACCGGAAGCAGCATGAAGCGTAAAACAATCAACAATGTATGCCTGGATACACTGGAAACTCAAAATGATACTTGCTCCTACTTACAAGCGCAATACCCTGTGGAAATCGTTATCGAAAAGCAATACCGGGAAGATCAAACTAACAATATCTGGGGCAATCCAATTAGTATGGGCTTCAGAAGTTCCAGCCTACGATCGAACACCATATTGGAAGCTTACCTTCCTTTCTAATAAGAGGGGTGCATAGGCTGAACACGATTCACGAGGATCGGCAGATCACGACCAGTCAATTACACACTCTCTTGAAATGAAAACACTCTGATGATTGAAATAGCTGCAACATAGACCAAAACTCAGAGAAATGAGAACTGTCCTCAGTTGGCAAAAGCATCGCGTACCACCCATCTCCAGGTCGAGCATTCAGCGATCCTGGTCACAATTCAGATAGTGACATTAAACTTGAGATGACTACTAACCAGGCGCCTATGATAAGTCCCAGGACGGGACCCAATAACGGTGCTAAGGTGTAAATGTAGCAGCTTTCCCTCGTTCATTTAACCGCCAGAAACCGCCAGCAGCCCCAAAGAAAGCCGCCGCCAATCTGAAGAGGGAAGTTATTCAGAAACAATATTTTCTAGTTAAAAAATACAACCTTACCAACATGGGCGCGCTGCTTCCGAGGCTAGTAAAAATCGGAAGGCGAGAAGCTGGGATTCTGACTGTGCGAATCCACAGGCAAGATTCCATACTAACATTTTAAGAATGGGGGTGAGATGATAGGTTGACTTGTAAAGGTCACATACCGATGTACCATAGATTTGCCAATTGCAAAACGCGTGACCGTCCGTAAATGGATCCAGAAACAAAGATCCCGTCCCTGGTTAGGCTCGTGACCAGCCTGGCGTATACTACCACCGATACTCGAGTGGTGTAGCCAGGCTGGTCGATCTCGGAGTGGCGTGGCAGGGCGAAGCGAAGAGTTTGAAATTTGATAGGTGCCGGTCGTGCTGGAGGTAGTTCCGATCATATAGCACAAGTTATGCGTCTGCTCTCGCTCAAACTGTACGCTGTATTAAGTTTCAACCATGTTTCCTTCCTCGTCGAGGCTGGAAGGATTGATCATTCAAGCCAAAGGTTCAGGCTGCTGATACATCATCACGGATGGGTATAATGCATGAAATGGAATCATTTTGATTGTCCTAATCAATGATTAGTGCTCCGGCGCGATGTACTGTTGTATTTGAGATAGGGCTCCGTGAAAAACTACCGAGTTTTTGACGTTGGAGTTTTTGACAGGTTTTTAACGTGTTTTTAACGAGTCGATAACTCGGGGCTGATATTGGGGTGTCAAAAACTAAAATATATATGTATATGATCTCGGGAACATAGCCTATCGAATTCTCCATCCGAACATCCGAAATCACCGAAAAATTGTTAAGATATGACCGACGATCTGTCAACTACCGCCCAATTGAGCGTTCGGCTCAATGATTGCAACAAAAATTTACCTTGATGAGCTTCTTCGAGGACATTGGGCGCAACAACGCACAGTTGAGCCACCTCCGAACGGCACTCACACAACTTCCACATAGTATCCCCCTCGGAAACTCCAAATATAATTTTGAGCACTATGCTCCAGATCCGGAGAGGGTCGAACTCTATGGCAGTACCGACGGTCCGAAGCCGCACTGAATAATGTGCTCGAGGTCACATTTGCACCCAGAGGCCAGAAGGATGAGTCGGCACCGTGTCCGTTCGAGTTTCAAGAGCGTGGGCCAGGTCTTGTTGCAGTCGTTGATGTCCTAACGGCTGCGGACTCTAATTCAGACTCGGAGGACAATTGGTTGGAGGAGAGCGAGGACCCAGAGATTGAGCGTGATCCAATGTACAGGTCTTGTGATACAAGAGTACTTGTGGGTACTAGGTAGCGAGGATGCTCATCTTGATGCTCCTCGATTGTTGGACTTACTATCAGAGAAGCCGGTGGAAGGGGCAAGCAGGACACCTCAAATACAGGATAGCACAGTTCCAACGCCTCCGGGAGGGCCTGTACAGTGGGCATTTGCATTACCGTCGTGAAAAAATGTCAAAATGACCTGAAAAAACGCATTTTTTGAGTCTGTCAAAAACTGGTCAAAAACTAGTTTTTAACTCGTGTCAAAAACCCCTCGAGGGTGGGGGTGAGTTAAAAACTCGTCGTTAACTCCGTGGGTAGTTTTTCACGGAGCCCTAATTTGAGAGGATACTGTACTTTTTACGGTACGAACGAAAGAGTTTGCGTTGTAATGTTACCCAAAGCGGCATACCGGCATCTGCTAAATTTCAAACTCCTCGCTTCGCCTACTCCGAGATCGACCAATGAAACGGCGATGGATCATATTCTTTGTATGTCGATTTTGTACTCTCAGGACCTCGTGCACTATGTCAATACATTCTCACCATCTCAAATTGACGCATATACAGACCGGTTACGAGTTTAGTCCCTGGTAAGTAGTTTGGTAGATCAGTGTGATATCCAGCATCCACCAAATTGGCCTACCATAATAACCATATGGAAGCACATACGTGGGTGTTGTGAGTGCTAATATAGCTCCGTCATTAATTTTGAAGGCAGACGTTACTTTGCTAGTAGCAGGCGCGATCATAGAGGAAGAAACTGAGCCAATGAAAGTAAACAATGATACAATTATTGTTGCGGCCCATTTACCAGTCTTACGCGCTAAACCCCACCCTGCGCGTCAGCACTTTAACTGTCTGTGTAACTTAGGTATGTTTTCAATACTTGATTTTCTAACAGTGTTTCCTTTCATTCTAACAGAAGTTTTAGGTGAGTGATTTAAATTGTCTTATATATACTAATATTTTGTAGATCTATCCTTCCCACTTATGCGCACTGCGCAGTGTCCCTCCCATACCTCGACCTCGACATCTCATTCGAGGCACTCTGAACCACTCCTCATTCACAATACGACCCCCCATCTCGGCCCACCTCCCGCAGCCACTCCTTCTCCCATTAATATTCTAGCGCCTTTGGGTGCCGTTCGCACATGTTCAGGCCACGTCAGCATTCGCTGACGTGTGTTGGGCATGTGCGCTAAGCACTGATGGCTGTTGGGTTTGGGTGGAGGTAGTACATGCTTGCATACCCATGGGTATAACATTCATGGGTATGTACCCTTGGCGGATACGGGTACGGGTTGACCTCAGGACACCCGCAGGTTTACCCGTGCGGATCCCTATCTACAGCACTGGTATCTCCCTTCAATGCTCGCTCAAATGCTTACAGTTATTGACGCCGCACGCGAAACTTTGACATTGATGGATCAAGTCCATCAATCGATCAATGTCACGCTTCATTTCTCCTCAAGCAAACCCCTACACATGGCCTCATTACAAACTTTAAAGCCGCCATAACTCAACAACCCTTCATCCGTGGTGCGTCGTTGACTCGTGCATCCTACTTCTCCAAGTTCGATATGCGTTGGCAGCAGAAACCCTATCGTCTGCATATGGTGATGGCGATACGACATAGTGTATCTACACAATTTATTCTATTCCTTATAACCGTGCGTGATCCAAGTTCTCGAGATCATAAAATCATTCTTCAGTAATTTCCGCTGACACGACCTCGTATGCATAAGGTCAGCCTATGTAAGTGTGGATCGAAGTTGAAGTCTGCTGGCAATGCAAATAGCAAGAGGATCATATATTACCATGAAGTTCTGCCACGATAAAATTCAGCACATAAAAGTGAGCCGTTTTTCTTCCGTCCTCTTCAGATTGATTTGATCCCATATCACGCACTCACAAACAATGCATTTCTCCTTCATTCTCACCATTGTTGCTGCTCTGACGGTAACAGTATCTGCCAGTGACGCTGATGGTAGATGTCCCAATCTTTGCAATGAGGTCGACTGCTGCGCTGGTCAGAAGTGCGTGCCGACATTCGTCCAAGAGCTTGTGAGTATCAGCAGTTTACGTCCTGGATTCGTCCACAATACTCACCAACGTGATAGAATATAGTCGTCGATTATTGTGAGCCTGAGTGAGTAGTATGTCACAACAGTGAATTACAGTGAGTCGTGTTTCTGCTTTCGCATTGGTGTAGTATGGTTGATGGCACGACGCGTGGGTAGTTCGTTGCAGAGTTGATCGACTGTATTTGCTTCTGAACAAATTTCGCTGCTGCTCGAGCAATGGAGATCTTGAAACAGAGGAACAGTTGAATACATACGACTGAATTACTTACGACACAATCTTGTAGTCTTGTTATAAACTTGTGCAATAACCCCGACTCCCGTCAGTTTGGCCTTGTGAATACTAGTGTGCCTTTAAATTGGTCTTTTCCCGACAGTGCCAAACATTTACATGTGAGAGTCACGGTGGTCGCTGAGCAGATTTACGTACTAGAATGTTGTGATCCGGGCTCCTTGCTTTAAATAGCTTTGTCATCTGTTCACTGGTTCACTGTTTCTCAGCTTTCAAAGGAGGGCCGAACGGGCCCAAATATTCAACCGACACTCACTCCCTCAAGTACACTCGCCAGCATTTATTCACTGGTGCCTTCAATCCCGTCACTACTTGTGAGCCACATTACAGGTCAAAGATTATTATTATGATTGGTTAATGTGATGTGGAATATAGTGTAGGGCGTGACTGTAATTTACGGTATCATGATGGTGCAGGATATGGTGCATGCCAGTGAGAATGAGAACTATGTGGTCCGTGATGACGAGGCAAATGAACTTGATGCTGTTGTGTTACCCTCCGCAAAGATACGATCAAGGTCACGCTTGCCTCTTCCCCCTGGACCTCCTGGACGTTGGCTATTAAACAATGATTTCCCAAAAGAAAAGTGAGTTCATAACAAGTTCATAAAATACAATGCTCCCCGAGTCTACGTGGACGCTAACAGTGAATACATCCAGCCAATCTCAACGCTTTGCTGAATGAATTAATACAATCATCTCGCTTCGGGTCCGACCCAGGATCATGATCATCATTGGCAGAAATCAGGTAAGATGGTACCGAACTAATGGCTACCTAGAGCACACACTCACTCGCAGAGCAATCCGTTGACAATATGGAAAAAGAGGGTGGTCTGCTAGCGGACCGTCCTCGCACAGTTGCAGCAGGAGAATTCTGTCTGCCGGTCTACGTATGATCCTTGCACCTGCAGGAGAGCAGTTTCGGAGACTTCGCAAGTTGAGTGATATCTGTTCTTGTCGACTGCTTTACTGAAGTTACATTATCCAGAGCCACGTACATTCACCTTCAAGCAAAGGCCGCAGAACCCTATGCGCCCATTCAGATGGACGCCGCCCGTAATGTCATCTTTGACATCTTTGATAACCCCAAAGAACACCAAGCAGTCGCAAATCAGTATGCTTCACTTTATGGTTGATTTTATGACCACTTATGCATTCAACTCAAGCTATGCCGCTTCAGTCATCTTACGTGTCATGTATGGCAAGTCCACGCCCACCGCCATGGATGCTCAAGCGCTTCCAGAATCTCATGCGACCTGGTGCGTTATTAGTAGAACGTTTCCCAATAATCAGATACCTCCCGGGATACACAACCGAGTTGGAGGAATGGAGAAGGGAAGAGAGTCAACTCTTCCACGATCAACTTAATCGTGTTCTGAAAGAATTCGTATGTTTTCAAATATCTTTCCTGAATACCCACCTAACTAGTTCGTAGGTGACCGGCGAAGCTGGATCCTCATTTTCTCGGTACCTTCCCGAGAATCAGTCTTCGCACAAGCTTTCGGATGAAGAAATGGCCTAGTTCGCTCTTTGGTGCCGGTTCAGACGCGACTAGCTGTCGCGATTATGGTTGTCGTCACGGCTGCTGCATGCTATCCCAAGGCGCAGGAGAAAGTGCAAGAGGAACTCGACACCGTCATTGGTCGTGACAGGTGCAGGTCAACATGTGAGCTCATCTGAGTAAACAAATCTCAACCGGGTCATCATAGCTCCCACGTTGGACGACTACGGTTCCCTTCCCTAGATTGAAGCGTTCATGCTTGAGTGTCTTCGCTGGAGGCCCGTGACAACTCTTGGATTCGCCCACTGTGCCCTGACTGACATACCATACGTACGTTTCCAATGCTTTTGGATTATTCCTAAATTGATTCCATGGTCGAGCAGAAAGACATTTGCATACCAGAAGGCGCTATCGTCTTTTACAACCACTGGTACTGAATGATGTGTATTATCATGCTTTGACATGGCTATCTCGCGCGACCCGAACGTCTATCCCAACCCTAACAAGTTTGATCCCGAGAAATGGCTTGACAGCGATGGCAAAATCCGTGAAGACCTCAAGTTCCCTTCATACGGTTTTGGACGCAGGCATGCCTTTTCCCGATAAACCAGATGTACCGTAGTCCTGAAAAACAACGCACAGAATCTGCCCCGGGCAACACATCGCGAATCACTCGATCTTCATCAAACTCGCGCTCCTTTTGTGGTCGTTCAATATCACACAAGACCCGGAGAATCCTATTGATCAATCGGGCTTTGTGGATGGCGTGATTGCGCACCCAAAACACTTCGCTGCGCGCTTCGAGCCACGGTTTGGAGACGATGTGCCGTTGGGGGCGGTTATGGCCAAGTATGGAGAGGGGTTGTAAGATCTTGGGCGTGAAGTAGTGACGTATCACGTATGTATATATGAGCTTGGGATGATGTGGTATTATTTTCGTGCTGAGGGCTGGCATTCCGGCACCCTACGGCGTAAAGGATATTTAAGACATTCTTTTTAGTGTCTGAAATAGATCTTGCGTGGTCTCCTTATGCGCAGTCCAAGCTTGACAATGGGGCAGCACAAGCTGATAATGCCGCATTGATGGTTAAGCTTTAAGCTTCAAGCCTAAGGTGACAAGGTTATGTAATCAACAAGAGGTCGAGCCACGCCGTCACAGCTTCCAGAGTTCAACATCTCTCCGAGACTCCATTCCAACGACCATGTCTTTTAGAAAGATCGACATCGACGCTTATGATGAGGATGTAATACTGGAGGGCGAGCTTTGTGAACCAGATCCACGCGATCCCGCTCAGGTCTTGAGTGATGCGAAACAGAAGCAGGCAGCAGTCCGGAGCACGTTAGCCAGGTATGTTCCCTCGCTACTTTACAACATGATCTAACTAGAGTACTACTCATTCGCGCAGGGGGGACATACCAGGGGCCTTAGGAATCGCGCTAGATGGCATACCTTATGGGCCAAATGTCGAGGAAGCTAAGGTGACTCTGTTGCCCACATCTCACCAATACGCTGACATCTGCGTAAGAACCTGACGTTGCAGACCGTTGTCTCGATACTGAATAGCACGAAATCGTCGGAGATAATCAGCGTCGTGAAAGCGCTCTCCCAGGATGCTCAGGACACATTGATGAAGTACCTTTACAAGGGTATGGGGATGCCGGGCTGGGGTGATGTGAGCGGCAGCGTGCTCTTGGGGTGGCATGAAAAGGTGCGCCTGATCGTAGCTCGCTTCATATATAAACTTTCTGACCATAATGGTAGCTGACAGAAGTCGCTGGCACTGGCTGTATTGTACGAGTAATGACTGACCGAAGATCTGTATGAATCAGCATAGCACCAGTATTTGAAGTCAAAGCACGAATGGCCACCGGAACACATGGTCCCGAGCTCTTGCAAAATGGGACAGCCGCTCAGACACGATGATCGTGACGTTGCTAATCTCAGATGGAACCCGTAATACCAGTGTTTTGCCAAAGAAAGAAGGCGACTGGGCCCGAGGGTGGGCACTAAATGATCTCACAGTAATGAAGTACAACGTCGCCACGCTTCAATCGTCTCCATCGTATCGACCCTAAGCTACTGCATCGTTCATTCGTCAAACTCACGGCACCCCCACTGCCCACACTGCCCAGACATCATTGAAACGGTACCGCATTACCTCCTCGACTGTCCACACTATCGTAGAGACCGCCACGCAATGCTCCTAGCCATAGGCCGCGACACCATGTCGCTATCATTCCTTCTCTCCGACCCCTCCGCTACCCCACACCTTGTTCGTTTCATCAACTCCTCAAGACGACTGCATAAGACTTATGGTAAAGTACCAATGCTTCGCAAACCCCCAGAATGATATAGCCCCACCCCCTGCAGATAAAAACGCCTGTATCAACCGCGTATATCAAGTCATCAAGTCCTCTCACCCCCACCTCTTGTACCATCACCCTGTATACCACCTGTACGCTAATCTTCACTCGCCTACATGGATTCACCGCGCCCACTATGGCGCACGTCAAACAAGTAACTGGTCGTACCTCCCGTCCCCAAGGTTCACCCACCCAATACTACATGTTTGCACCACGAAATCCTGTACCAGCCTGCTACACGCGGCCGAGTACATGTCAAGATTTTATCACGATAGACCAACCCACACGTACATAACTGCAAAAGTCATTTCACTCATCAAACAGCACGTCTAAAACGACCGGCGGGAATGGCGGACTGATGGGGTACGCCTCACATCAGGGCATTCGCGTGTTTGGAGATGCCATCGAGACACCGGAGATCCCATAGACTAGATTGTAATGTCCTACATAGAGTATTTCTCTGCAAAGGAGTATGTTTTCTTCACAATTTGATGCTCACTAGTTTCAAATATTCTCAGCTCCAACATTCCTCAATTAATCTTCCCTCCCTCTCCATCGCAGCAACATACTCCACAGCCTCGGCATTTGACCTTCCTCCGAACCTCTCCACTGCACCTCGCACAGCTTCACGGACGGCAGTAGGCATTTTGTTCGAAGAACTATCATAAAGGCTTAGAGTTCACCACGCGTTACATATAATCTGGACCCACCCTGAAATGATAAGGATGCCTCGTTGCTGCCCCAGCATTGTCCAAATATACTGTGCATCCTCTTTCATCAGATCTTGCACATACGTCCGTTTGACGCCCTCTGGTCCATCACGAGAACACGCAACGCGGTAGCAGAGTTTTTGTTCTTCCGCATGAGATTCCCATTCCGTGTGATAATGTTGATCCTTGTGTGCAGAACGACAACCGAAGTATAAGGTAGTATCTGGGGTCATCAAGGATTAGCTGATATACAAAGACAGCCAAACATACTAGTGTGTCCCTCGTCTATGCGTTGTTCAATGACGGCACGCATAGGTGCGATGCCTGTCCCTGGACCCACACACACCACTGGTGTGTTTGGATCCGTAGGAAGTGAAATGAAGCCCTTTCTGAGACCGATACGAAGGGTATCCCCTGAAGATGACATGAGTTCAGGAACTACGCTAGAATGCCGTGCGGACCTAATTTGAGCCCTGATAGATAACTAGTGCAGACGCCTTTCCGATGAATTTTCAACTTTGTGCGATAGCGTACTATAGCAACACAGAGATGGATTTCACGGGGATGGAACTGACGAAACACAGAGGTGAATTGAACTGCAGTGAACACATTTTAGCTCGAGCTCACCTCGATGGAGCTAGCAATTGAGAACTCTCTTGGTCTCAGGGGAGGGAACAAGTCAAAGACATACTCTCTCGGTATCCTTGCAGACCGGAACTCGGACAATACTTCCCAGGTCGTACGTTTCACGCGTTGACAATAATCATACATTTCGTCCTGTACGTCCTCAATAGAAGAAAGAAAAATGAGGGAACCTGACGTACCGCTCCTTCTATCGATACAAATTCATTAAGTTTTTCGCGTTCGAGCTCATCGGTAGCAAAATATCGCAGCAATTGGAAAAAAGAGCGGCGGGGCACAGCATTGAAATCGAGATAGCGTGTGAATAGAATTCGAAGGGAAACAATTTTCGGTAGATGGTCGGGCAACGTTTGATCTGTAAGATATCAGATGGGGTTTACTGCATCCTGTGTTGTCGTACCTAACATTGTATGTTCTATTGTGAAGAAATCGTCGGCAACATTCGCCCAGCCCATGGTGACAAGGAAAGTGTCGACTTCTGATGCAGCTGCAGACGGATGGATCACAGCAACATCTCCGGGATTATATCTGAGATTTATCAGTAGCCGCGAATGCCAAAGGTAAAGACTCGTACTTTATATTGTCTTCGAAGGAGAATTCAAAATGGCGTACGTCCTGGAACCAATCTTCCGCAGTGATCCGTCTGTTGCACTTCACCGAAGCTGTATGAAACTTCGTGTCTTCATCTAGAGGATCTGGATCCAGCGAGGTATCAGATCCCACATTGCTCAAGGATACGCGAGGTGGTGGTCGACCAGCAGGAATATTATCTTGCTCGTGCGGTAGCGGGTAGAGCTGTGTGAGAACTTCTAGGAGACCTTCAATCCATGGGTCCAATGCACCGTCTACCCTGCACTTCGATCAGCCATGTGAACGCAGTAAACAAAGGATACGCACCCCATGCGATGCTGTTCGTCTCCTTCTCCTCGTGAGCAAATTTCATACCCTCCCAAACTCTGCATCCTTCTCGATAGCTTCTTTGCCGGCCAACAGAATTTCTCATAGGCCGTGTCTCCAAGGCCGAACACGCAGAAATCCATGTCCTCGAACAGGTCATTTGGGAGATCGGACCTCAACAACATGTTCCATAATGAACTCATGGCTCTGGGTTCAGCTCCCCAGCCAGTGGTCGAAACCACGAAGATGACCAAGTGTTCCGAAATCAACGTTCCCTGTACAAGACCTGAATATTAGGTTACAACGATTGGGAAGCCGCCTACTGGTGGATACGCATCCATGCTCTGCACACGACAGTGAAAATGGACTCTTCGACATTCTCTCGCAATGCGATCAGCAGTCTCTTGAGCTGTACCTGTTTCCGTAGCGTAGAGAATCAAAAGTTCACGAGACGCAGATGAATGTTGATATGATTCTCGATCACCGGCACCGTGTGTAGACATATGTTGGACGTTTACATAAAGCTTGCGCTTCCGGCCGAGTCCGTAGTAGTACCTTATTTCGCTCTGTTTAAGGCCTGGTTCGGACTCCTCTCTGCAGCAGAGTAAGTATGATGCCAGACATGCACAAAGTGCAAGCACCATTTGATGCCTATCTTTCGGTTCCATCTGATCCTAACATTGGTCTGTGTCTATCACGGTTTCTTTCAATAGCCTCTGGGTGAAGTTTCTCAACTTTCAAAGAAACGGGCCCAAATATTCAACAGGCACACTCTCAAATACATTCACCAGCATTTATTCACTGGTGCATTCAATCCCGTCACCACTTGTGAACCACCCGGCTGGAGTCATCGCACATTCATGAAGCATGTAGCATCAGCACACCTGCTCGTGGCTTTCGTTCCGCGTTCCTGTTCCTTCTCTATGGTTCTTTCTTCGTACAACCGATCTCTTTCTTTGTCTTTATATGCCTGCTCATCACCTCCCCCGTTCACAATATTTGGCCAACTATCCACCTTTGTAGGACTGCCCTCGTCACTATACAAGCCGATCGTGTCTTAGTGACCGGGAATTGGGAACAATGCATGTATGCACTTTTGGTCCCATCTGTACTGATCCTCATGTACACGAACCCAAGGAAACGTTCTAGTTACCCGCACCTGACGTAACAAAACGGAACAGCCGTCCCTCCCTCTATTTGATTCTCAGGCATACTACTATACAAGCCACCGACACCCATACTAACAGTATTTGAATTTTTCATCGGTAACAAAGCTACCTACCGCATAAGAGTCCTTGTGACATTGTAGCCCGATGAAGACATCCATGAGCGCTATAGCTCGCATGGAGTGACCGATGATCGAGGATACGACCGAGTTTGGGAGAGGAAAGCGGTTCATTAGATTACACGTTGAGGTATATGCGCTGGCAGATGATGATAGAGGTACACCGGTGAGTTGTCAGTTAGTGGCATTTACCAATGATATCATTGACCATTTCTGATAGAATGTAACCAAGCCATTTGTTAAGAGACCTTTCGCACTTCGTAAATTGGACCAGTGAGGCAGAGGGACTGCTGAATTCAATGTCATCATTGAAATGCGAGACCTCGAGCTCTTTCGATGATTATGTTGCGCTAAGTTAGGACCGTATGTGTTCTACAGCATTTCACTGATGAAACCCTTATCTGCTTTACGTGTATGCCAACCAAGGCAAGAATAGATACCATCCCTCAATCTCACTTCGGTGATGCAAGCACTTGAATATGGTATATCTAACATGAATGCCATCATCATACGTCCTCCCAAGTTCCCCCACTCGTCTACTTCCATTCTCTGATAATATGACTCTAACAGTCTCCGACGATCCCAGTTGGTCCGGGCCACTCATCGATCCACATCGCCTAAGCAGCTATTTTGTAGGTTCGTGAATAGCTAGTGGGATCATGAAAATGACGAGTTAATCTGACCTTGCTCACGGCGTCGCAGTTGCCTCCTTTGTTTGTTTAATGTACGACTGGGGTGAGCAAGAACGAGTATAAAAAAAACCACTGACGGCCTCAGGTATTGTCAGCACTCACGTTCGGACAAGAGGTCAGGTTGATGCCATTATTAGAGTAGCCATCCCGCTAACGATGATTTACAGGTTGAGTTGATCTGGGTGAGTAGACTCTTGTAGTATCGGAAGAGCGACGTGAAAATTCAACTATTTTGCGGCAGGGTCGACACTGGTCCCTGATGACCGCTATGTACCTTGGTGTATGTAACTGACAAAAATATGGTTGGCAAGTCGTGGTACTAACTTCGAAATATCCTAGGTGCGCTACATCGGAATGATATATGCCATGTACGTTTCGGAGGATATGCAATCGGCGTTGTGCTAAATAGCCATCATTCACAATCAGCATCTGTGTTCTAACTTCTGGGTGTGTCTCTCCATATCCCAAAGTCGTGTGTGTTCTGATCGAAGGCATGCAGTTTATGTTCCGACAATCTCAGTGACTGATATGGTGAGTATTCTTCGTGAACCCCAGTTATTCTCGTTCAATCAACACATCGCTATGTAGGGGTGAGTGAAATTCTTGAAAAACTTATAAGATCAAGATAATGACTTCCGCAGTTGTGAGTTTCTTTAAAATGCGTGCTCCTCCAAGACTAATAACTTATATTACTTGATTTGTCAGGCCATATCATGTCCGACGCAATAGAATACATTAATGATGTCGCAAATATAATGCTGGGTGGTGAGCTATGCATTTTTGTGATATTGACTTGACTGATATATCAGGCAAGTCATCATGATCGTTCGGTTATATGCCATGTATCAGAAATCCAGACGTATGCTGATATTCCTCGTCGTCGTCTTCCTGGCTATAAGAATCGCCATCGGAGTGATGATCGCAATAACAGTGAGCCATTTTGTAGTCGGTAAGCATCGATTGCGGATGAAACATTCAAGTGCACCTGGCTTATTGGCAAATATCAGAGGAACGCGTTCTTTTTGGCAATTATGAATGCGTTGTTGCTTTTAGGGGAAGTGTCCTACGAGTTCTGGACTACACCACTTGGATACTCCTCACTGCATGGGAGGTCCTCACACTTTGCCTCGCAGTCTGGATAGCTCTAGAACACTTCCGTGAAATGCGACAACAATCATCAGGAGGAATAATCATTGACTGTTTCACGATTTTGATAAAAACTCACATTACTTACTTTGCGAGGTGAGTTCACAATCTGAATATACTCTTTTTTCGCTAATTCAAGTCCTGCATCATCGCTAGTTTTGTCGCTCTTACTTGCATCGAGCTCATTGGTTATCTTTCTCCGACGATCTCAGTGGTACGCCGACCTATTCTGACCTTTGCATGCAACCCCGATTCACCACTTTCATAGTCCTCATATTCCACGGAGACTCAAACTTATAGTGGTTTCTCTGAAATATTTATGCTCACGCAGATGTTCATACTGGGACCACGCCTCATCCTAAGCATTCGAGAATATCATGCTAGGCTTGTGGCCCAATCCGATGCAGCAACTGCTATGACTTCAATCGATTTCCAGGAGAGCGTCTGTGTTAACTAGCAGTACTATGTGAAACAGGAGAAAGATTTTCGATATGAATTCGGTTCGTGTTTATTCAAAATTTCGTCTTGGTACCTAAATATTTAACTTATTGGACGTACGGAAGTGAATTTGAAGTACCTGTTACAGCGGATCAACAAAACACATGCAGATCGTACCCAATAGCTAGAAGAATCATGTCCGTCCATCATCGTCGAAGACGCGCACCTAAAACGGCCGGCAGGAACGGCGGACCAGTGGGGGTACGCCCTACACTGGGGCATTTGCGGTCTTAGTGATGCGACGCAGGGCACAGGTGCCCTTTAGACTAGATAGAATTGTCCGACACAGGGTAGATGTACCCCAAATGGACACAAAAATGTATTTAAAAATTGAAATGGAAATTGGATCTGGGATCCCAACGGAACGAGGGAAACGTATTCCGCTTACTGCTTATCTGTTGTGGTTGTCATGAGTATTACCATAAGCCTCTTGAAAAGAAGCTTGTTCTGAGAGTAAACTGACATTCAGGCAGATGAGTTTGTACATTCCTGTAACCACTGAAACTTTGACAAACAAGAAATAAAGCACCGCGACTCGCTCCTGAAGACACGGATGATTGTGTGGTGTTGGTGTTTTACGAGATAAAATACACTTGGATGGAACATGTGGTAGATTGAGCTCGGCTCAGTACGCGCATGTAGTGACACACGAGAGATCACTTAAACTGAGCCCTAGTCAGGTCCACGCAATTGATACCCAAGTCTTTGGCAATGATCATTGCAGCCCGCTCTCCGATGAGAAGTGCCGTCGAATACGTGTTCTGTATATATCATTAGATCGCACGTCAACAATCCCCTGTTCAGTACCCACCGTGCCAACGTTCAATGGAGAAATGGACATATCTGCGACCTTCAGGTTTGACACACCATATACATTCAGCCGAGCGTCGACAACTCCTTGATCTGCCTCTGATTTCATGGCACATGTCCCAAGCTACAAATATAAAGATCAGATATGAAATTATGGAAGGTTTAGCTGCACACACCGGGTGCCATGCCGTTTGCACTGATGTTAATTCAGTGTTTCACCGTGAAAATAGAGATGGCAAGTCGAGACTTACCGACGTCGCGGTGGAATTGACTGATCGCCTCGTCATCTTCGGCAGTGTAGACAATGTCAGGTGCATTTATGTCCACTGGCCCAAACGCTTCTTTGCAAGCTGCAGCGCTTCCCTCTGGGAAATCAGGATGGTCAGCAGCGACTTCACCTCGATAGGAAGCCATGCGTCGAAATATTTCGCGTGTCTTTTTGTACCCGAAGTCAAGAGGAACGATATCGGATGAACTGTGCGGAGTATCAAGTATCAGAGTTACACAGGTGCCCTAAAATGAAATGCGTCCACTCACTCATCTAGAAAGCCTGTAGTAAAGTCCATTCCTTCTTTGTTGTTCTCTGTCACATTGATATGAACGCTCCCAACAGACACGGGGTAAAGCTATCAAAGATGTTCAGAAAAAACCATGGGGTAGACAGAAAGCAGTACTGTATAATAACTGGCGGTCATGTAGTTACGAGGAAGGATACTCGAGAGAGGTCTCGAGAGCTGTGGAGCATATCTAACTGTTATGAGTATTTCCATATCATCAAAGTCAAGAAATATGCACCCACCCCGCAATAGCAGCAAATATTGCAACAGCCTTGTCTGAGCGGTCCTGGAAGAACTCCTTCCAGCGTGGTTGAAAAACTGGACCCATGGCTTTCAATTCCTCGTCATCAGGACGCCACTTGATTTTTGAATCGAGGCCACTGAGATACTAATCAGCACAATACCAGCAGTAATGACTCGCACTAACTTTTGTGCAATCAATGACTTTCCACTGCTGGTCCATTTTGCAAGACTTTCTACATTTGGGTAGTTGTAAATTGCTAGAATCATAAGGAGAACATGCTTACCCTGTAGAATACTCTCCCCGCGCCAGAGAGCGTCCATGGTAACAACCTCATCGGCAGCCAAGTATGGAACCAAGACCATATTGTGATCTGACCGTCCTAAGTCAAGCTCATAGGATAGATAGATAAATATGCACCTCGATAATTTTCTCCAACGCCAGGCAAATTCATCAATTGCTGGATACCGCATCGCTTGAGAACCGCCTCGGCACCGATCCCAGACCTCTCCAGAATGGTCGGGGAACCGAATACTCCACCACAGATAACAACGAGCTTTAATGCTCTCACAATACTCGACGACTGATCCACGTCTGGATAAGATACTGGGTCACTGGTGAACTCGACACCTACGGCACGCTTGTCCCTTTCATTTGTAAAAGACGTCAATGGTTTGTTGCAATTGCGATCTCAGGGACCCACTTACTCAAAGATGATACGCTTCACGCGCTTTCCGTCCCAGACTTGTAAATTTGTGTTGTGAGCTTGGTTATAGATATAGTGGTGAGCCGCGTCCGAACGCCTTCCGGTTGTCCCGTCAATGTACCTTTTATACATGAGCCAAACATTAGCGAAGCCTACAAGTGCAGGAACTCACTTCCTACATGGCTAAGACACATCTGATTAGCGATCGCCATTAGGGAAGAAACACCATAGCTCACACTGTATGTATTGCATGTTTCCAAATCATTGGTGTCGTCGGCATAGTGCCTCTTGTGATAGGTCGTGCCGATCTGAATGAACTCGTCGGAGACACCTACTTCACACCCACCAGAGGACACCTTGATAGGCCCATTATAGCCGTGAGTTGGACGACCGGGCTGCACTTCATATGTCTCTAGCTATAAATTGAAAGTATAAGTAATTCGAACAAATAACTTGAAAACGCATTCGAGACCTTCTTCATGAGGGGAATCAAATTTTCAGATTCCCAACCATTGACTCCCCAATCATCATAGTCTGAAGCAGGTGCACGAGTATATACCATGACTGTCTCATCATCAGAGTCGTATTCATCGTTAAAATTATGCTACGCACGATTCACACACGAGCATCCACCAACGCAACGACCGGAGGGAACGATTGGTGCACGGCCATTGAGACGAGGAGATGGATTTCCGATGTTGAATGTGACCGTGGTGCTCGTCGTTGCTTGGTTAAAGGGATATTGGTAGGGTTGCACATGAATAGGTTTGTTGAGGGTGTGTTGACCCGCTTCCAGGATCAAGATCCTCAGTGAGGGATCATATGCAGCTAAGCGACCTGCAACAACACAGGCTGTAGTACCACCTATACATAATGTGGTGAAGAGACAAAACCACCACAAGAGAATATTTCCTCACCTCCAGCAAAAACGATATCGAATTCTGACAGGATTGGATGAGACATTGATATGCAGGGTTACTTTCAGGCCGCCATTCACTACTTCATCTTATAACCTTCACCCAGGTGAAATACCAACATTACGCCCACGGGCCACGGAGATTTGCAACGTACGCTACGAATCATATGACCAAGACTGCGATGAATTGCAAGAACGACTGCTTTCGTTGGGCCACGTTGACCTGAGCGTGCGCAAAACGGGGGTGCGGGTCAAATATAAAATTCAAAATTCAGGGTACCTCAGCGCAGATCCACAAGGCAACGTCTTGCACCCGCCATACTTGCTACTGTGCAGTAACCGCATTATCCAATCACGAACAAGCCGTTAGTACGCCATGCCCTCATTCGTGCCATGATTCTGTTCACAAGTAGACACAGTGACAATGAAGTATGAGAGATGAATGTTGAAGTGCTGGAACATGACCTCGGTTACCATAAGATTACTGTCAAAGCCTAACGCAGAAAGAATGCCTGTCCATTTGGGCTTGCGGAAAAAATGATTCGGCGGCCTCCGGTAAGTATATCGGCTGCCGGCCCAGGTATGTCCGATCAACATATATGCGTCTACGTCATACTTCGGCTTGCGACATTGTCCATAGGCATTGCATCAGTAAATCATGAGTTCACTTTTCTAGCTTTTTTAGCATTTAAATAAGTGACCTGTTACTCATTTTCACTTTTTCCCACTATTTGTTTGGATGTGAAAAGTTCATGCTTTGAAATTAAGTAACCAACATATAATAAGCGGAAAAGTCGGCAAAAAGTGAGTAAGGTGAAAAGTGAGCGACAAGGAACAAAGTAAACAAAATGATAGAAAAAGTGAGTTACACTAAGCTGCTATTTCAAACGCATGATGGTCAGCATATTTGTTGACATAGAAAAGGGTGAATATGTCGAGAACGTGGTGGGATTTAATTGCCGGGGGGAGCATATCAGTACCATAGACTGGAATAAGGTGAGCGGAACGGAAAATACTATCCACATGGATCACTGCAAAGTGTGTGCGACCATCAACAGAGGAAGGCTCTACCATCCACATTCCGGTATCGTCATCTGGTGCATTTCCAACTCGGTTGAACCAGTGGACAACTGCGCATGGATAGCGTACATCCCTGAGTCGAAAGGAAAAAAATGTGAGTACCTGAGCAATATCCATGCCACGCATTCCGTGAGCATTTGAGTCAGTAATGACAAGCACGCAATCTTTGCGTGCATGTCCAGTTCTCCACTTGGGAGACACGCGAATGTACTCGTGTTTCATCCCACCAATCCCACTCAAATCGCTCGGTGCGAAGAACATTGATACTGCAGAATTGAAGACCCGTATCCTCCCATTGAAACGAGGGCAGTCCATGATACTCTCGGGAACTTCGGTAGGGTCCTTGTCCGGATACAGTTGTCCGATGAGGAATTGCGAGACGAGATCAGCCAGATGTGGGATATCAAGCTCATTGGCTAGCACAGGGACACTTTGTGCCCGCTTTTTCCCTTCTATTTGAATTCATAGTTAGCACATTAAGATAGAGAATATAAATAAATGACATACGAGACGTTCGCGCAAGTTCGACGTGTGCAAGGACAGACATCGGTGCGTCAATGTCCTCAAAGTCCGCAGCAACATCAGTGTCAGCCACACTGGCACTTTTTGGTATACTGGGTTCTTGTTGGTCCGAGTCAGTAGTATGGGGCTCTTCTACATCACTTTGCGCAGGGGAGATAGTAGTGGCAGGTCATCCATCTGCTGATGGTTCTAGTAGTAATGAGAATGAGAATTACATATTAAACGAGATAGCGGCAACATACTGAGTGATGCGAGAACAGCAGATACACATGTACCTGCAAGCATTCCATGAAAACGGAAATCCACCCGTGACGTTGCCAATTTATCCAAACACTGATTAGTTAGCAGCATCTGTCCTAGTGCCTTGTATCAGCCGGAACGCCTCCATGGCTCTTTGACGGCTTTGATATGTTTGGACTCCGTGATCGAGGAGCACAGCCCATTTGGAGCACCAAACAGTCGAATAAGGCGGGCATAGTGAACCATAGAGTGTTGCCTAGGAAGTGAGAAAGTAGTGACTACTCCAGTCGTCTTGAAAATCTCACGATATGTATGAAAACGAGTCAGCGCATCTTCGATTTCAGAGAGGGACTTCTCGTTGATGACGTTACGATGGACAAGGTAACAGAACTCAAGTAATGCCCGGAAGGAATGCACGACGTCCACTGGCACATATCCTTCAATGGCAGGCAAGTAAACCTTAAGACAATCAGTGCTACAATATTTTGTATAGAATAAAATGTAGATTACCTTCATAAGTGCTTTCGAGTCGTCACCTGTCCACTGTTTGAAATGACAGTCCTTGGGGAAATCTACGCAATCCAGGAAATGGAGGGACTGCCGCAATTCTATGAAAAATTAAGTCTAAGTAAAATTACAGTAAAGAAAACGCACCTTCGGTCAATGTCATCTAGGATAATATTAGCTCGCCTCTTTCCATGTGTCTGCAGGAGATACTTCTCTACCCAATCAACCAAATGATCTTTGTATGCCCCCTTGATGAGCTGATGGAGAATGTCAGGCGCAAGCAACTCGTGAATATCAGCGCGGGGGAAATCGTTCGTAAACGGCTGCATTCATGAGTGAATCTAAGTACTAATGAAACTAAGGGAACAAGTTACCACAAGCTCGCCAACTATACCATATTCCGAATGCAGGGTTCCAGAGTCGCACTCTTCGATTAGGGCATCTGTATGAGATCTTGAGCGACAGAGACTGACATCATTGAGGTTTCCTGCGACGTGAAAGACATCTTGCTCGGCATAAGCATAAATAACAGTAGGTCATCGAGAAAAACTTACTTGGCGCACCAATTTCGAAATATACAGGCGAGCAGCACCTGCTCTTCATAGTCCGCAATGTAAGGTCCAAGCCCGTAGATCACGCGATGGTAATGGCCATCCCCGAAGCGTGTGACCTCAGGCTTTGTCATAGCAGGCTTGAGGTTCTTGAGGATGAATGAAAGTGAGGAATGAAAGAGTTGGCGTCGGAAATTTCGGAAGCCTGGTGTCTCAGCGTGCTCTTTGGTTGCTTTTTAAGATGTCAGAACAATGCGACAGGGAACAAGTGACCACTTACTTTTGGGCATTGCAAGAAAGCCTATGACAACTACAGCATTACGATGAGCACGACGCACATTATTCTGAATGTTACCAATGGAGGCGTAGAGTGGATAGTAGTCGTTCTGCCCAGTGGCAACTGAAACAGTTGTTTTGTCGCTTCCGAGAATGACTGGCACGAATGTGGAGCCATGAGTGTCAGGATCTTCGGATATCTTGTCCTGTAGATGCCTTAGTTGAGACATACACAATGAGATAATGAAAGACGTACAGCCTGAGCCCAGCTCCAATCTCCGGACATGAAATCTTTCCATTGGCGTTCATCATTCTCTGTTGCAAACTCATGGTAGGGTTGAAGGTCCATCTCCGCAGCAAAGTCTGGATTAGCGAGCATATTTCGAATAATGTCGCGAGGATCGCGAAACCAAACTTCATGGGAATCTTCCATCCAGGGCAGGGCACCTTCATCTGGGATTGTGCCGGTGTATTTGGCTGAAAAGGATTGCCACTTAACGTCGCCGAGGGGAGTATTGTCAATCGTCCTGTAGAGGTCGCGATGATCGGAGAACAGAGTGTGTTTACCCCCAGCTTGGATCAAGGAAGCTGACAAAATGTTCAGGAGCTGGTCAATTGAATTGGCAGGAGTTTGATTCTTCATAAATAGGTAGTCGGCCAGCTCAAATTCGACGCGGCTCCTGTAGGGAGTCCAGTCGTCCGGTGACTTTTCTGTGAGTGGTGGTGGAGGAGTTCCTGGTGGAAGGAATACGCCCTCAGGATCACAGGGACGAGCTATGTAGGTATAATGTAGGTATATTTTTAGTACTGTTAAACAAAAATAGAGTGATTGAACTTACCGGACAAGAAAGGGTGATAATTTCTATACAACTGGTCACCAGTGCCAAAGAATTCCGCCCTTACTTGCGGAGGATCTTCATCATCCATGGGACTGGTGTCACCAAAGTCCATGGGGCCAAGCCCAGGGCTTGGTGGATGAGGTGGCAATTGAGTTGGTGCAGGTGGCGTTAGGAAAATGGGGTGCTTCGCGTTCACATGCTGAGTATGCCCCGACCGATTCCTAAACCAGCGGTTGCACCCTGCCTTCGTACAAGGGATGCATAGTCCGCTGGGCTTGCGATGTGACTGAGGCATGATCCTCAGAACCTGTTGTAGTACGCCCTTGCCTTGAGTATTTAATATGTGAAAAAATGCAGATGAACTTACCGGAGACTGAGTACAGGAGGGAGGGGTGGTACGCCCTTGCCTTGAGTAGACGTTCGAGGGTGGGGTGGTACGCCCTTGCCGACGTTCGAGGGTGATGTGTAAAAATGCTTGATGGACTTGACAGGAGACTGAGTGCAGGAGGGACTGTTGTTGACAGTGCTCATTAGCCTAGTAAATGTTGGAGGTGAATATACATACCTGTAGCGAGTATAGGCAGACTTGGAAAAATGGTATCGAGTGCTACTGAAGGGTTGTTTGTTTGCATTTAGGAAATTTTGTACATTGCACTACGTTTGACTCACCTTTTATAATCAGTGTCCTTTGCCGCATTCCTCTCCTTGCCTGCCATTCATATCCGTTATGGCACCTCCCATCTCCCCTCGCCGTACACGTGTCAAAAATGCCACACAACGCCCTGGGCTTGTGCTTCTCGAAGGTAAAAAAAAACGACGTACTCAAGCCCAGATCAAAGAAGACAAACAGCATGCCGAGGAGGCGCAGGCTGCACAGGAAGCTGCCCTGCAGCGTGGAATCGACCGTATCGCAGGTATCGAGGCTGCCATGGAGGTGGAGCAGGGCACTCAGTCAGCTGCGAAAGCGAAGCCGGTGAAACCTCGTGCTAGACCAGTCAAGAAAAAGTTAGATGGGGCAGTTGCAGCTAATGAGCTTACCTCTAGCAGTCTCCCTGTGGCCCCAGCACCGGCTAATAAGGGTCAAGGCGGCATGAAGAGTCAGGGTATTGGTGGCATAGGGGAAGGAAGTAGCGGAGCGGTTGGGAATGAGATCACAAAGCCGACAAAGAAGACAAAGAAGAAGCTGCATGAGGCTGCAACAAGGCAAATCCTTGATGGCGATCAGCGAATTGAAGTTGAAGTACCCGATACTGACAAGAAAGGAAATCATGTACCGTCAGTGAACTTGTCTTCTCACCATCATGTTGATGCTCACCGAATCCACACTGCGCTTTATGACACTGACTTGGGCACTTAGTAATAAAAAATGCTTGGCAGGGAAGGTCAACAACTGGCAAAATCGCCTGGAACCTGAGACCGAGTCAGCGGTGTCCCCTGTTGTGAGAGCTGAACCTGAACCTTCAGGCGGCTCTGTTTTGTCAGCAACAACCCGGCTGAAGACGAGTCAGACTGCAGCAACCACAATCTCGTTTGCAAAAGACCCACCACTTTCCTTGACAGATTCATCGGACGGTTCTATACCGGACAATAGTGAGGACGGAGGCAATGAAAAAGATGGTGATGAGGATGGTGATGAGGATTCCAAAGAGCATCTGGCTGCTCTCGCAGACAGTGTGAAAGGGAAGGTGGGAATGAAGGTGAGTCTCTCATTTTCATTTTTGTTTGATGCACACTCACAGTATTTAACTTAGTCTGTCGTACAGATCGCTGAAAGTTCGGATGATGGAATGTCCGAAGTACAAGTATCGACACCATTTCATCTGCTGCCATTTAGTCAACAAGCTGACATAGTGAGATTTGCCCTGGAGCAGGCCCGGCCTCATGCAGCTTCATCGACAAAGAGAACAATTGAGGAAGCCGGATTGATAGGCTCCTCCGAAGACTATGATCCAGATGATATTGAGGAGGAGGAGGGGGAAGAGGATGAGTTCGTCACTGACTCTAATAGTATGTTGGTCAATGAAGAATCTTCCTCGATTGTAGAGGTTCTTAAGCCAACACGCACTACTACAAAGGTGAGTGTTTTTTTTTAGTCTTTATGATGCTAAGATATACTCTACTAGACTAGTGTGACGGTCGCTAGCACCGAGAAACCGAAACCACTCAAGAAACCAAAATTGGAACCGGCACTTCTAACAATCTCTGAATCTAGTTTGATGTCTGCTGACTTGGCGACAAAGCCCAAATCTGGCAACCAATGGCAAAACACGGATCTCCCACCAATTATGCTGGAGGATGGCGCATGGCGCAGGAGCTTTATCCCAACAGTTTTTCTTTGGGCAGGTTCTCAGCCAAATTTTTGGTGCATTGAGGCCGAAAAATTACACCCAGCGCTCCAGGCCATTTTTGACGTTGCATTTCCAGGAATGAATCACAATGTTCAACCAAAAGGTCCCATTATGGGCTTGGTATGTCTCACTCTTATTTTCGTATCCGACTATTTTAACTATTACCCAAAGGTGAATCAACGTCTTTGCTCCTGGCGCAGCAATTTCGGATCAACAGCCATCGCCCTCGTCACCAACTTTCTGGCCACCTCTAAAGATAACGACATCGACAACGACGAGGATGAGGACGACTATGAACAGGAGCTAGCAGCAAGTCTTCTCGAGAACTGGGCCTTTCTCTATGAGGACCCAGATAATTGCGACCCAAACAAGATCTATCGGTCAGTATTCATACTGGAAATGATCGAGTCGGCTCATATCAACGCAACTGCCGGATCCCTCGATGTACCAGCACTCAACACAGATGCTCTACGGCTGAATGGCATGCAAGGTGTCATCGCTGCAAGTGCCGCTGCTGTAGGTCGTATCTGTGGGTTTTAACTTTGATTAACAGTCTATTTTTGCAGCTCGAACGTGCTTTCAATATTGCCACAAAGCCGAAGAATTTCGCCGATACGTTCAGCACTGGAACCAGCAGTGTGAAGGGCAGTATTAAGGCCCGCAAAACGCCCCTGAAGCGCAACAAATCTACCAGTAAGGACAACACTATAGCATCAGCCTTTTCATAGGCAAACTGCAGCTTGGCAACATCGGAATACTATGCATCCCTCCAGAGGCAAGGGATGAAGTACACGATAGACACGATTGCTTTGGTGCGTCAGCGGCAAGCAGCCCAAAACGCTACTTCTGAGGACTCGCTGAAACCGAAGGGCAAACGTGCCATGCTCTGTAAGTAGTTTTTACTTGATATATGCTTTACTGACCGCTGCATGTCCAACAGAATACTTCTTGGTTTCGTCCTTCATTTTCTGAACTCTCTGCTTGCCCCAGTACCTTACACCATCGGGACATTAATGCATCTTCCCCCCCTTCCGGTGATTTGATAACAAGAATTTTCTATTCGCATTTTTGGACTACTTCTAGATTACTTTTTGTCTCCGTTTTTCGCACCTCTGGACTACTTTTCCTCTACTCACTCATATTTGTGGACTACTTCTAGACGCCTTTTGTCTCTATTTTTCGCACTTTTAAACTACTTATTTCTCACTCAAACAGCTTTTTAATGTGCTGTCTCACACGAGTCTCGTAAAATAAGTCAAAATAAGTTGGAATAAGTTGGGAATAAGTTGAATTTGAGGAGAGAGATCTACTGAAAAAAGTTGCTCTTACTTTTGTCGCCTTCACACGACTTCCTACTGAATCGTGCGAAAAAGTTGGATATAAGTGGGTAAGAAGTGAACTCATGATTTACTGATGGCCTGTACATCACTCAGATATATCCATGCAGTCCATTGTATTTTGTATCTATATGATACAATTGATAAGAACATAACATACAGTGTAATGTACGAAGATGTAGTGTAGAGCAAAGTGTGGACCTTCTTATAGAATATTAAATACAGGCGTTTACTGGGACTGGGACTATATCTGGTCCTGGAGAGGAGGCTATTCGATCTGATGGTACCCGCTTACGGTTGTCCCGCTCTAAATTACGCTGGTATAGTGGTCTTGGTTATGGGTGGCAGAAAATTTGGGCCTGCGTGTTATGAAGTGGAGTTGTGACTCGGATACTGTAGAGATACGACACTAGGTTCGTCACGTGCAGCCCGTGACGATGTCACGCTTAGTCTTACAGGTTCGAATGTCCAGGTGACCTGTGACCTTACCCAAATAGATTCGCCTGCAGATCGTAGTGCTTCGCCGCTCGCAACGCCGTTTGCAACCATCTGACATGCTGCTTCGTGATTCAAGCAACTTGCTTCAGTCTGTCATGGATTCGCCTCGCATAGCGCTGACTGGTAACGAGTGGAATTGGAGACTCTGTGGTCTTAAAGCCTGCCAGGTGAGTCTACTAGTATGATCCGTTTTCAAGCGCCCATCATGCCATCGCAAACTGATATGTTTGTTGCTTCAGAGTGGCTCTCATGTGGTCGTGTTTTTGACCAGAGCAAACTGCCGCCTTCTGTTCAACATGAGATCACACGATTACTCAGGATCCCAACTCCAATGCAACCAACCATCCCATCTCGGACTCTGCCTGTCGCGCAGCTACTCGACATCAGTCTTTGCGCATCGCTGGACTGTGATCTTAGCCCAGACACCATCATTTTCTCAACAAACCCCCCTCTCCTCAGCCTTCCCAACGATTTCACGACATGGTCAATTCCCCCGCTCCATTGCGTCACTCAGCTCCTCGATCAGTTCAGTCAGGCTTGGTTTAATGGTCACACTTCAATCATCCATCCACTTTCCCCAACATTTCACCTTCCGTTCTGGGTTCTTTCATACTGGAGGGACATGTCATGTGCCCTGGAGGCTCATCTCGCCTGGATATCGGCCCATGATTGGGTTCTTCAGAGGCTTGAGGATGAAGAGGACACGGGTCATGGTGCTTCTGAGTCAGTAGTTGTAGACGAGGTTCTAGATTCGCTCGAGCGTTTGCCATGGGATGTTGACTTGAAGGGGTTTGGTGCTCAGACCAATCTTCGCACACCAGAGCTTCTCCCTCTGCTCGCTGACACGATGGTCAATGGTCGTGTACTTGATGCTCTTATTGCCGCTATCAATGATCGTGCGGATGAACACAATGATACTGCTGTCGAGACGCTTGATTTTTCAAATATATTGTTCCTTGGCGACACGCGGTGGTCAAAGTATCATTTCGACAAAGCCTTTACTCGGCTGCATTACCTCGGAGACTCGCTTCACGATGGCACCATACAGCGCATCATTTTCCCTGTCAATATTGCCAATGTCCATTGGGCCATCGTTAGCGTTGATGCTAGCA